TTATTTTAAAAATTAGGTAATAGGGGGGAGTATAAAATATCTTAGAATAAGTAAATGAAAAAAATAACCAAAACACAAAACAAACAGAAACAAAAAGATTACCAGGGTAGTGATAAGTTTATTAAAGTCTCTTTTTGAATGCATTAATCCGGTTTCAGTTTCTTAACCGCAATCGCTTCAGCAAAGCGGAGAGTGGTAGTACTTTTTTGTCTATTGATAATTTTAAACGCGTGCAGAATATCGATGGTATGCCCGGTGTCAAGTAGATGCCGAGCTATTGCACTGTTAAAAGCTTTGGTCCCTCGCAGCGTCAAGTTCTTCGGAATATGCTCAGAAATGCGAACCTGTACTCTTCTCTCAGTTCTTCCAATGTATGTGCTACGGCACGTACATGTGAATTGGTAAATGCAGTTGGAGCAACTGAGGGGAGAGGACTTGTCGATCTTCGTTTGTTTCAGTGAGCAGTATGTTTTCCATAACGTAGTCAGTTTGGCTGCCGGGTAGGTCACTTTTAAAGCGGAATTAATTCTGTGATTAATAATTCAAACAAATACTTTCATCGAGAAACAGTAACGTGTTTAATATTTGTTCCTCAGAAACATTTTAGATGCTCATTATTTCTACCATGAGTCATATAACAGTTTTATCAATTTTCACTTTCCTTCAAGTGGAAGAAATGGAGTGAGCGAGTGAGTGAATATTCCAGCCAATCTGTAAATACAAATCAATCCTAAATATTTGATTAACAGAATTACGAACTTGGATTGATTATGAATATAGTGAGAGAGGAAGAAAAAGGTTCATGTATAGGGAAACAGATTGGTAGAGTACTTTGGAAAACTGTGGTGTTTGAATTGACTAATGATACTTTTGTACATGTTGATGGCTTGATTTCGAATTCCAAATACAGTACATTCGTTTGTGCCTATGTCTTCTTAATTCGATTGCGTTATTTCTTGGACTCTTAGTTCGTGCTATAATTCAAATAATTCGAACCATTATAAAAACTCTTGAATAGGCCGGATCCAGTGAATCCACCGGACATCGAGTCAGCATACTTAGATCCTCCAATAGATGTCAATCAACCAACGACGGAAGATATAAGGATGGTTATCAGACAAAACAACATTGGGAAAGCAGCAGGATCTGACAATAAATCAACTGAAACACTAAAATCAGATATAGAGTTAACTGCTAACATCCTTCACACTATTCAAGGAGCTTTAAGAGCAAGAACAAGTGCTAGTAGACTGAAAAGAACGACAGCTCATCAACATACCAAACATAAGATATCTGAGCAAATGTGAAAACTACAGAGGCATCACACTAACATCAGTACCAAGAAACTGAACTGGGTGAAAGATTCAACAGATGCACAACTTCGAGGTTGACAGTCTCGATTCTGTAAGGATCAGTCATGCACAGATCGAATCGCGGCACAACTGATCATACTTGAACAATCAAGTGGATGGAACTCGTCACTATACATCAACTTGCCTGATTGTGAAAAAGCATTCGCAATGTTGATGGGAGGATTCGATGGTCCTAACGATATCCATCCCATGATTATGAAAGCTCTCGGCGATGTAATTTTCGAACCTCTGGTAATGCTTTTGTTGTATGCTCTTAGGCAGTCTAAACTGTCAATAAACTGGAATGATGAAATTATAAATCTGGTTTATAAAACATTAATCAGAGAACTAGTTATTAAGCATCGCCTATTAGTTTTACAATTGTGATCACCAGACTGATGGAAAAGGCTATTCAGATGTCTCTTCTGAACTGTATGGTAGGAAATAATCTTTTAGTCAGATAACAATATAGCCTCAAGAGAAATCTTTCATGCTTTCCGGATTTCGCTGCAGGAGATTCGACTTCTGAATACTCACTTACTTACGTCTGTTACTCCTCGTGAAGGAGCATAAGCCGATCATCAGCATTTTCCATCCAAGCCTGTCCTGAGCATTCGCTTCCAGCTCTTTCTAGTTGTTATTCATCCTTTTCATATCTCCTTTTATTTCACGACGTAATGTGTTCTTTGCTCTTCCCATTTTCCGCTTAACTTCAGAATTCCATGTTACTGCTTGCCTCATGATGGAGTCTGATGATTTACATAATGTATGTCCTACCGTGTTCCATAATCTTTTCCCAATTCCTTCTTCAGCTGGGAGCTAGTTTGTCTTCTTCCACAGAAGGCTGTTGCTGACGGTGTCCGGCCAGTGGATGTTGAGTATCTTGCATAGAAAATTATTTATGAATACTTGTACCTTCTTCGTGATGGTTGTAGTTGTTCTCCAACTTTCAGCTCACTACAGTATGACTGTCTTGAAGTTCGTGTTGAGTATCCTCACTTTGATATTAGTTGACAAACAGTTGTTTTGAATTTCATATTGTTCTTCAATTGCAGTAATGCGGCTCTTGCTTTATCACTCCTCGCCTTTACGTCTGCATCTGATCCTCTTTGTTCATTGATTATGCTTCCCAGGTATGTGAAGGATTCTACATCTTCCACAGTTTTGCCATCAAGAGTGAGTGGTTTGCTGTTCTCCGTGTTGAAGTTGACGACCTTGGTTTCCCCCTTGTGTATGTTGGGGCCTATTGATGCAGAGACTGTTGCTACACTGGCTGTCTTCATCTGTTCGCGTGTATGGCATAGGAGGGCTATGTCATCTGCGAAGTCTAAGTCGTCCAATTGGTTTTGAGCTTTCTATTGTATTCCGTGTTTTCCCTCAGATGTCGAGGTCTTCATAATCCACTCGGCTACCAGAATAAAGAGGAAAGCGGAGAGTAGACAGCATTGTTCGACTTCGGTCCTTACTTGGAATGCATCTGTCAGCTATCATCCATGCACGATTTTGCACTGTAGTCCGTCGTATGGGTTCTGCATAATATTGACAATCTTTTCAGGAACTCCATAGTGTCGAAGAAGTTTCCACAATATTCTCCAGTCTACACTGTGAAACACCTTTTAATAATCAATGAAGTTGATATGCATTGACAAGTTGTACTCAACTGATTGTTCCACGATGATCCGTAGCGTCGCAATTCGGTCTGTGCACGACCGATCCTTACGGAATCTGGTCTGTTGGTCTCGAAGTTTGGCGTTTATTTCGTCTTTCATCCGGTTCAGCAACACTCTGTTGAAGACATTTCTTGGTACTGACGTTAGTGTGATACCTCGGTAGTTTTCGCACATGCACAGGTCTCCTTTCTTTGGAATCTTTGTAGTGTGCGGTCGAGTCGTTGTTGACCATGATCACCACCACAAGAAGGTTGCGTACCAGATATCAGAAAGCGTTTGGAGATTGTAACGAGATATATTTGTTGGCAATTTCGTGGTGTCGAAAGACTACCGAGATCGTTCCAAAGAAGTACAAGCGGAATCACTGAGCAAACGTAAGCGCGTGCAAGGTCACAATCAACGGAAAGAAGAATGTCTTACAACAGTTAAACAAACAAGTACAGTAAAACAATCACTGTTACGATTGGTTATAATAATAATTGTTTCCATTAAACCAATCACGTCCTCTTGATAAAAGTAGGTCACTACATCTTCATGAGGTGACCTTTCCAGTCCATCGAGACTCGTTCCTCCTGTTCATATCCGGTGTTGTCTATCCCGATATTGGCGTTCAGATCTCGCATCAGGATGGTTAGGTCCTTTCTTGGGCACTTATCTGTGATTGATTGCAGCCGCTCGTAGAGTTGATCATTATCGTCGTCATTGCTATGATTGGTGGGTGGATAAGACTTGATAACATTCATTGTAATCCCCGCCCTCTTTGTTTGAATATGCTTTGATGATCCTGCATCCGTGAGTTTTCCATCCTACAAGTGATTTTCGTGCCTATTTGGACATCATTAGAGCAACTCCCTGAGTGTAAGGTGCATTTTCCTTATCGTGACCGCAGTATAACGGCATCTTTCCCGTATCCAGCCTTTCCTGTCCAGCTTGAGTTCAATGGTTCCCAGTACTGCCAAGTTGCATCTCCTCATTCCTGCTGCTATTTGAGTGGTATCACAGTTTTCCACATTGTCCGGACGTTCCATGTACCTGTAGAAATTGTTGCTTTGGTTGTTAGAAGGGGCATCGGTCTCATGACTTCCGAAGGAACTCGGTCATCACCATGGGGAATCATAGTTCTTCTAAATGAAGACCTTCTAACTCCCAGGACACGGTTTAAATGGTTTGAATTTTTCCGGTTAGCGTATTTTTAGCAAGTTATTTTTCTACGGGATGGGGTCGCTAACCATATGCTCAATCCTCCTCTTTTACCCGGGCTTGGGATCGGCAGTAACTCAAGAAAAGCTACAGGTGGAGTTGAATTCAGCCATAAATAGTTATATTCTGGTAACAGATAACCTTCGATGAACCTGAAAACTGTATATCATATAGTATATTATTGCAGGACGACCTAAATTTACTGGTTAGATGGATGTATACATTGTGATTAGGAGTTCATTTTAGTAATAATTTAGTGACGCAAATAAGTAACTGCGATGATTCATATAACTACATAAGTGAAATGCTGTTATTTAAAGTAAAGGACTATAGACCCAGGGGTCCTAAAAAGCAACTACCTGTGAACAAAAGGCAGCCTATAAGCTGCCACTGCCAAAGGCCTCAGGGGCGTTTCGTTAATTAAATGAAGAAATGTTCGGGTTACTATACTCGATTTTTGAAAGACTGCATTTAGAAACATCGAACTCAAGCAACGAGCCTCTACTCCGAGTGCGAAGCAGATAAATTAGAACAAGTCCAACGACAAGGGAAGAAATGATGAAAGGTTTGACTGGCCTATTGTATGAAGACAGATTGGATTTCCGTTTCTCTCATCGAATAGTGAACTACTGAAATACTCCATCAGAACATATAATATCAGGATCTTCTGATGATACAATCACAGCGAGACTGGATCTTTACAGTACCATACATTACTAGGATTAATATAGGTGGATTGGCCTCCTATCCCGACTACTGAAGAAGTTTAGACCGCCTTAATTGGTTACTGCGCTACATTATGCTGAAGGGTAATCTAAATACTGGTGAACAGCAATCTGTAATCGAAAGCTTTGTTTAACATTTTAAAACCTTTTTAGTCTGCTGAATTTTTCTCACATGATGGGATTTTTTCACTTGACTCAGCTCAGTGGTTCAGGTACATTCTCTTGGTTTACTTATTGTATATTGTTTTTTACAGAATAGTCAATTCCTTGACAAATCTGCAAGTTTGTAATAATTATCTGGTTGGTGCTACTTCAAAAAACACCTTAATAAGAACGTCCACTGTCCCTCCTTACAATATATCTGGTTTGTTTCATTATCATATATTTATTCACACATAAATCTTACCCCTACATTTTTGATTGTCCACAAACTTAATAATGATCTTTATATTCTTCAATCAGTATTACACTGTTCCGTGCTCATATATTACCATTTGTAAGCTCATGTGTACAGTTATCCTGTCCTTGCCTATGTAAATAATCCTTATTGGGAAACGTTAGTTGACTTGACTCACGATCTTAGTGTGACAGGTTGGAGTACCTTCTGACTTTTATGTGTAAAAACAGGCTTTGGTTTCCGAACTGTCTGGCTGATGCTTCTAAAAGTCTTTATTGTTAGAGATTATGATGAAGAGATTAAAATAATTTGATTACTGTTCTCTGTTGTTTCTTCTAGAAGGGACCTTTTCTTTTGCGTTTACTGACTCACTGGTTACTACTGGTTAATTCCCGTTCAGAGTGCAGAATTTCTGTTAGTATATTTATACTAGGGAACGTCACAATACATGATTAACATTGTCATAATGAATGTCCTTAATGACCGTTCTAAAACGGATATTTAAACTTTTATTTTAAACAATATGCATAACTCTGTAAAGCTAAGTATCTCATATGACTTGCTATTGGTCTCCCTAATGTAGTTCTCAGGGTCCTACAGTTGATAAATGGAAGTGCTCTGATTTCAAAACAGCGACGACCCTAAGATAAAGTAGATTCATCCTCTAAAACCGGCAAATATATTTCCACCTTATATCTCATAGAGCACTAAGAAGTGCTTATAAACGATTTTATTCCATGATTTTGTGTTTTCTACGGAAAGGTTAACATTAGTCATATTGAAAAATGAAATATATTTACATTGGTTTGTTTGTTAATTTATTTGAACTTATTTCTGACAGTGTCACTTCAAGCAATATGTATGATCGATTATTAGTCTGAAATTTAAGAAAATTTAAAATTAGAACACTGAAATCATTATGTTTACTAAGGGTATTACCAAGCACTTACATAATAATGGAATGCTCCTGTTGTATGCACTCAGCTTAGTTTAAGCTATTCTTTCGAAACAATAATTTCACGTACATAAAGTATCGTTTTTCGCTCTGCACTGCTGTTTAATGAACTGTATTACAAATATCCATTTGGTTTCTGCTGTTTGCTCAAATTTAATGATCTTTTCATGTAGAATTCTTTTTATGAAACTGGAATTTTCAGCATCATTTTCACTTATGTCTAGAAATTGAAATTAGCCGCCTTTCAGATGACCGAGTCCATAATATTTTTTTGGATCCTATGGGTTGGCATACTGTAATAAGTATGCAGTCTGGCACAAATTTTTACATCAACAAAGGTATGAAAAAGGTTCGCCCTTTAAACAAGACAAAAGTGAGTGTTTGTATATCGTATTTGATTTGATGAAAATATTTCATTTATTTTACACTAAAAAGTTAATCAGGACCAATGTACTATACTTTTCTTGAAAACTCTCACTATCGTTTTTCGATAGTTCATGTATTAACACTCATAGGTTTTTATGTACATGTTCTTGTTTGGCGTTAGTTAAATTCTCTTCCAAACTTTCTAGCATGACTATTAAAAATTACCATTTTTCGTGAATCGCACTACTTTTATGTTAGCATAAAAACCACTTGTCTGGTTTTGTTGTAATCCTTTATGTATTGAGGCAGAAACTGGACCAAACATACATCAAACTAGGTAATCTTTGATCTCGGTGCGAAAATCTCCGGAAATGTTGTTGTTGAGACCTTCCTTTTTGTCGTTTCTGGCTCTGAAGGAAAATGCGCTTAACATAAAATGTTTATATTCACGTACAGGGAAATTCACCTCTGGTAATAAAATCGACTGTAAAGTGTATATTTAAAGTAATAGATTGATAATCAGTAAGTGATCTAAAAATAATGGAACTGTGGTTTATTGGTTATTTTTGTCGAATTCTAGGCACTTGGTTGTAGGTTCCAACCTCACTCCACCTACTGCTTGTGCAACTAGGTAGTACCAGCAGCCACAGACAAAGTGTAGGTCAGCGCCAAGTATCTGATAAATAACTTGAAAACCTAGGAACGTCGGGTTCTTTTATAGGCTTTGAGAGTTTTTAGTATTAACAAAATTAAACTAACAAAGTATTGTTTCTAAAAGCTTATGAAACGTATATTAACGTTAGCAAAAGGTCGAAACGAACAGGCTAAGTAGGATGCTGGAAAACTTTATCTAAAAATTAGCAACTATAATTCCAGTCATGAGCCACGTGATCACTCTTAATCTACTATTAATCCAGTATGGTTTTTTCATCAATCTTCTAGTTAGCTTCAGAAATCTTGTGTAACTCAGGCTAATTTGTATAGAGTTACTAACGAACTCCCATCTTTTCAACGTTTTACCCAATATATTTATTCACCGTTCGATTTTGTGTTTTAGGATCATTTGTTTGACTCTATAGCTTGGAATCATCATAATGTAAATGAATTATCTACACAAGAAATTTTAATCGGTACAAATGATGGACTAATATTTGAAACAATGCTTATGTTTAATGAAGATAGTTTTTTTAGTTCGGGAACTATTGAACAGTATTGGATCCAGGCAAGATGGACATTTTACTTTTTTACTGTTTATGATCGTCCAAATTTTTGATTAGTAAATTGGTTTGTAAAGCTGTGGCCTAATAATTGAAGTACTGTACTTTCAATTAGTGTTTTCCACCACGAATAAGATTTAGCAAGATAGTCATTGCAAACCAGGATGTATTGGATGTGTATTTCGTCTCAGTGTAGAGCTCCTTAGCAGTACGCCCCGTCGACCACCCAATAGTAGAACCCAAGACCTTCAGGTCTTGCGACAAGGGCGTAACGTTTAGACAACTGGGTTGGTATACAATGACTAATAATTGCAAATCTGCTTTCGACTGTCATGTTTCTGTGGGAATGCCGAAATATGAAAGAAATGCCTGCCTATAGTTCGTGCTGATGGTATTAAGAAGAACAATCAAAGGTGGAGTTTTGTTCTCTGAGCTGGATGGTTTGATCGAGAACAAAACTCCACAAAAATCATCCACCTGAGCTACAAATCTTCTCCACCATCTCAAGAACAATGAAAGCTTCACGTCCAAACCATCTAGCTCAGAGAACGACACTCCGCCAAAATCAAAGGGAACGCCTTGCTTACATCGACGCGCAATGTTCGCTGGTATGCGAGTAGGCTGAAAGAAAGTTAGGAGCAGGCAAAGCGAAAGCAATAACAGTAAACAGAATTTCTAATAGTTGGACAGTACCATATTGATAGTTTCAGACTACCTGGTTGGCGTCTGCACGATTTTCATGGCCAATGATCGTATATATTGGCTAACACAGCGTAATCAGTCGCAACGATGTAAATGGATTCATTCTTTGTTAAGTTTTGAGATCATCTCAGAAATTTTATTCTACTGATTCATGCTTTCCTACTGATATTATTACTACTTCTTTTTCTGTGACATTTGTATTGATAATTTCATCTGACTGTATTGGTATGATCTGGCAATTTTAATAAATACACATGTATGCCAGTTCCTACATTGCTTATGTCTGACAAACTGACTAACAAGACTACAACTGTAATGCATTTTCTAGTATTTCATTAATCAAGTATCACTCAATAAATCTGGTTACATTCATAAATTCATTTTAAGCCATAATTTTTTGACGTCAGTGGCTAGTGGTATCAGGTGACTGGTCTTACTAAAATAGGCCATTCTGAGTTTAAGTCTCTAACTTGGTTCAATTCTTTAACTACTAAGTCGACTTTTGTATTATCAGTGCAGTCCTTGTGCTTATTTATTTATTTGAACACATAAATATTGGTATAAGGGGGCACCAAATATATATGCGCCACACAAAACAATGAGGATGGGAAGAGAAAAAAGGAAGGTAAGGAGCGTAAAAGAAGAAAAGGAGAATAACGACCAGATTAGTGTAAGGTAATAATAATAGTGGGGGAGACGGAAAGGTACATGTGTGTCAAGTCCTTCTTAGTGCAAATCGAATGCTATCGATCGAGTGGTCAAGTGATTGATCAATTGATCAATCAATTGTGATTACATCTCAGTCCTACAGGAGATCGGTCGCTGCCCGGATAACTCAGTGGTAGCGTCTCTGACTGTGAAGCTGGGTGACACGGGATGGAGTCCGTCAGGGAGCACCAGTTCCCTCAAAATTGCCGGTACACCTTGCTGATGAGTGCCAAGTAGCACGAAACCCAGGTCCAGGGTTTCATGTTGACTATCTCCAACTACCACGAGAAGATACAACCAGAAGAAATCTTTGAGTTAAGGAAGAAACAACCACTTTTTATGAAGAAAGTAAAAGAAGGTTACACTGGATCGCAATCCTTCGGAGACAACGATGATCAAACACGGAGTGTCGTCTAACATCGTCAAATCAGAGAGGCCAGGTTTCACAAACCTAAAGCAGAACTGCTCTTACCGACAAGTCGTAGATACGACTTCTTACAGCCAGACTGACATCACGAAGGCACCAAAGATGGCTCAGATTGGCATAAGCCTATCTGCCCTTCACTATACGTGCATTGATCTCATCACTCACGCCACCACCAGCACTTATGCAGATACCCAGATACACGAACTTCTCGACTACTTCTATCTGCTCACCATCCAGGCTGAGTACAGGATTAAAATCCTGCCAGTCTTGTAGAAGTACTTTGCACTTAGAAGGTGCAAAGCAAATACCGCACCTATGGACATTGATTGCCAACTGATTAAGTGCGGATTGCATGGTTTGAGCATTATCACACAGTAAGACAATATCATGCGCATACTAAAGGTCGAGAAGTCTTTCTTCAGGCGACAGATCAACACCGCCATTGCTTACATTCGTCAGAGCTGTTTCCAGAATGTCATTAGTGGCAAAGTTAAAAAGGAATGGTGAGATTGGGCAACCCTGCCTAACCCCACTGCTCGAATGGAACAATGGAGAAATGTGGTTGTATGCCCTCACTCTTCCTGAGGTGCTTGTATATAGGCCTTTTAGGATGTTAATAAACTTCTTAGGCACACCCTTCATCAATAGACAATCCCAGAGAACAGTCCTGTCCAACGAATCGAAGGCAGCACTGATGTCAAGAAACACTACGATTGTTGGCCTTTGATAAGTATGACGGTGTTCTAACATTTGGCGGAGGGTGAAGATATGATCAATACATCCTCGACCAGAACGAAACCCAGCCTGCTCCTCGCGAGTCAATCTTTCTCGGGTTTTGAACAACCTACGAAGTATGACGGAAGCCAATAGCTTGGACGCAATCGGAAGTAGACTTATCCCCCGATAGTTGTTACAGGAACGACGTGAACCCTTTTTAAAGATAGGGACAACTATCGACTCATTCCATGACGTTGGTACACTCTCTAACACCCAAACCTTTGTAATTAACGTCGTCAATTCCTTAGTCAAAAAGTCGCCACCATCTTTAAAAAGAACCGGAGGTAAGTCATCTGGGCCAGGTGATTTGTAACGCTTCAAGAGTTGGAGTTCCTTGCGGAATTCCGCCTCATTTGATGGATCAGTCGTCACCGGCCATGGAGGGCAGGACAGTTTGATCGATGTTACCGGAGCAACAGGCCAGTTGAACTGCTCTTCGAAGAATTCTGCCCATCGTCCAAGACGTCGATGGATGTTAGTGATTGTCACCTCGTCATCCTCACAGATTGTTTCGCTCACACCAAACGTCTTGCTTCGATGAGTTGTAAGGAGCCAGAAGAGACCCAGTGCTTATAAGCGGGACGTTTCGCGAACCTACAAGTACCATTTTGATGGCGTCATGAAGTTGCAACCAATGTTCATCTATACTTTTCGGTGGGATGTTAGCTAGCCTAGAAACTAGCTCGATTCGATACTTACTTGCAACAGAAGTTGCAACCAGCTTTCTACCATCAATCCTTCGGTGATGGTCACTTCGTTGTCCACTGAAAAGTAAGGTAAGATTGGCGCAGACCAAAACATGGTCAGAGTCCAGATAGGTACTCCAAAAGGAGCGGCAGTCTTTTACACAACCACTCCAGCGGTAGATGATCGCGATGTGATCAATCTGAGTCCAGGCTTGAGATGTAGAGGGAGGACGCCAGGTGGCACATCGGCGATGACTGTGTTTAGAGTTAGTGTTAGTCAGAAACAGGTTGTGGCCTGTGCACAGTTGCAGTAAACGGTCCCCGTTATCTGTCCTGCGACCAACAAGTCCCCATTGGCCACCTAAACGACTCTCTTCTGTGCCTGGACACTCGACCTGAGGATTCAAGTCTCCGGCTAGTACTACAATATCTGTCGATCGCTTTTTCTGAAGAAGAACAGTTAACTGGTGGTAGAATTCGTCCTTAATTGCATCCGGGCTGCAATCTGTCGGGGCATAGGCGGAGATAATGAAAAGACATTGTTTCTCACGTCAATTTCTTCTCACTTTGATGGAACTTTCTAATCTAACAGCACATAACCGACTGTTAATGGGGATCCAATCGACTAGTGCTGCCTCAGCTCTAGCGCTTAGTGCGACGCCAGCGTCAGCAAGACCAGACGAAGATGCCACAGGGTCCCCGGATAAGCGCACGTAAAACAAGCTTTTTGAAGCGACGGATAGAGAGCGAATTTGTAGTACTTCACCAGAGTCTTGAATATGGGTCTGGGATAGACAACAAATGTCGATATTAAGACTTTCCAAAGACATAGCCAGCCCTATCTGTTGTCCGACCTGCATAAGTGTGCGAACGTTGAAGGCAGCCAGTTTGAATGGTGCACGTGGTTTCAGGAAACTGCTTCAGTATTCGTATTTGATGATAGCATACAATTTTCAACCGGACAGTGACTCGAGAACGTTTAGATAGAGTGGAGTTTCCACCATAAGCGAGCTGCTGTATAAGTCGAAAAATAAGGATACATAAAGTGGGAATAAAAGAGAGTGACGTGACCGAAGTAGGTGGTTTTCTTAGGCGGCCACACCCCGAGCATTTGACCTAAAGGTCTGACCCACAAGGCCGTGGAGCATCGATAGGAGTTGCAATCCCATGGTAGCCGGTGACCAACGATTGGTTCATACGCCATTTGTTCCCGCAGGATACTGGGGCCCATGTGCACCATTGGTTTGGGATCCGGACATTCGCTTTTCGTTCTCTCATTTTCATAAACAACACCCCCGTCACGAGAAGGCAGTGAGTAGGACTTCTCTGGCAGAGGCTGTATACGCGTGGCCGTGTGAGGGCATTTCGAGAGGGAGAGCGGACTCTCCCTACTCTCGACCATACCAGAACATTTGGGGGCTCCCTGTACTACTTTTCTTAGCTCTGTATTCATCTTATTTAGTTAATTGGATTGTTGGTGTAATGGTTAGTATTCTTACAGCCCTCATGTACTTCAAATGTAACAAGTATTCAGTATGAAAACTGTTTGAATCTTTATTGTATTACTTATTTATTGCATATATCTGTGTTAATGTCCCATGCCTCTAAGGTCTGGTGGCTTCATATGTTTCCGTAAAATGTATCCTATTATTTTTGTTTAAGACAATCATAAGTTATAACGACAGTTTAATTTACTTTACGTCGAAATTGATTACTCTCTCTTGAGCCACAAATTTTCTTTAAAGCAAGGATTTATTGATTTTTGATTCATAATTGAATGGTTCTAGACCACATATTACATTTTATAAGTGGTGCTATTATTAAATAAATATATCTAATTTCTATCATCCAACTATATTTATGATATTTTTCTGCTCAATGCAACTTCTTTCACCTAGATGATTAATTTAGGACATAGTGTAACAGGTGTAGAAGTGATTCGCTTTCCTATTGGTTCACCTAATGTACTAGTTGGTGAGCCGCAACGATGTGTAGTCTTTGCTACAACACCTTGTCGTATGTATCAATTCGCTGGATGGATAAATACTAACAGTTCAACAACCGGTTCAATTTTATCTCATCTAGCAGCAAATACTGCTACATCCGGTATATCCAATGCAATAAATGCTTATACTGGAGGTCATAGGTCTAGTTTAGTGAATGAATATAATCAACAACAATCTGTTGGGATACAAAATACAACTATATTTCCCATTATCACTGGATTATTCTCTAGTGTATTCAACTCAGATGACAAACTACCTGTTGGTAAGTTGTTTTCTCTGTTGTTTTAAATTTCAGTTTGTTTGATATATATTGCTTAGAAACAAAATTAGAGTTTTGTACTTGTTTATTTCGCAACATCTGTTGCATTCTAGTAGTCAGATTTACTGTCTGGAATCACCATAATTTTTGCGAACTAGAAAGTTTGTTTCTAGTTAGTACTTAGTTGTCTGAGTTGTAAGGCGCTTCCTCTTCGTTGTTATCATCTTTAATATTCCACTCCTTAATAACTCGCTTAGAGAATGAAATAGATAAATCGCATTACGAATCGCATCACCTCATATCCTGTTTAGCGTCTTAATATTACGTGTGATTGATGGGGACACAGTTATTTTACAAGACTTTTGTGTATTCCATTTGGTATTAGATTCTGTCTCTACTAGCTAACTTTCTTAACGTCACTTCAGCAGAAGCCCAATAACCGTTATTCTTTATTTTGAATTTCTGTAAACACAAGAGTTAATAGAAACTTGGTCGATGTGGAGGATGAGTTGTAACCAGAAAGGTAACCGAATATGCCCCATTTTAATCCCTCCGTAGGAGATAGATCATATGGAGTGCCAATCAGAAGTAGCCTAATGAAAAGGCCGATCGACAGCATTCAGAACTGACATAAAGGTCAAGTGCGTTTCATTGGGTTTAAAATGAGTTGATTTCCTAAAGATTGACTGGTATATGTATATGGATATTTGTGCATTTTTCGGTAGCCCAATATGTTTTCTCGCCCACTCTTGTGTTCCCGCTCAAGTAGTCATTTGGGGTTTAGCTCGTAGTACACCGTGTGTCAGCATCAGATTTCGGACACTACACGTCACTACAATAGAACACAATTATGTCTGTTGAAATCAGTTAAAGATGTTTAAGCGATGCTTCTAATGTAATTTATCAGTTTTCAGGCTGTAATTTAATAGTTTAGGCACTGAACTCTGAGCTACAGACGCTGCAAGGAAACCTCTTAGGGGTCTACTTAATGATAGTCAAGCTATGAGTATATTTCAGGAACAACTAGGAAATCAGTTAAGCAGCCATGTATGTGATGCCCATCCCGATGCAGCTTGGAATGATATCCGAAAAGCTGTGGAAATAGCAGTGATATCTGCTAGTAAGGTAACTCAGAAGGTTAGGGAGCAACACTGGGTCTCAGCAGCATCTATCGCACTGATAGATGCTCGGAAACTCATTCCACCTGGCTCTTAACATAGTGAAGAGCGGAGTCAGCTTAAGCGCAAGCTGACAAGAAGTCTACGCAATGATCGCGAACAGTGGTGGGTAGCGAAAGCAAGAGAGATGGAAAAGGCAGCGGCAATAGGTAATAGCAGACAATTTTTCAGACTCGTTAAGGAAAGCGGAATTAGGAACCCGACCGTTAGCGAAACAATCTCAGAGAAAGATGGACATATTATACATTCTCAATCCAGGAGATTGGATCGATGGGCAGAACAGTTTAGGGATCAGTTCAACTGGCCTTCAGCCACACTTCGGTTTCCCACGATCTATAGTCAACCTGAATATCAAGTTAATGTAAGTTCTCCGTCCCTTTACGAAGTTGAAAAAGCCATAGGAAATCTGAAACGAGGGAGAGCAGTAGGCCCTAACAGGTTTACTCCTGAGATTTTTAAGGATGGTGGTCCAGTATTAGTAATGAGATTGATCGAGGTCTTAGGTAGAATTTGGGAACTGGACGTAATCCCATCTGACTGGTCTCAATCACTGATTGTGCCAGTCTATAAGAAAGGACAAAAGTGCTCTTGTGACAATCACAGAGGAATCAGTTTGACTAATATAGTGTCTAAAATATTAGCTTCAGTAATACTTCGACGCCTAACCAATGCTCGTGAAGAGCAGACTAGAGGAAACCAGGCTGGTTTTCGACCTGGACGTGGTTGTATAGATCAGATATTTACACTACGTCAGGTCCTAGAACATAGACACAATCGTAGTATCTCTCGACCTTAAGGCGGCATTCAACTCTGTTAATCGTGAGGTTCTATGGCAGTGTTTGTCACCTAAGGGAATACCAAAGAAGTACATTAACCTTGTAAAGGCTCTCTACTCGAACACAACTGGTCGAGTGAGAGTTTATGGCGAACTGTCGTCAGAATTGATTCCCTCAAGTGGTGTTTGTCAAGGCTGTCCACTTTCTCCATTCTTGTTTAACCTTGTCGTTGACGTCCTTTTAGAGATGACACTTTCCTCATCTAAATTTGCAGGGGTTGAACTTCTACCAGGAGATTCACTTTTTGACTTGAAATATGCCGATGACATAGTTCTATTTGGCGAAGACGCTGACAAAATGCAGAGTCTTCTGACCACTCTAAGCAACAATGCAAACATGTTCGACATGCAATTCTCTCCCTCGAAATGTAAAATGTTGCTTCAGGATTAGGTGATATCGACACCCGAACTAGTGATAGGGAGTGAAGTAGTTGAGTGTGTCGACAGCTTCACTTATCTTGGGAGTCTCATCAGCCCTTGTGGTTTGGTGTGTGACGAAATCTCAGCACGGATGCAGAAGGCTCGACTAGCTTTTACCAACTTGCGTCATTTATGGCGTAGGCGAGATATCCGTCTATCAACCAAAGGACGTGTTTACTGCGCAGCAATTCGTCCCGTCCTACTTTATGGCAGTGAAACATGGCCGGTAAGAGTAGAGGATATTCGTAGGTTACTAGTCTTCGATCATAGGTGTCTTCGAAACATTGCTCGTATATCATGGGACCATCGAGTAAGTAACACAGTTGTTAGGAAACGGGTACTAGGTAAGGATGGCAAATCAAGTGATGAAGTGGTGAAACTTCATCAGTTGAGATGGCTGGGAAACGTGTTACGTATGCCCAACGACCGACTGCCTCGACGTGCGATGTTCAGTGGTATAGGAGTAGGTTGGAAGAAAGCTAGGGGCGGCCAGATCAAAACATGGCACAAATCCATGAAATCACTGACAATTGGTCTGAGTCATGTTGGTAGGTGTAGACTACCTGGTTGGGGACCGCGAGATGATAGCAACCGATGGTGAGAGACCTTGAATGACATGGCTCAAAATCGTTTGCGATGGCGCAGGTGCATCCACTCTTTGTGTTCTCCCAAATTTTGATCTCCTGATTCCCCCTTGTCTCTTTTTTTCTCTTCCCAAGTTTATTTCACTGTATTATACTCTTTAAGTAACATCTCCAAACACTAATCTTTCCGATTACTGCTTATACTTTTATTACCTCTACCACTATGGGATTTGAATCGACCGCGGCATCTCTCTGCTAATGTGGTGTGACAACTCGAACTGATGTACGTACGTACGAAGTTCTACGTTGTTACTGACTGACTGACTGATATGTTTGATCACTGTTTCACTAATCAAGGTTTTAATTGTAGAAGTTGTAGGAGTAATCTCTTTTGCATAGTGACGAAATTGATTTGTGTAAAAGCACAGATAAAAGCACACATATTTACTTAGCCTGTGAAATTAAGGCTTCCTAAGCAATTTTAATCTTATTCTCTAAGCTGGCCGAGAATTCATCAATTAATGTACATTATCACTAAATTGAACTGGTAGGGAATCATTTAAAAAAATCATTAAATCTAACACAAATCAGCAATCATTTAGACAAATTCATTAAATAATCTTCCTATGAGAATCAAACATTCACAGTTCAATTTATTCCAATAAATTTCACCCCAAATGCCCTGGTACGGTCGAGGGAGGGGAGAGTCAGCTCTCCCTCTCGAAATATGCTCACATGGACACGTGTATACAGCAAGTGCCAGGGAAGTCCTACTCACTGCCTTCTCTTGACGGAGGTGTTCTTTAGAAAATTGAGATGACGAAAAGCTAATTTCCGACATTTTAACAGGGTTGGTGGACAAGGATTTTCCCCTGAGGGAATTGGAAAACCACAATTCCAAGCCAATGGTGTACACGGGCTCCAGTATCCTTAAGGAACAAATGGCGTATGAACCAATTATTAGCCACCGGCTACCATGGGACTGAATCTCCTTACGTTGCTCCATTACCTTGTGGATCATACCTTTAGGTCGAAGGCTCCGGTTGTGGCCCCCTAGGAATGCCAACTGCGTCGGTCTGGGCACTCAGGCGGTTTCACAGCCCACATACAAATCAAGTAACTTGTATGGCACATATGTATTTGGTGCCCCTTTGTACCAATATCTATGTGTTCAAATAAATAATTAAATAAGGTTTCAGCTTACATGTTTTTTTCCGGATCAGAAGGACAGATGTATATATAGCGACTATTCATGTTCGTAATCATTCATTTCTATCATTCACAGACTCCTAGTCATTTCTCAGTTGCATTACTGGTTGATCGAACATTTGGGAAGCGTTTAGTTTAATAGAATTTCACGGATCGTAGTAATTTCAACAGCTCATATTTTGTATCGTAGCCTTAAAAATACTGGTGTACAACATTTTAAACTACTGAAAGTTACGATGATGTAATAAGTATTTTATTGCACAGATTTCATATTATTCGAATGAGTACATTAATCAATAATTTGTTATTTAATTTTCTTTCAATTTGTCTAGGATCCAAAGTTACTGAATTTCCTGGAAGTTTTGGATATAGTGATTTAAAACTTTATCGTAATGTAAAAGATGAACTCCCCAGTAAATTTGCTTGGATGACAGGTTAGGGTTATCATATTTGCTTAATATAGTTGTATCTCAAATTAAAACCAATGAATATATTCTATTAGTATTAATGCATTCCAAATTATTCATCTCAATTATACTTTGACAATGCTATTAGATGATGAAGTTTATCTGATTTAGTATGGTATACTATTAGCCCAATACATTTCAAGCAATCTGATTGCATATTCACATGTTACGGTATTTATCCTTAACGAATAAAAGATTGAAACAAATTTGAATATAAATTGATACTACCAGAGCAAACTCAAAGTAAAAACAAATTGTTTTCAAGCATAGTAAAAAGGGTTAGTCTTTGTATGGTTAAGGCTTTAACAAACTTAATTGTTTATCCTAGGCAATTTTTACATGAAACTATTAAAGCTAAGTTGAGAACGCATGTTTCATCTTATTTGGAACTTTTCAGCTGGATAAATTTGCAATTCTGAGTCTATGCTTACTCTAAGAACTTGAAGTTAATACCTTTTACCTTAAACGTCAGCGCGTTATCCACTTACATATTGAGATCAATTACAAAATCAGTCGAGGTTACAGCATCAGTGGTAGTAAAAGTGATTAAACTCTTTAATACACAGTTCGAAAAAGAGTTATACATCCCAGAGATAAGTAATACGAAATTATATCTAATTTCAAGTCTGAGGTGACGATACAGATTGTGAATACATTTGCACCACTGTGATTGATTGTAAGCCATGTGACCTAATATTTTGAAATATTAATCTGAAGTATCACATGGACTTCAACCAGGTAGTCTGCATCCACCAATACAACTTAGTTCAACAGTTAATGAATTTATAAACTGATGCCGTGCCTTGGTTTGGTCCCTCTATTTTTGTTTTTCAACCTACTACTCAAATGAACATAGTTCGTTGTGACTGGTGGTGTCTGGGCATACCTAATACATACCCTTGACACTTCAGTCAATAAAAATTGACAGCTCGATCTACCAATTTTTTATATTTGGTTAGAAACGTAATGATGACTTCAATTGGATACACATATGTGTCATTAAATGTTATTTGATTTATTTATGAAGTCATAGAATGATGGAATATCTAGTTTTGAGAAAATTATGAAATAAGCTTCTCTATAGTGTTGACTTTTCTAGTGTATAATTTAATATCCAAAAATAAATCGCATTTATCCTGTATACTTTATCCAAGAAATTTATGCTTTCCTACTCCACTCAAACCAACAATCAATAATTTGGCCTGTTAATTTTAGTGTCTAAATGGCTATGGTTATTTTTAACTCCTTTTCCAACCCACCGCTGCCTTCGTAAACATACCTTACTGAGGTTAGCCGTCTTTTTTATACACATGTGATACGTATCTGTTGATATAATCTCGAGTTATCTGGATTTCTTGAATAATTGTTAGTTAGTTATGTCGTACTTAAGGTGAAAATTATGATGCAGTTTTTTCTTTATCACGCTATTCTCAATATATATGCATGTAACGGCTTTTAATCAACGGTTAACAGTTCTAATTATCTCCTCGCAGCCACTTTAATCCCAACAATTGGTAGTTAGTGCTACTGTAATGAACGAGAACACAGGTGGTTAAATATGAGAAGCATACATTGAATACTTCATTTGCGAATTCCCATTATTTGTCCTTCACACTCTGTATTGTTCTTCCATTTCAAAATTCATTTCTACTTCCATTTCTGTTTTCAACTGGATCTTCTTGGCCTTCTACTGCCAGCTATTTAACTTTTGATTGATGTTACCTACTACTGATACCTCTCGACATTAGTAGCATACACCACACTACTATGATGTACGCAAATGATGTAACTCAAAGCTGATAATATTGCTGTGCATGTGATAAATAAGCTTATGTTACTTTTGATTGCAATAACACATTCCTTTTTAAAATCTCTTTATTCTTGATTGTAAAATTCCAGGTCCAGGTGTTTACTTCGGCTACATAAGAACAGAACAATTAAGTATGCCTCCATTTACAAAACTTTCAACAAATGATCAACCAATTGATGTAAAATCATTTCCAAATGAAGTTTTTTCTCTTCTACCTACTGCCACTGATAATACAGATGATCCAAATCGACCGAAAGATATATTCTCTGGTCGTGGTGTTAATTTAACGCGAAATACAAAACTTATCCCGTATCCAATTATTCATATGCTTGAACGACCTGGTGTACCATTAGGCATTTGTTTGACAGAATTTCATCTTATCATTATCTATGTGGATCGCATTAAAGCTGTGAATACTTTAGATGGTCGAGCAGTTTATTCAATGCCGTTAAATAATATCATTGGCTGTGAACGGGCTTTAGGTATATCGCGTGACTCATTATCTAATTATATTTGGATATTCAGCAATAATCATTTGGCTCGATTAAGTATGAGGAATGAATTATGTAGAATATGGCAAATCTATTTAGATCGTCTACAGTTTGATGAAGCGCGCCAATTTTGTCAGGTATGTTACCTCATGAAATAATTTAACTTATTGACGCTTATCGCCCATCGTGCAGCATAGGCCACTGCCCACTATTCCCCAACTAGCTCTATCTTGGGCTCACCTTTCACGTTATTCCCAAGTGGTATTCATTCGTTTGTTATCTGCCTCCAATACTCGGCGTGATATTTTCTTTGTCTGCCTCTCTTCCTCTCACCTCCAAGATTCTGAGTTAGAGATTGCCTCGTGATGTAGTCTGTGTTTTCTGAAATGTATATCCTATCCACCTCCAGTGTGTTCTTTTAATTTCCTGTTTAGATGTAAGTTGGTTTGTTCTTTACTACAGTAGGTTGTCGTTGATGGTATCCGGCCAACGGATTTGAATTATCTTGCGTAGACTATTGTTTATAAGTACCTGTACGTTTTTGATGATGGTTGTAGTAGTTCTTCAAGTTTCAACTCTGTAGAATGTAACTAACTTTCTTGGCGTTTGTATTGAAACTCCCGAGTTTGGTGTTGGTCGACAGTTGTTTTGAGTTCCATATGTTCTTTAATTGCAGGAATGCTGCCCTCTCCCCGCATGCGGCACTTTTAAGTTTACTGCCAGTTCGAGGCCCGGATAATGAGAAGGGTCAAGCATGTGGTTAACAACTCCATCCCGTAGAAAAGAACCTTGTAAGAAAGTTTAATAATAAGAGTGTGAGTAATATTCAATGTGTTGTAGTCCGTATAACATTCTGTTCTAAACATGTTTCAGTTTTCCCTAACAAAAAAGGTCTTTCGTCGGGAACGATTTGTAAATAGATGAAGTATGTTAAAAATCTATCATCTCATCAGTCTATCTGCTAAACTGTTTGCCTTATTATCAAACGTCAGCACTTTAAGGTGTTCTGACCCCATGAGTCACTGTCGTAAGAAAGTCAACTGATAAGATATTTTATTTCGTCTAGGTTCCATGTTTGTTGGTCAATAAACTTGCGTTATCTGCAGATAAATCTGTCCTGGATTAAAACCTGTGTTTTTTAAGCGATTTACGGAAATAGAGTTTAACTAAACTAGTGTGGTCACTGATGATAGTATGATCATTATGAAAACAATATTTTACTGGTTTCAAGAAAACTGAACATTAATTCAGCTTTTTCCAAGTCTAAACGGCATTTTTATCCTGCTAGAAACGATATCAGTGTCTAATACATCCGGATCGTGGACATTTTACTGTCTAATGTCTGTGCTCCATCTGAGCACTAGTTCTACATTAAACTATTTATTCTCATATTTGAACATCGTCCTACCTCCTTCCACTTGACCAACCGTGTAGCATCACTAGCCCTGATACTTAGATTATCTCAAACTCAAAAAGACAAACTTCTACCTGGAAAATAAGATGAGTTTTATGTTAAGTGACAATAAGAACAATCATGATATGTTTGTTCAGTCTACATTCGTGTTAATATTCGAAACTAAGCATGGAAATCATCAGTAACTTATTATTTTATATACGAGTTAGATTTCGAGTGTGTTGACTAAACGAGGATATCTCATCTCATCTTTTTATCATCAGATCGAACAACTATTAAATCTTAGTCAGTGTTGCAAATCAGTTCTGTCTCATTCCTCTTAGTGACTTGATCAATGGAATTCAAACAAAACTTTGTTATCTTTAGAGTTTAGATTCTTGATATACCTCGCAGTACTTGAGCACTCGAACGCTAGAACCCTCCAGGTCTCAAATGAGAAGACAGAAAACGAGTGAGGAGTAATGTTATTCCAAACAGTGTCAAATATAGTACAAAACTCTCAGGTATCTATAGTTTTCAGTAAAAACGAAATTATCATTAAAGCCATTCAATCCACATACAGTAGTTTTTAACATTTTTCCAATAGGAAAGCTACATGTCGAGACTGTGGAATGTTCTTCCAAAAGATGACTGGACGGAATGTCTTCGGCTCTTTCTGAGCTTCTTTGGGTTCACCCGTGGGCCGTCTTCATAACTAGCGAGTGATTGATCAATCGTAAATACATTTTAGTCCTACAGGCGGTCAGTCGTGGCCTGGATACCTCAGTGTTTATGTCTCTAACAGTGAAACTGGGTGATATAAGACCGAATGCATCAAGTAGCACTAGTTCCCCCAAGATTACATGTACACCTTGTTGGTGAGTTCCTTATAGGACGAAATCTAAGTTTAGGGTCTCCTGACAGCTACCTCCAACCATCATTTTATCCTTATAATTCGCAGTTTTATCCTATTTACTTGAAATAGGTAATATTACCTCATTGTTGTTATCTTATCATCTTGATCGTATTTATTAATCAACCTTTTATTTCTTCTTGTTTCACGCATAAAAAAAGGATCCTGGTCAAATGGATACCATCAATATACGTGAAGCGGAATATAATTTTGATAATGAAAAGTAAGTATAATTTTACTTGTAAACTCATGTTTTTTTGTCCCACATTCAACAATTATTTATTCTCATTGATTTTTGAAACTGTAGTCTCCTACATTATTTAAAAAAAAGAAAACAGGAAACCTAATATACTGTCATTATGTTGAGTTTATTTACAGTTCCCATCTTTAACACCTACATTTTCGTACTTAAATATTCTAATATGTAATCAGAGGCTTGTAATGATCACTCATCTATGCGATTGCATAGAATATAGTTTATTTCTGTAAAGTTCCGTTCATTTTCTACGCTTAATGATTTTATTTCTTCTGATTGGAAAAAAATTGGACAAAAATTGAATCGATGAATATACAGAGTATGAGATTGTTTTCCACGGAAAGGATTTTAAAGTGATTAATATCCGTTCATCACGCAGAAGTTTGCATAATTTTAAACCAATTTTGTATCTTGTAGTATTCGAATAAATAATAATTTTAAGAAAAAAATACTCATTAAATACAAGCTTATTTAGTCGGTTTTGTGATACTGTTTAGATATGAGTGGCAGTGAAACTATTACCTACCTGTCTAAATCTAAATAGATGGAGAAGTAGGATTCCAATCTATCAACCCAATTGATTGAAAGTTATGTGCTTCTACCTTTTAATTCACTGATTTAAATCATCCAAGCAATTGTTCAATAAACTTTCTAAAATGAAAAAATACTGTGGTACCAATTCTAAAACCTCCAGTTTATAAACATTATTTAATCAGTCATAAATAGCTTAAAACTTCAGTTCTTATATGTGCACTTGTCCAAGTTGCCAGATCATATCAGCACAGTTGCTGAGATAAATGTCAATGTAATAGAATTAATAACAATATCAGTGACAGTTGAAGACACTAGATATATGTAATATGATTCGAGAACAAAGAATGAATTCGCGGAATAAAAATTATGAGATAATTTCAAGACTAAGTATCTTAGGGACGACGAAAGAGTGGATGCATTCAAGTTATTGGGATGGATTCTGATCCTGGTCACCCAACGTCTCTACCATCAGTTTCGTTAATCACGCTTAATCTGTCAGTCGGCTACAACGTAGGACCAGGCACATATATGCATCGATCCAAGTTTCTACATCTCATTAACACAAAAACATCAACACCAAATTCATAGAAGTAGTTACTTCAATGATAGGAATATATAAAAGAAAGATTGTATATAAGAATATAATACAGGAAGAAACAATTAGTTGGTAGAAAGAAAAGTTTAAAGTAATTTCAATCTCATGGTTTAAGTGAAGACAAAGAGTGTATACACCTACGCCATTGTGATCGATTTTGAGCCATTTCACCCAGAGCCTCCAACCATTGGTTACGATAACCGTGGTTTCAAGGACTGATGTCAAGTTTTGGTTTGACCGCCCCTAACTTTCTTGCAATCATTCCCAACAATAGTCAGCATTGTGTTTCGTGCTAATCGGTGTTCAAACATACGTAACACGTGATCCAACCATCTCAGTCGGTGAATAATCATAACCTCATCAACTGATTTACCATCGTTCCCTATTACCCTGCGTCTAACCTCACTATTACTTACCCGGTGATCCTGGTAGAAGCGAGCAATATTTCTAAGGCATCTGTGGTCAAATACTGGTAACTTACGAGTACTAGAAGTCTGCATTTTATCAGCGTTTTCACCAAACAGGACTATATCATCTGCGTATTCAAAGTCCATAATTAGACATCCTGGTAGATCACTGCCTAAAATATTCATTCGACGAGAACGTTGTTTTCATCAGTATGTCTATGATGAATTTGAAAAAAATGGGAGATAGTGGACAGCCTTGACGGACACCACTTGAGGTAGAGAAGATTTGTAGCTCAGATGGATGAGTTTGTTGGAGTTTGTTCTCTGAGCAAGAGCTCAGCGGGGTATTGCTTATGAATGCAGTGGTCTTGAGTGCTGTTAAAAGTATGAGGGTTGTTGTCACTTCCCGGCTGTCCATACTGTGGAAGGGTTCTTTTGGAAATACCTGAAAAGGAAATTGGGTTAGAGTTGGCCTTAGTAACCTGAGAGCGTGACTGCAGTGCCCTAACTACACTGCTCAGTCCAATAGTCAAAGACTTCGCAAACTGATTCCACTGTCATCAACTACTATATCGAGTCGAGGTACCCAGTGGTTGAGTATACGTAATCTATGTCCAAACCACCTCCATCGATAAAGATTCATTACCTCATCAAGTTATTTATCACCCTCAGTCTAAGCTTAGCATTGTTAACTCAATGATTCCATCATAACATAAACAATACTTCGAAAGCATCTCTCTATGTAATCATGTTGACAATAGTTCATATCAAGTAAAACTTTTTAAATTTTTAAAAAATCTTTTTCAGCTATTTCTCAGTCGTTTATCTCTTTTCTTTTTCTCAATAATAGTTATGGACTTGCAGCTAAATTATTTGCTCGTAGTTCTATACCATTTGAACAAATTGCATTACGTTTTTTTCGTTTATCATCATCATCAACAACAACACATACAATAGATCTTTCATCAACCATTATACCATCTACATTAATTCAACAAGGTTATGAAATTAATGATGATCATGATATTATGGAAGCATTAATTATTCAATCAAAACAACATCAAATTAATGACAAACTAACAGGAATAATTGATTCATCTATAAAACAATGTAAATCATTTATAACATCAATCCATTCGTATAGTACATTAACACCATTGAAAATATTTTTATCATCAAAATTAGATTATTTAGTAGAACAGAAAAATCAACAATCAGTAGTAAATTTATCAGGTCAAATAATTTTATTAGCAATTTGGTTAATAGAATTATTATTAACTGAATTAAGTATGATACGTGATCGTCTTAAAATAATGCCAAAATTGGATCATAATAATGATGATCTTGATGAAATAGTTAATGATAATCATCAAAATATCAACATGATTAGTGATAGAAATGTTATCGTTAATAATAATGATAATTGTGATGATAAAGTTAAATTAACATTACAAAATCGTCTAGCTTCTGTACGACGTGAATTTCGTACAATCCTAGTATTACCTGAAGTATTGGTAAGTAAATAGTATACTTTGAGATATAATCTAAATTGTTATATGATTGAGATCACGAACTGATTGATATTAGATCACCATTGAAAACCTCGCTCGAATCCCGCGAGCGAGATCGTGGATGTGCATTGTTAAGGAGGCCCACAACAAGACGAAACGACCGTCCAGTGCTTCCAAGTTTTCAATGGTGGTCTAACATCAATCGGTTCATGATCTCAATCAAAAACTTAATAATCTCCACAACCCTATTCTGATAAATTATTACTATTATTATTATTATTATTATGATTATGATTATTATTATGATTATTATTATCATTATTAGCTTCATTCAACATTATATTTTTGGTACAACATAGAATTCTCAGCATAAAGTATTTCAACAAGTTTCCTTTTCTTATACCTTGATCTATTGTGACGATAAATTTTGAATGATGACCGGTTAGATGTTAGGAGTTCGGTAATCCACATTTGAATAATGTTCATTCGTTTCAATGCATATTGCCAGCCACCATGATGTCGATGATTGTACCTTTTTGTATCACGTATAGCGAAAGGTTGTAAACTTTTCATAAACGCGCCTGAATTAATTGTGCGCACAATAGACATAATGGTGTGCTAAAACAAGCAACAAAACAGATAACTTGATGAAATATGTAGATCGGAGGAACAGGTAGCCCATATATTCAAGCAGGCCGCCACATTTATATCATTGTTAAATTACTTTCAATATCTTCACTTTGAAAAGATAGTTTATGTTATGAATTAATTACCTTTAGATATTGAAAATCAAACAGCATTCGACACTGGTCTATAACTAGTATGAGGTTTCTCATCGTTATGTATCTACGATGCTGCCCGGAGAGTGTACGTCGTTACATTTAGACCATTCAGTTATCATCCAATAGTGTTCATTTCAAAGTTGTTATATACTTAAATTTTTCAATGGCTCATCCTTATAAATCAGTTGTATGACTCTATGTATCAATGGATATATTAGTGATAAATGTAGAATTAATTTTTGACATTTATCTTATATCATTCCGTTGATCATCTTCTGTTTTGTGTCTTTTGAGCTTTACTGGAACATGTCTGTATTCATAAGGAAGAATTTTCATAAACGTAGTTATTTACGGTGGGTAAAGCTTATTCGGGTGTTATACCGGTAACTACATATGTTATTTAATGAACTTCTAATTATTAAACCTGAAGTAGTTTTAGAATAATCGTCTACCCATAGTTCCTGTTACATAACAGCTTTGTAACGTGATTAATTAACATAAATAATACACCGACAAAAATACTCACTTCTCTCTTTATAACACGCTAATATAACCTCAAACAAATGAGCTCTGAAGTGTTCTTAAAAGCCCTCCAATATGTATTCGAAATTCGGTATTGTATCCATCTTTACCTAACCTGTTTTAAAGTTTCAAAATACCTTATTCACCTTTCTTTATGCTAATACCATAATCATTCCCATATTACATCAATCATTTGTAAATATCTCAATTACACAAGTGGACTGTGGTCTCCTGAGTTGGTCAGTGATAACATCTCAGATTGCGAAACCATGTAACTCGACTTTGAGCTCTGTATAAAGCATTAGTTCCCTAAAATTTGTAGGTACGCTTTGCTGTTGACAAGTACCGACTATTACGAGACCTAGGTCAAGCAAAGTTTCCATTCAAATACCTGAAATTATGAATGCTTATCGCAGAGGCCCCCGAATTCCCTGGCATGGTTGAGGGTGAGTAGAGTCAGCTCTCCCTCTCGAAATACTCTCACATGAACACGCGTATACACCAATTGCCAAAGAAGTTCTACTCACTGCCTCCTCTCGATCGAGGTGTTGTTTACGAAATTGAGAGGAAAAAAAGAATGTCCAACTCTCTCTCTTCTATTCTTAGTCATGTTGGTTGGGGTCCGCGCGGTTATCGTATTCAATGGTTGGAGGCTCTGGGTGAAATGGCTCAAAATCGATCACAATGGCGTAGGTGTATACACTCTGTCTTCACTTAAACACTGAGATTGAAATTACTTTAAGCTTTTCTTTCTACTAATTAATTGTTTCTTCCTGTATTATATTCTTATATACAATCTTTCTTTTATATATTACTATTATTGAAGTAACTACTTCTATGAATTTGGTGTTGTTTTTGTGTTGAGATGTGGAAACTTGGATCGATGCATATATGTGCCTGGTCCTACGTTGTAACTGACTAACCAGGATGGTGGATATAGAGGATCCACCTAGGAGAGTTGAAAAACTACAATTCCAAACTAATGGTGCACATAGGCTTCACGATCCTGACGGAACAAATGACATATCAACCTATTGTTGATCACCAAATACTGTGGGACTGCATCTTCTAACGTTGCTCTACTCCCTTATGGATTAGACCTCTAGATGAAAAGCTCTGTTAGTGGCCCTCTAAGAAAACCACCTGCTTTGATTTGGTCACCTGAGTAGTGTCTCAGCGCTCACAAAAATCGAATGATTTATGTGGTATCTGTATAGTTGGTGCCTCCTTATACCAATGTTTATGTGTTTAAATAAATAAATTACCTCAGAACAGTTTAAGTGTACATTCCTTTTATACTAGGAAACTTTAAGAATTATAACTGTATTTTGTTTTGTCATAGATATATCAAAATAAATGTATTTCTATGATTTTATATACATCTCTATTAGAATTTTTTACCAGAAGCAAAATCTTTGATATACGATTTACTAGAAAATCATGGTGAAAATGATGAACTTGTTTATTTTATGGAATTAATGAAAGGTAAGTCGTTATCATCCATAGTTCTGTTTTGTTAAATCATTTAATATTCAATGAATAATTTAAGTAATACAATAAGAAATTGAAATTTCATGTACTTGAATTTTTTGAACAGTTAAATCAATTTCCTAAGCTCTTTTAATAACCTCAGGCTAATTCTACACGACAAATTGTAGACGAGAGAAAAGGCGCCTAATATGAAAAAATCTCTTTACTCCGAATTCGATTCATCTACAGAAAACCTTTGGTGTTTATAGCATTTTTAGACGACCTTTTGCTTGCGGAAAGTTCTGGAACCCTACCACGCACGGTAGCAGTATAGGTAGGAATGTGTCTCGCGATTCTTTAGTATCTAGATATTTCCGAGAGAGTTCTACTGAATGGTGATTGGATAAAATGTTTCCCAGTGTTTTCAGGGCCCTTTTGGGTTTTTTCTCGAAGAGTTTTTTGGGTCCCCTAACAATTTCCAACCTCATTGTTTTTCTGTTACTGTTATTGGTGTTATCTTCAGGTTGGTTCAATAGATGTAGGCGAAGCCATTATTCATTTAGAATCTCTAAATCACTGTTAATCTTAATATTATCTAAAGCATTTGTGTAATGGTCTGTAAACCTAATTCTTAGACGTATAAAAATGGTTTCGATTTAATCACGTGATTGCTAACCAAGTATTAGGCTACATTATCTATAACTACTCTTATGTAAACATATTATCATCAACTGGTTATTAGTTATTCGTTAGATTTTTGGATTTTTCTGGACGTTTCTGAGGTGTGTTGTTAAGTGTAATAAAATAAAATAACCATACTGAAGTTCACTTTGTAATATTGCATATTTTGGGTCGATTTTTTGACATATTTCACTACTCCCCCCTCCAACTTTTAATGGATAAGGTTAACTTTAAGTTTATTCGTACTAAGAAATAATAATAATTACACATTTTAAATGAAGTTCTATCAGAAGATTTTCAGCAATCATCCAACCCTTAAATAATGCTCGTGAACAGGAAACTGGGGATAAGCAGGATGAATTCAGAATTGGACGTTGATGTATCGATCAACTAATTACTGCTCGTTAGGTTCTAAAACAAGGTCATAATTACAAGCTCGCAAATATCATAATATTTTCCTACCATAGAGCGGTATTCGACTCCGTTGACCGAGAAGTTTTGTGGTAGTTTATCATTGAAAAGCGTACCATAAAAAAAGAACATAAATAATGTGTAGGCTTTTTGAGACTTTTTAATCTGACTCCAATTACATCGCATGATGATGTTATCAAAATATGCATCCCGGTTATTCCTGTATATAACTATCGACTTATGTCGCATCAATGAATAACTTGATGAAATAAGTCAAATACGAGAATGAGCGTTGAATACGTATATTTTGTACGATCATTGTCCCAGACAGACAATCAGAGAGACTAAGTGGAGAAAGCGAAAGGGAGAGAGATGCCAACTCATTTTGTTAGAGTGAGATTCGGTATTTGTAGTCAGATAAAAGTAAGTTACACACATGTGATGGGTATCATAAGCAATGCATATACATACACTCATATAAAAACAGTCAAGGTTAATAAGCGAATAATTGACAAGGTCAAAATGTGAAGAAAAAGAAGAATGAGTGAATGAACTCGTCTATCCGGAAGCTAGAATAACCTATATGGGGTTGACTTGGTATTAAACACTACAAACTCGTCCTTCAAACATTAGTGTTCGAGTCAGAGCTTATGAATTACCAACCTCATATAGTGTCTATCAGGGTTGTCCATCACCCTGTTTTTATATAACTACATCATAGATGTCCTCGTGAAAATCAAAATTTCACCTAACTTTATAGGGATAGATTTCCTACCAGGATGTATACTGATCAACTGAGATAACACGGATGGTACAGTCCCATTTGGTGAAGATGTTGATGTGGTGGAGAGTCTTCTAAACACTTTAATCAAATATACAACCGTCTTTAAAGTATTTCTTAAGTGTTGTGGAATGGTTAAGCGATAAATGCTAAGGTTAAGACATAAGCCACTAGACAACGTTGGCAAACCGGTCTATGATGCAAATCCTCATCATTTTGAGGTGGTTGGGATATGTGTTGCGTCTGTTCAACCACCACGATGTTAACTGGTGTAGAAATAGGTTAAAAGAAAGCTAGAACCGATCAGACCGAGACCATGACATTTGCCCATGAAGTATTTCATTGTGGGATTGAGCGGTGTTAGTATATGTAGACTACTTGGATGAGGTCTACACGGTTATTTCAATCAGTGGTTGAAAATGTTTAGTGATAAGTCCCAGAATCAGTTACAATAATGCAGATGAATTCACTTGTCTTCCTCTAGATCTTGACTTTTCGTATTCCTCCATGCTTACCACCTCATCAAAATATCTTTCCGTTGTTTGTTCTAAATCAACATCACTACTGTGATTACTTCAACTCGTTCATCCTATTAATTTCATTTCCTTTACTAAGGTGAAATAACAACCTGATCTAACACACATTATTCCAATCCTTTATGTTGATTATGACGGTACAAGTGATATCAAACTTTCCGGTACACCTTTAGATCATTGTAGTCATAGGATCATTTAACTACCGCGTGTTTTGGTTCTGACTGTCATGATTAGCTACCAATTACCGTGACCTGTGATGTTAGTTGTCACAAGTAGTTGGTTGAAAATAAGGTAAGGGCCTACTTAGGTCTTTTCTGCAGTTGAAGTTAATTCCTCACCTTTTCTTTTCCTATAGTGGATCTTCTCTCTTTTTGTATTTCTTTGAGGTATATTCAAATGCATCTCATATCTTTACATTGACAATGACTAACTGGAACTATTTGTCGTTATTATAAAATACATAGAATTAAATTTCACCATACTGATACAGTTATTTGCCGGTAATTGTTTAGCTGTATATTTGTTCACTCATTAAGACTTCATTCTTTTGTCTTTTTTCTCTATCATTTGTCTCAATTTGAAAAATTAGATTATCCTCGTTTAGTCGATCATTATATGCGTCAATGTATGTACAGTGATGCCTTAAAAATATTAGCCACCTATCCAAACTGTTTAAATCGATTATATGATCATGCATCATGCTTAGCTAGTAAATGTCCAGAGGAATTTGTCAATGTATGTCTTCGTTTAAACAATAAATTGGACATTAATCGGTTAGTAATTAAAATCTTCTTATTCTTTTTTTTAAAATTGTACGTTTTGACGTAAAATTAGTTTAATTTTCAGTATTTTCGACCGGTGATTATGTGGTATAGGTTGTTCTAAATATCAGATTCATTTATTTGGCCTGTATACTCTAAGTTTGAGGTTGCTCATACTGAGATAGGTTCAGTGAAATTCAAACTCACGAATGGGTGGTTGAAAGTCGAACAGCTTAAATGTTATAAGCCACCGTTCTCTATCTGGTAATATGAATAACGTTAGCCACGCGTATATTGCCTCTGCCAGGGAAGTCCTACTCACTGCCTCCTCGCATCCAATGTGTTTCTTACGAAATCGCGAAGACGAAAAGCGAATGTCCGGCGCTTTAACCGGGATGGTGGACATGGAGAGTCCACCTAGGGGAGTTAGAATACCCTGATTACGAACCAGTAGTGTACATGGGTTCCAGTATGGCGTATGAAACATTTGTTGGTCACTGGCTACCATGGGACTGCATCTCCTTACGTTGCTCCACTGCCTTGTGGATCACACCTTTAGGTCAAAGGCTCCGGTTGTGGTCCCCTAAGAAAACCACCTGCTTCGGTTTGGGCACCCAGGCAGTATCACAGCCCTCATACAATTCAAATGAGATTTGTGTGACGCATGTGTATTTGGTGCCTCCTTGTACCAATATTTATGTGTTCAAAGAAATAATATTAATAATGATTCACATTTGAATTGTTGTACTGTTTTATTGTTGTGATTATATAGCCAACAATAATAACTTAAAACACAGCATAGTGTTACTCAGTTTCATGTTGTCTCAGGGTCAGTGGATTACAATGAGAAGGAAGCGGTGTCTTGTTTGTTCATTTGATTTCAACAACTTTGTGGTAGTAGTAGTAGTAGTACACTTTTAAGTTAGCAAGTCAGTGTCTAGGCGTTAATGTACAAGATTTATCATAGGATATATATTTCCAGTGAATTACAAACTAGAATAGAATAATTTCATGTCCAAATGAGGACCCTATGAACTAAGTGTTGTGATGGCTTCCAGAAGCCTGACAAAGCCTCCAGAGGTTTTGAAGAAACCCAAGATATTCCGTTCATTCAGAACCTGATAGAACCTTCTAGACTGTCAACATGACATTCTCTGATTGGACAATTGTATACCTTCTCTTTTTGTGGATTGGCTTGATTATGATGATGTTATACCCAATACTAAAAACTATAAATACCCCTATTTTCCGTTCATTCTTGACACTTATCCAATAATCATTTCCTTTGCTTTTTCCATTTTTTGATTTGCAACTGTGGCGTTCCACACGTTCGAATGCCGATTGTCATACAGCGTATTCTGCCGTAATCAAGCAGACACTATAACACTAAGATAATTTGTTCACTAGAAATTTTTTTCTTAGTGTAAACAAGTATTTAATCCAATTTTTCTAAACTTGACTTTTTGTATCAGCTATCCGTAGCATTATAATATTTTTATTCATTAGTGTTTGTTTAATGATAATAAATCGAGAAGCTGAACAGATAGACTTCATAACTCCGTTAATTTCTTTTCTTGTGGTAATCTGTTAATTCACTGTTGAAAGTCCAGGTTTGTGACTCATCATCAGTGCTTATCCATGATCCTGCACGCATGATTCAAACCCAAGACCTTCGTTCTCGCGTGCGAACGCTCAACGTCTAGATAGCTTGTATTTATTTCGAACTTTTGCTGAGAATAGTATAAACATCATGCTTGTTATATATGAGTGAATAGTTACTCGGATTCGGTAACTTAATGTACATTGCGTTGGGAGCAAAATGTACTAGGTTGGAGTTTCAATGTGAATAATAGTACTTAAGGCGTAGGTACATCCATATGACTAGTCTTAAATAAGACCGAATTCACATCCTGGTTTCTACTGCTAATCAAAAGCCATTTATTATTTCTTTAACCATACCAAACATAAAATCACCAATTTAAACATTTTAACTAAAAGTATAGTTAACAATTGAACTCAGTTGACTATCTTCTTCAATCTATGGATGATTGTTTCAAAACACTTACCTGAATTCATTAGTGTTTAACTATATACTGGAGTAAAAGACAATTGATCATACTTCTCAACAACTTAAGTATTGTGAACAGACGAACTTGATTCTAATATTTCTTTATCCTCTTCTTTTTTTGTTGTTTTAAAAATGTATCTTACTTATTAAAAGTTTTTGACATGATGTAACTAAAGTTGTCTTAAAGTTGAGGCATATTGGTTGAAAGTTAAGTCATAAGTAACTTTGAATTTGACACAAATGTGTATTGGTTCAAAATGCCACATTATTTATGCTCAGCAAGGCATGAAATAAATTGTAAACTTACAATCCAAATAAAGTTGAAAAGTGTTTACATTTAAATTGTTTCAATCCCAATTTCCAGTCATATCATCCAGTACTATGGAGAGCCAAAAGTCAAAAGTGACCTAAAGGTCAAGTGCATTTCGTTGGGGTCAATTTCCCAAGGATAGAGTGTTCTATAAATCAATGAGTATTTGTGTATTTCATTTGGAAGCCAAATGCACTTTCTTACTCACTCTTATGTTCTTGCTTAAGTAGGCAATTGGGGGTGGGTTGGTTAGCACATATGATATCAGATTTCGGATACCTCTTGTCAAAACACCTAGCTCCTCCAATCGGTGTTCACAACTATAGTACAAACCCTAACCAGTTAGTTAGCTTTCACTTATCTATAGAGGTTAGTTTAACAGTCAATCATTTTAACCAGCTGTTTAAAAGCGAATTCATTGAAGCATAATATTTTGAATAGAAAACGTATTGGTTGGAAAACAAATAAACAAACTTTAATCCGTAATCGCCCAAAACCATTACTCTATTATTACTTCTCTTGGTCAATTTTCATTCTTTAGTAAACGGAATACACCCATTAAGATACTAAATAAGAAAGATTAGTTCAGCGAAGAGTTCATTCAAATGAATTCGCCGAAAAGAGAACCTTTCACTAAACTAATCTTTCTTATTCAATTTTCATTCATCCTATTTTTACATAATTGTAATTTATTTGTCTCGTTTCTTCTTTTTCTCTCCCCCCTCTTCCTTATTTCTTTATGAATAGACTTCTACCTTCAATTATGTTGTTACCAAATAATTATGCAATAAATTACTTAGAAGATACTATTGGAATATATACTAATAAAAGTATATCAAATCAAGCTGTACATCATATGCTTATTTCATTATATGCTAATGAATATCATTCAAATCATAATGATGATAGATTAATGAAATATTTAGAAAAATTTAGTATCCAAGCCATTCATATAAGACGTTTAAAACAACAACATCAACAAAATATTGTTGATAATGAAGATTTATTTAATGATTATCAATTATTGAATATCGATTTAACTGAATTATCATTGTTAGAACATGATAATGATATAGTAAATGATTGTTCTACCGGTAATGTAATGAATAAACTAAAATGTTTAACAAATCAACATCAAGAACAAAATATTCAGTCATGTAAGTGAATACATTTTGTGTGATATGTTGTTTGGTGGACACGGAGAGTCTGTCTAGGGGAGTTGAGAAACCGTGATTCCAAACCAATTATGCACATGGGCTCCAGTATCCTTAAGGAACAAATGGCGTATAAACCTATTTTTGGTCACCGGCTACCATGGGACTGCATCTCCTTACAATGCTCCACTGCCTTGTGTATCAGACCTTTAGGTCAAATGCTCGCGGAGTGGCTCCCCAAGAAAACCACCTGCTTCGTTTTGGACATTCGGGCAGTATCCTAACCCTCACATAAATCGAATGATTTATGTGGCGCATATCTATTTGCTGCCTCCTTGTACCAATGTTTCTGTGTTTAAATGAATAAATAAGAGTTTTTTTTATTATCTACACGTTGATGTTCATAGTAGTGGACACTGTTGATGACTTTTCTCGAGGAAGCGTAAAAAACATTTGACTTTGAATTCATTTTTGTATTGGTTGCTTGAATAAAAGACTGATCAATTGCAATCGGAAACATCAATGGGAAGAGTTAAACAACTAATACAAAAATGAATTAAAACTTCACTCGATTGTATAAGCTAGTGGTTATCTAAACTAGCTAAGTGGATAACTTGATAGTGTTTGAAGCGAACGGTACTGGGTTCGAGTCTCAGAGTAAACATTAACATCCAGTTGACCAGTTCCAAATAGGATGAAACGCGCATCGTGAATTCCACTGCTATCCATCATCCATCTCTGCTTATAATACTCGACCTTGAAGTTTTTCAATCAGCATTTTATGGAATGCATAAATGAAAAATATTTTACTTCCAATAAATTCTGTTGTGTCTTGTACATGAGAATACGGACAACAACATTTTACTTTCTTCCTAGTTTCCACAGATCTACTTTTGAGACCTAAACAGAAAATAAGAGATAAGAAATATGCAAAGCTTTTTACTTAGTTAGTTAATTTATGCACAGAAAAGAAGTGTATTTATAGGTTAAGTGAATTTGAGCTTCTACAAGCCTCTTCTAAACATATTAAATCTAAGGATTACATCGGTCGTTACCCAATCAGAAAATGACAACACCATTGGTTATTTTCTAGAATCCTCTTGGAAGTTTCGTATGAACACTGTGTTAGTCGAACGATTCTCAGAATTTTCCTAGCTTCTGGAAAAATGTTTCAAACACTGAATAAGAAAATCTAACAAAATCCCTCACCTTACATTCTTTAATGATAAGTTCCATTTAATAATCGGAGTGAAATAGAGTAGTTTGATGATGAATGCTGTTATGCTTATACGATTACCGCGAATGCAATTATCAAATTTAGATACGTGGATTTATAGGACCAACAAATGACACATGCACGTGAACGAACAACATGGAGTCCCGACCAGCCCTATTCCCTGCCTGTCAAGTCCAGAATATTAATCTCAGCCTCCGTGATATGAATCATATATTTCAAGCAACAAAATAAACAGACCACACTATAATTAGAAAATAATATTTGTATGGGATCAAGCCAAAAAGTGGCTATCATTGTGGAGGACTGTAATTAATAAACTGGGCATAACTTAAGAATCGTATAATAGTCCATAGGTCAAAATAATGCTTACAGTACGAGGAGTATGAATATACATTGTTTAGTTACTTAACGGTTATACAATAAAAATATATAATATTAGTCTATAAATAGATCCCAACCGTTACCTTTCATGATTCATATCGGGATATAACAGATACATTCTTTAAAAAATTTACAGCGAATGAATAAGGTTAATTCATCTAGGTACTTGTTTATTCTAAACTTAATTATTTAGGAGGAAACTTATGGATTACAAATTAAGTTTTTCTACAAGGTGGTTTGAAATAGTCGACTCGGAACTCTTCTTGATTTTGTATTGTCTTGTATTTTTCGATGGGGCTTACCTGTACTCGTTCGGGAAATAATGCCTCTCGTATAGTTCAAACCTAACCACGCAGCTTCATAGTTTGACATGTTATTCAATGAGCTATTCGATTCAAAATGGACTTATTGGACCGAGCTACTTACAAGTGACTAATCACTGTGTCATAAACAATTTCATATTTTATTCGTCTGGTTCTTCTTAGTCCTGATCGAATTTTATTAGCAAAGATCCTATTTATGCCACTTGTCTGAATGATTCAAAATTATGTGTTCTATATTAAAGCATTAGATGGTTTGGAGTTAATCTCTAAAGTTGGATAGTATTTTTACTCATATATCGAGTTCATTTTGACTTTACTTTTTTTTCTACATAGTGTTACCCTATGATCCTGGTTATGTGCTTCGTTTATGCAAAGAAGTTGATCATTTAAAAGGTGTACTTTATATACTACAATTATTGGATATGCATCAAGAAGCTTTACAATTAGCCATTGAATTGGTACGGTTTTATGAAATTATTATTATATTAATTTTCATTATTATAAAATTTGTTAAAATTAACATTTGGTAATACAATTAGTCTATTACTAACATTGTGGTTGATACTACTTGTGTTGATGGACATAGGTAGTATGTAACATCTATCAGAAGAGGACTGCCTGGAAGCAAAAGGTTAACAAGATCGGATTGATGAAAACAGAATCCCAAATAGAAAGGAATTGTGAATTTGAAGAATCATACAGAATGTAAAGCATATTTGATGGAAGATTTTCAAATGAAGTATTTAATGTATAGTTCCCATATTTTACCTAGATGTTCTGTAATTTTCCATTGAATTTATCTGAGTTCTCATTCATTATGGTATTACTCTTGTGATGTATGCTACTAACATGGTCAGATATAAGTAGTGTGTCAGGTATGGGAAGTGAAATTCTTACTGACAGATCATGTTAATGAAAAGTGAGGAAAAAACTGGAATCAATTAAAATAACGGCAGAAATGAAGGAACAATGAAGTTTGAAAGCGACAACTCAAAGAAGAAGTGCAAATGACATTGTTTACGAAATCGAGAGGATGAAAAGCGAATGTCTGACACTTTGACCAGGTTAGTGAATATGAGGATCCAACTACAAGAGTCGAAAAATCACGATTCAAAACCAATGGTCTAAATGGGCTCCACGATCCTGAGGGAACAAATAACTTATCAACCTATTGTTGGTCACCGACTAAAATGGGACCACATCTAACTTTGCTCTACTGTCTTGTGAATTGGACCTCTAGGTGAAGTGCTCGGGTAGTGACCCATCTATGAAAACCACTTGCTTCAGTTTGAACACCCGAGCAATATTCCAACCCTCACAAAAATTGTATGACGAAGTGTGGCGCATGGATATTTGATACCTCAAGTGGTGTCCGTCAAGGATGTCCACTTTCCCCATTTTTGTTTAACTTCATCATAGACCTACTGATGGAAATAACTTTCTCGTCGACTGAGTTCTCGGGTATTGATCTCCTTCCAGGAGGTCCACTTATCGACTTAGAATACGCAGATGACATAGTCCTGTTTGGTGAAGACGCTGACAAAATGCAGAGTCTTTTGGTAGCACTGAGCAACAATGCCAGAATGTTTGGAATGCGCTTCTCTCCCTCTAAATGCAAGTTGTTGCTTCAGGACTGGTCTGCGTTAACACCTGAACTAAGGATAGGGAGTGAAGTAGTCGAACGCGTTGACAACTTCACTTATCTTGGAAGTCTGATCAGCCCTAATGGGTTGGTATCGGACGAAATCTCAGCACGGATTCGAAAAGCTCGTTTGGCTTTTGCCAACTTACGTCACCTGTGGCGAAGGCGAGATATCCGTCTATCAATAAAAGGACGAGTATACTGCGCGGCAGTCCGTTCTGTTTTACTTTACGGTAGCGAAACATGGCCATTAAAAGTAGAAGACACTCGCAAGCTGCTAGTATTTGACCACAGATGCCTTAGAAATATTGCTGGCGTCTGCTGGGATAATCGGGTAAGTAATAGTGAGGTTAGACGCAGGGTATTAGGAAAGGATGGTAAATCAGTTGATGAGGTTATGAATCTTCATCGACTGAGATGGTTGGGCCACGTGTTACGTATGCCTGAACACCGATTACCACGACGTGCAATGCTATCCGATGTTGGGGATGGTTGGAAGAAAGTTAGGGGTGGCCAAACCAAAACGTGGCATCAGTGCTTGAAGTCACTAACTTCTAGTCTGAGCCATGTTGGTAGATGCAGACTACTTGGTTGGGGTCCGCGTGACTATCGTAACCAATGGTTGGAGACTCTTGGTGACATGGCTCAGAATCGATCACAATGGCGTCGGTGTATACACTCGGTTTCTTCCCTTAAACTAAGAGATTAAAAGCGCTTCATATCTTTCTTTCTACTAACCAATTCTTTCTTCTTGTACTATATCTCTATATGCAATCTTTCTCTTATATATTACCACCTTTTACCTAACCACTGTTATGAATCCGGTGTTCATCTTGTTGTGCTGATGCGGTATGGCAACCTGGACCGATGCACATAAGTGCATGGTTCTACGTTGTAGCTGACTGACCTTCTTTTACCAGTTATTTATATATTTAAATAAATAATTACAATAAAGTAATCACCTTTTTTCCATAATCATTTTAATTTCTTGATAGAATAATATTCCATTCGCTAAAGAAATTGCTCAAAGTGAATTCTTGAATTCTAATGTACGTCGTCAATTATGGATTCAATTAGGTAAGCAATGTGATATGTTGTATGATGCATCATCTTGGTTACTGTTTAAGTTAAGATTTCTTACAATGTTTTGTTTCTTCACGAAATTGATCGTATCTAGGCATGTTGAGATTCTTTTTTCTCGTTCGTTTAGTGAGTAAGTGCTGTTTACTAAATTGTCATTTTTACTAACGAATTTATCTCAAATGGTTGGAGTTATCTGAAACTGTTTCAAATGTTTTTAATGTAGCGTATTCCGATATTATTAAATATTAAATCACAAATTTGTTAAAAGTAACTGACAAATAACTGGTTAGTACCCTACACTTAATGATACTTGAGAAGTTTGTGAATTACCTTAAGTCTATTTTAGTAGATCAAGTCTGATATGTATATGATATTTATCACAGATGAAGCTCAGTTAGGCTGAACATCTATTTCTCCTAAATTGTACAAACTCGTGACCTCACTTGTAATGCGATCCCCAATATTCAAGTCTCTGGATGAACACTTTACAACTAGAATGTCTGTATCACCGTCCAGTGGTAAATTTCTAAATTCAATCAATTTATTATTCAGAGTTTTGATCAGTTACTGACACTAACGAAAACTGTTTTACTCCCTAAGTATTTGAACTCCACCAGTCACGATTTCCTACTGGAACCTTGAGATAATCATCATATAAGTTGTTAGTGAGCTGATTGTTGTAGTTTAGTTGAAGGGGCTTTGTTGAAATTATTGTATTGGTCTTAGCTAGACATTTTTGGACTAGAATATTCGGTTTACTACTTTCGATTTTTTGGCATTAAATGAATAACGAATTGCAACATTATAGATAGACTCATTATTATGATTATTAAAATTAGTAGCATATATGACGAGAGCATAAGTGCCATTTTTCGCGAGAACATTTGTACAAGAGATACTTGATTAAGTAATTCTGCGGTAAGTTTTCTCAACTATTTGTGCGATATATGTTACATCCGGACGAAGAATAAGTAAATAGTAACTGCTAGGATCAATTTATGGACTATTATTATATATATTCTTATTGTATAACGATTGAGTAACTACTTACTCTGTCCTGGGCCTTCTTTTCTAGTTCCATCCAATTCTTGTTCATTTTTCTCATGTCTATCTCCATTTCTCGGCGTAATGTGTTCTTTGGTCTTCTTCTTTTCCTTTGGCCTTGAGGATTCCATATGAGGGCTTGCCTTGTGACGCAGTTGAGTGCTTTCCTCAATGTGTGTTCTATCCACTTCCAGCGCTTCTTCCTCATTTCTTCCTCCGCTGGGATCTGGTTTGTTCTTTCCCACAGTTTGTTGTTAATAGTGTCCGGCCAACGGATCCGAAGTATTTTGCGTAGACAACTGTTAATAAACACCTGTATCTTGTGGATGATGGCTTTCGTAGTTCTCCAGGTTTCCGCCCCATACAGTAGAACTGGTTAAAAAACGCTAACCAGATTAAGTAACTATATTATATGTATATTCATATTCCATTATAAACTTTCATTTGACTTACTTACTACTACTATACTATTTACTATTCTTAAGTTACTCTCAATTTATTAGTTACAGTTTCTCATAATCACAGACACTTTTGATCTCATCTAGTATAATTGTTATTTTGTATTTTATGGTATGATGCAGTCTGATTTGTGTGTATATAAACCAAGTATATATGAAATACAGGATTCATATAACAGAGGCTAATATTGGTGTTCTGAAATGAACCGGCTGGTTTAAATGTGAAGCTACTATCTGAGAGGACCAATTAGGATCTCGGAGTTGACTGTAGGCTACTCGTATTTGTTTATACGTCATTGATCTGGTCAATAAATCTGTGTTCTAATTGGAGATTTTATCACATGATAATTAATGGGTATAAGCACATAGAAATATAGAAATGGTATTCAATTGAGACTTTGTAATGCGATCACTAATCCTAGGAAGTATCCACTTACGACAATACTACTTTTGACCAATATTAATTTTAAAATAATTTTTTTCTTATGGTATACATCTGTCATCAACCTGCTGCCACATAGTATAATTTTTGTTTTGAGCTGTGAGTTAATGCTTTGGTATTGAACAATAAATAGTATTGTAGTGTGTACTACTTATTTTGACAGATATAAGTAAGATGTAGCTCCGATCGAAAGTAGAGGGCCTGTGAGCAAAGATTGCAATGAAGAAATGACAGAAGAAAACAGTAAGTAATCAAAATCACAACAGGGATGAATGAATGATGAAGTTTGTGAAAGACAAATGATGGAAGATGTGCAAATAATGCAATAGGAAGATTCAAATAGGCAATACAAAAATGAATTAAAACTTCACTCCATTGTGCAAGCTGATGGTTTTCTGGGCTCAGTACTAGGTTCGAGTCTCAAATAGGACAAAATACGCGTCGTAGATTCCACTGCTAGCTATCATTCATCATGTTAAGTTCCCATTTTTTTACGAAGAAACTCCGTAATTTGGCATTAAACAATAAATTGGTTGTCCCCACATGATTTCTTCGATCACCACAGTATTATCAGTGTTGTAATAAATCTGTAATACGTGGTAAATCTATGTAAACTCATTTATACAGTATATACCCAGTTCTGTCTTCGTTATTAATCATAAACTTACAGTGAGTTCTACTTTTTCATATCAATCTAAAGATATTCTCAATACTTCATCGTTTCGTCATAGCTAAATGTTTTACTAAACAGCGTACCATTGTTTTCGTATGTGTATATGGATAAGCTATTGATTTTTCTAAGAGACTAACTCTACAACGAATATTCTGCTCCTTTGTTTGTTCATCTGAGATGTCGTTATTATTCTTCTCACTTTCAGCACGACATATTATTAGTACTGATGGAAGTATGCAAGAAGCTATCAATTTATTACGAGATTGCCCTCTATTGAAATTAGAGGATATCCTTCCATATTTTCATCAATTTGTTACTATTGATCAGTTTAAAGTAAGTTTTGTTCTAATATCCTCTTTTATATGTTGCTTCATTGACCCTACTCTCTCTCTCTCTATCTATCTATATATATATATATATATATACTAGTCCGTTCAGGTCATAAAAAATCACTTTACATACACCAGTCATATCTTTCAAAGTAAATACTCTCTATTTATGGAAGTATACTTGTCTTATCTCTGTTTGTATTATTCAAAAAAGTTCTATTATCTACATTTATAGACTGTAACCATATTTCCATTATATTCTACGTCTGATTATATTACTGAAGTCACAACAACCTCATTGGGATTATTAATTGTCTATAATCGTGGATTATGGTACCAAATGCAACTCGAGCACAAGAGAGCTTGTTGATTTAAGTAACGTCCCATTACTTTTCTTTGTATATATATATATATATATATATATATATATATATATATATATATATATATATATATATATATATATATATATATATATAATTTAAAATTAATATTGGTCAAAAGTAGTATTGTCGTAAGTGGATACTTCCTAGGATTAGTGATCGCATCACAAAGTCTCAATTGAATACCATTTCTATATTTCTATGTGCTTATACCCATTAATTATCATGTGATAAAATCTCCAATTAGAACACAGATTTATTGACCAGATCAATGACGTATAAACAAATATGAGTAGCCTACAGTCAACTCCGAGATCCTGATCGGTCCTCTCAGATAGTAGCTTCACATTTAAACCAGCCGGTTCATTTCAGAACACCAATATTAGCCTCTGTTATATGAATCCTGTATTTCATATATACTTGATTTATATACAAACAAATCAGACTGCATCATACCATAAAATAAAAAATAACAGTTATACTAGATGATATATATATATATATATATATATATATATATATATATATATATATATATATATATATATATATATATATATATATATATATATACAAAGAAAAGTAATGGGACGTTACTTAAATCAACAAGCTCTCTTGTGCTCGAGTTGCATTTGGTACCATAATCCACGATTATAGACAATTAATAATCCCAATGAGGTTGTTGTGACTTCAGTAATATAATCAGACGTAGAATATAATGGAAATATGGTTACAGTCTATAAATGTAGATAATATAACTTTTTTGAATAATACAAACAGAGATAAGACAAGTATACTTCCATAAATAGAGAGTATTTACTTTGAAAGATATGACTGGTGTATGTAAAGTGATTTTTTATGACCTGAACGGACTAGTATGCTTTGAGAATTCGAATAATGATTCAATAAAAATCAACCAATATACTAAATTAATTGAATGAGAATGTCATTAACATTGACAAAATCAACTGATCCGACACTCTGTAGTCGATTCTAATGATAAATATTTTGGTAAAGTATGTATTGGTTATTTTTCCATACGATTTAAATCTAATTCATTTCAATCTACACCCAGTCAGGTTGTATACTATTTACTGAACAAACAATACACTGAATAATTTAGCTAAAATGAAGTGATGTTATAGTATATTACTATAAGTAGTCACTTGTTTTAAAGGCCAACAATGATGTTTTTGTAGCTTATTACGAATTATTCATACAGCATAATATTTGTACCTCGTTTGTACAAAATGTGTTGTGCCATACTAATAAATGACATGTTGCATCACAATTGATTGGTCACTGGGTGGTGATCAATATCATGTGTGTCAAGTCCTTATTTAGTGCAGATCGAATGCTATCGACCTTGCTGACGAGTGCCAATTAGCACGAAACCCGGGTCCAGGGTTTCCTGTTGACTACCTCCAACCACCATCTAATCTCGACATGTTGCATCTTATACCCGTCTATCGACCAAAAAACGAGTTTAGACACTAGCACACTTTGTTCTTTTCTATGGGTATGAATTATTACTTCCATAAATAGAAGATATTCATAGATTATTGGGATTCCATAATGGGTGTCTTAAAAATATTCCTCTTATATGTTGGGTACTTTGAGTGGGCAAGGTTCAGTTTAAATGGACAGTACAATATAAAGAAGATAAGTCGATTGATGAGAGCAAATCTTCATCAACTATGGGAGTTGACGCATACATTTAGTATTCTCAAACACCGCCTACCTGGACGTAAGTCGTTGGCTGGTGTAGAGACAAGATGGAAGAAATCTGGGAGCTACAAAACCAAAACACCAAGTCAGTTCATGAATTCATGCAATATTTAAATGAGCCAGGTAGGTAAGTTCAGACTATCTGGTTAGGGTCCGCGCAATGATCATAACCAGAGGTTGTAAATGTTAAATGACATGGTTTATAATCAATCGAAACTGTGCAGGTGCCGTTACTCTTTGTTTCCCCTCAGATTTTCAGTTTTAAATTATTTTTGGTTTGAAAATTTTATCCCACTGAGCTTGTATGTTGTGGTAACGCGGACCGATGCACATATGTGCTAGGTTCTATGCTGTTTATGACTGATTGACTAACGGCAAATTTTAAAGCCACACAAAATGTTATTGACAAAAAGTAACTGAAAGTAAATGGGGATGAAAAATTAATGTAACCGATTTTTCACAATTTATGTACTAACCTTTTAATCAAAGCTTAACTTGAGTGAGGATTAGTGTTACTCTCCGACTATTCAGAGAAAAGTAGACGAGGCAGTGAGAACCTGGTGACTTACTGGTTGAAAATCGTGTATTAACTGTTAAGCCTATCACTTCACTATCATAAAAAGAATCTATGATTAACTTTATAGTTTTAATATTTAAAACAATAGTTTTCCACATTTTTTAAATTTAGGATACAAAAGTTTGCTTATGTGAGCTGAACAGGTGTAGAAAGTAATCCGTAAACAAATGTGAAACTCATGTAAAGTTCACAATTATAAAGCTATTTACACAAGAAATCACGATGTTGCATAATGCCACAAAAAGTCAGTCACCAGATCTATAGAATAACCAGGAACTAGGGAAGAGTCCAGTACTGACAATTATACATCGGTAGATAAAAAATTATTCCTCATTAAGCAGTGTAATGAACAATTAAACTTTACTGTAAGTCACATAATACTTCCGATAGGTGAAGTCATAAATATATTTTGAGTACTGAATAGCACTAGGTTCAATTCATAAATCTTTTTTTCACTGAATGATTACAAGTCAAAAGTTTACATTGCAACTACTATTGAAGTTTACTACTCAAATATATAGTCGAGATGACTACGAAGCTAATGACTGTTTTTTAGTGCTTAGAATAAAAAATTTAATAGTTTATCGAGAAATCTAAAATAACCATGGATTTGTTATACCGACTTACAACTGTTTTGCTTCGCACGCATAATTCTTTCTCTACTTATACTGCTATTACGTCTACTACTCTGAAATTCGATTTGACGATTCCCTTCTCACTATGCTTTTGTTGTACGGTGACTTTGACACAAGCACATATATGCATGAGTTTGGTATTACTCGACATTTAATTTTACGATTTGTTAATTCTTGCATATTACGTATTATCCTTTATTGTTCTCCATTATTCTTTCCCGGGCTTTTGAGGAGGGACAGTGATGTATTGCGGAGAGTGCTGAATCTTTTAAGGTCATTATAAATATAGTTCTTGATAGACATTTGAAGTTTTGCAAAGTGTTGTTGCGTGTCATCTTATCAGATACTAACTATACACTTCATTCACATCTTTCTCCTTGTATATATTCCATCAGAACGAGACGTCAATACGTTAGAATCCGTGCACTTATTGAAAAGTACAAAAGCTTTACAATACCTTATTTAGCAAATATAGTCTTGATGAACAGGTTGTTGGAGCTGACTTAGCCAATAGCTTGTATTCTTAAACATGCTTCTACTTAAACAGTTGTACAGATCCAAATTTTCTTTTATAAAAAGACATTTCATTTACTTTCAGTTATTGTATTTACTTAATTAATGTGTATTTGTACGGAGTTATCGGTTTTCCTTTCTTCTTTGTTTTGTAAAGTAAATTTCAAATACTTTATTCATTTATTTGACCACAAAAACATTGGTACGTAGAGACACCAAATATTCATGAGCCACACTGTATCATTCGATTTATGTGAGGGATGGAATATTGCCCGTTCGCCCGAACCGAAGCAAATGGTTTTCATAAATGGGTATTTCACCTAGAGGTTCAATTTACATGACAGTAGAGCGAAATTAGGAGAAACAGTCTCGTGGCAGTTGGTGACCAACAATAGGTTGATATGTTTTATATTCCCTCAGGATCCTGGAGCTCATGTTGAGCATTTGATTGGAATCAGTGTTTTCCAACTCCTTTAGGGGGACTCTACGTGTCCACAATACTGGGTAAAGCGTCAGACATTCGCCTTTCTTCCTCTCAATTTTGTAAACAACACTCCTGCCACGAGAAGGCAGTGAGTAAGACTTCCCTGATAGTCGCTGTATACGTGTGGCCGTGTGAAAAAATTTTGAGAGGGGGAGCTGTCTCGCCCCACCTTCGATTGTAACATGACATTTGGGGGCTGAGATTTTTATATTGTACCTAAAATATAATATTGAATAAAGCCATTAATAATAATAGCATTTTGCGATATATTCGACTGACTTATCATTACATGGACATTCATTTTGAATACTTATACATTATTGATGATGTTTGTGGTAGTTCTGGGACTTTCGATTCCATATAGTAGGACTGACTTGTCGTTCGTATTAAAGATTCCGACTTTGATATTGTCTGACAGTTGTTTTGAGTTCCATGTGTTCTTCAGCTGTAGGAATGCGATCCTTGTTTGCCAATCCTTGCCTTTACATCTGCATCGGATCTTCCTTAATCATCGATGCTTCTCAGGAATGTGAAAGTTTCCACCTATTCCAGATCTCCATTACGTGTGATCGGGTTATTGTTTTCCGTGTTGTATTTGAGGATCTTGGCTTTCCCCTTGTGTATATTGAGGCTTATTGATGCATAGGCTTATGTTACACTGTTTGTCTTGACCTGCATTTGTTGATGTGTATGGGATAGAAAAGCTAGTTCATCTGTGTAGTCCGAATCACCTAGTCGCATTCAACCTGTCCATTTTATTGCGTGCTTCCCCTTAGATGTGAAGGTTTTCATAATCCAGTCAACCACCAAGCGAAAGAGAAAGGGGGAAGGTAAACAGCCTTGTTTGAATAATACAATAATTTATGAAGTAGTAATCCTTAAGTAGTTAATGATTTCCACATATGAATTACTTCATATCGTTATTTAAGTCATCTATCTCACTATATTTTCAATGAATTCGAAGATTTGAACGTTCCTATAAAAAACAGTTTACATCCATCAAGAAAAACTCGAAAAAAAAGAGTCTATCGGCACGTAGATAAGTGGGTTTCTGTAGTGATGTTCATGTTGGATTAAAGTTGGTAAAATGTTAATAAAACTTGAGAAAACTAGTAATGTTGCTTATAGTTGTCTATTAATTCAACTATTTCATCTTAAACTTACATTTTATGCACATTCTCTGATTTAATTATTGTTCATCTATTTATCTTAGTATCTTTTTTTCTCATTTACAATAAATAGGACGTGATCTGTTCATCATTGGATTCGTATAATGAACGAATTGATAATGTGAAAAACGAAATACAATGTACGATGAAAACTATTGATGAATTACGTACACAGTCGAATAATCTACGCTATAGGTAAGTTTCTGTCGTTTCTGGATCTTTTCTCTCTCTGTAAATATATACATTTATATGTACTGATCATGAAGTATATCATCAAATTAAGAACTGTTATATGCAGTAGTTACTATTTTCATGTTTATTTAAACACAAATATTAGTACAAAGGAGCACGAAAATGTATATGGGCCACATTAATCATTGGATTAGTCTATGGGGTAGGATACTTCTCGAGTGACCAAATCAAAGCAGTTGGTTTTCTAAGAGGGTCACTTCCCGAGCTTTCGACATTAAGGTCCAATCCACCAGGCAGTAGAGTGACGTTAAGATATACAGTATCATGGTATTCAGTTACCATACACAATTTGTTCCCTTAAGATCGTGGAGCGAATTTATACTAATAGCTTGTCATCAAGATTTCCCAATTCTCCAGTTTGGATCATTGTACCCATCAACCCAGTTAAAGCGTTGGACATTCGATTTCCGTCCTCTCCATTTTGTAAACAACACCCTCGTCACGTAAAGGCAGTGGGTAGAGCTTTGGCATTGTATATAAATGGTCAGCCATATGAGAGCGTTTTGAAAGGAAGATCGGACTGTCCTACACTCGGCCATACTAAAGCATTTGAGGACGATAATATGCAGAGCCAATCAGAAGTATCCTAATGAAGCCAACTGATGGTGATCAGAAGTGATCCAAAGTTCAAGTGAATATAATTGGAGTCAGTGAGTCAATTTCCTAAGGATAGAATGGTGTATATAAGAATGAGTATTTGTGCATTTCATTCTGTAGTCCAATCCAATTTGTCGCTCACTCTTGTGTTCTCGTTCAAGTAGTCATTTGGGGGAGGATTAGCGCCTAGCATATCGTGTATCAGTGTCAATATTTGACACTGCAACACATATATTGTTTGTTATTGTTTTTAAATCAAATGAAATGAAATCATCAGCATAATCTTAATTGATAAAAGTAGAAGTTATATACAGAGTTGATTATTTGCTTTCGTCTTTGACATGTAATTCCCTCTTAAGAAGATATAATTATATAACCTACTAAATTGTATATAATTATTGGTTATAGATAATTCATTATATGATATTGTAAATTTGTGTTCATACATCAAGTTATTAATTGATGTATTGAGATTTCATTTGAATTTCCCCTTTTTTCTGTTAAAGTACAGTAATTTTCTCAATTACAGTTTTTAATTGTATTCAGTAGACTGTATTCTAATAAGAGTTATCTACTGGTTTCTTAACTGAAGATATATTATTCGGGTTATAATTGTTAGGCCTGTTTGGTGTCTCGCTCTTCTGTAAAACGAGATTTATTTGTACTGTTTGGGTTGTGGCGTCAATGTCTAGATGGTGTATGGTTCTCCTGAAAACCAATGTAAAATTACCCTGGTTCAAGTGGGTGTATTACATAATTGTGATGTCCCCAAATGCCCTTGTACGGTCGAGGATGGAGAAAGTTAGGTCTCCCTCTCCAAATGCTCTCACATTGACACGTGTACACAGCAAGGAAGTCCTACTTACTAGCTTCTCTCTACAGGGTGTTGTTCACAAAATTGAGAGGACGAAAAGCGGACAAACAGAGCTTAAACCGAGTTGGTGAATATATATATATATATATATATATATATATATATATATATATATATATATATATAGAGAGAGAGAGAGAGAGAGAGAGAGAGAGAGAATCCGCCTAGGAGATTTAGGAAACCTTGATGACAAGCTGTTAGTACAATTTTGTTCCAGGATGCTGAGGGAACAAATTGAGTATGAACCTATTGTTGGTCACCGACTACCTTGGGACTGCATCTCCTAACGTTGCTCCACTGTCTTGTGAATTGAACCTCTAGGTGAAATGTTCGGGGAGTGGCCCTCTTACAAAACTACTTGCTTCGGTTTAGGCGCCCGTAAATATTCCAGCCCTCACACAAATCCAGTAATAAATTGTGGCGCTTATATATTTAGTGCCTTCTTGTACCAATGTCTATATGTTTTAAATAAATAAGTGGATGACTGTAGTAAACGGATACAACATGAATATTGTTATTGGCAAACACAATCATTTTTAACGGTGAGGGGCTTGGTTTCCAGTTGTCTCACAGAATCATTTGAAAAACAACCGATTAATTATATAGTGATAAACATGATTTACTATGACCATCAAAAGTATGCTTCATTTAAACACATCTAAAACCAACTAGCGTGATTAACCCAGACTAAATGTATCTACATTAGCATAAAACAACTGTCCAGCAGTTACCAGTTTTCAGTAGTTGTTTCGCATATGTCAATTTAAAATATTAACTGTAAAAAAGAGGTGTGTTTAAATAGAGTTTTGTTCTCTCAACTGGATGGTTTGGTCATAGAACTTTCATTGTTCTTCTGAACAATATCATCAGCACAAACTACAGGTAGAAGTGAAGTGTTTAGCTTAATTGTGTTACTTTAGTCGATGATCGAGTCACTCTATACATAAGTTAATTATATTATGAACTTTTATCTTCTAATCTCATACTCTTAATTCCTCATGGATCATTCTTAACGGATATCATGCTTATCCCCAAAGAGTTTGCCTGTACTGTATTATTATTATTATTATCTCACAACATTTCTGTTACACATTATATTCACATATATGATCTTGTTATATTGATTATACATCAATATCTTCCAAAACCGTTCCATGACCTTTAAATAATACAATAAATTTATAAATGATATCATTTAGACGTGATTAGTTTACAATCGAATGTATAAAGAATGAACCATGTTTTCCGGAAGAAATGGAAAGAAACCTAATTGAACAATACTATTTAAGTAAACATATGAGTTAATCATTCTGTACTAAATCATGAATAAAATACTGTGTCAATCATATATTAGTTTTATCTACTGTTCTCACAATTACATAATCACAAATTATCCTTACATGTTACAATGTACATTGTTTATATGTACACAACTTAATTCAGTTAAACATATGTTATGTCCCAATACTCTTATCATTGGTGATTTATTCAGTTAAACATATAAACATCGGTATGTGGAGGCACCAAATACATATACGGCACACTTTGTCATTCGATTTAAGTGAGGGCTGGAATACTATCCAGATACCCAAACCGAAACAATTAGTTTCCTGAGGGGACCACATTTTGAACCTTTGACCTAGAGGTCTAATCCACAACGCAATGGAACACCGTCAGGAGATGCAGTCCAACAATAGGTTCATACTCATTTTGTTCCTTAAGGGTCCTGGAACCCATATGCACCATTAGTTTGGAATTGTGACTTTCCAACTCTCCTGTTTGTGTCTGCTGTATCCACCGACCTGGTTAAAGTGTCAGATATTCGCTTTTCATCATCTTGATTTCGTAAATAACATTTCCATCACGAGAAGGCAGTGAGTATGAGTTCCGTGGCAGTGGCTATATACGTGTGACCATATGCGAGCATTTGGAGAAGGAGAGTTGTCTCTTTCCACCCTCGACCGCACCAGTGCATTTGTGGGCTATTGGCGATAGATTTGATGATAAAAGTTTAACTGATTATTTGAGATATTGGAAATTAATCAACTTATTCAGTTGAAGAAACCTTCTCAACAAGTTTATTTTCGAAGCTATACAATCACTGTAGTAAAAATAATACCAAATTCCTTTGAACATAATATGTTATATTTTTACAGTTAAAATCTGGTAGCACTAGACCGCCGTTTCATCTTCGAATGAGACTCATAGGCAATTAGAGATCTCGAATTCTCTCTGCTATTGAGTCATATACTAGGACGAAACTGTCATCCTGTGCTCGCAGATCTTCAGTGGTGGCTTATCTAAGACAAGATCATGATTTCATTTGTAAAAAACATACTAAACTCTTCATTAATCCCTCATGCTAATTATATCATAGGCAAAACTAGAATAACTATGAATATAATAAGAAGAACTTCATGGGAATAATAATTGTGCAACACAATATGGAGCATAATAGAAACAGTTTTGTAATATACAACTTATATACATAAAAATTAAGTGATCAAATTTTTGGATCATGGTAAACAAAGATATTTAAATAAAGCAAGAACAAATATTGGTGCAGAATAGTATGAATTCATATTATTTCGACGTTTCTCATCAGCTGCTTACAAACCAAAAAATGTGATAGAATTTTTACATTGAGATAGAGTGAAAACAATTGACATAGATGAGTGTAAATAACTGGGTTACAATAATAACTTTATATATATACTAGAACAGGTCAAAGGTCAAAAGGAATTAATTCGGGTTGGGTGGTGTAATAATGGAATTGAATAATCATAAGATAGGTTACGTAATAATAATTGAGATGGTGGAGAAGATTTGTAGCTCAGGTGGATGATAACGGATGCACACTACAGAATCCGCAAATACCAACACGTCATAGAAGACCAAAAGATGAAGCTACAAAGGACACTTACGTCAGAACATTTGGAAATCTTGACAACAGCCATCGAGATATCATGCAAAAGACACAGAGAACAAAGAAGAAACGCCTTAAAGAAAAAACTGATTAAGATCTCAAAACCACCCATGGAAGAAAACACAGACAACTGCGTGATCAAATTGTCAAAACAACCACTAACAAATATGGAAGAACACCTACTCCAAAAAGGATTAAACTACAATACAAGCGACGCCTCAAAGCTGGAATTCTTCGCAGCACTGGAGTCATCACTCAAAACTTCGGGAATCAGTGAAGAAACACAACAAGAAATAAGGCAAACTATAGTACCGCTAACTCAACAGGCAAAGGAAAACAACCAACTGACTCCACAAGAACAAAAGGCCTTAAAAGAACTCAAAAATAGAAAGGATATTGTCATAATACCAGCGGACAAAGGACGCACCACAGTAATCATGGACAAAGAAGAATACGTCAAAAAAGCCGAAGAACTACTGGAAGATAAGAGCACATACAAACTGATGGATACAAATCCCGTCAAAAAATTAGACAACCAAATCTCAAAGGCCTTAAACAAGCTAGTCAAAGCAGGAGAAATAACAAAACAAGAACAATGGAGAATGAAATCCAACGGACCAGTACTTCCTCGATTCTACGGCAGACCCAAAATACACAAACCAAACATCCCACTACGTCCAATTGTAGCACTCTCCGGAACACCAACGTACAACTTGTCAAAAGAAATTTCAAGAATACTGAGACATTTAGTAGATTCAGCCAACCACTCAATCAAATCCCCTACACAATTCCTGGACCAAATTAAGGACATCCAAATCAACAACGACGAACTCATGATATCCTTCGACGTGACAGCACTATTCACCTCAGTTGAACCAAAATTAGCAAAAGAAACTATATCCCTGCTGCTCAACAACGAATTTTTCTTCGATTCTGGTTGACTCATCTTTATATTAATCTTTTACCACTCAAACTTGTGTCTTATGGCGCTACATTTCTTATCCTATAAATACTTAGTCTATAATATTCAATCTTACTGAATTCTGTTTCAAAATCATTACAAACTCAGTAATTGAAGAGTTTGTCTTTAAGTGTAAATACATTTAAAGAGATTAACTTTTCCTCATGATAGTTAACACATAGTTAGGGGTACTTTTAATGTTTTGTTTTTTTAAACAACTATGTCAATACATATATTCCTTCTTTGGACCAGTAATATTTATTCAGCAAATATCTTTCGATATGCAAATGTCTGATATTTTAAGTCAGTCAGAAATTGGTCAAGCCCATATATTTCGCTAACAATCAAGTTGTTACATCTTAAATTGCCCCCAGATGCCTTGGTACGGCCGAGAGTGGGGAGAGTCCGCTCTCCCTCTCGAAATGCTCTCACATGGTCATGAGTATATAGCCTCTGACAGGGAATTCCTACTCACTGCCTTCTCGCACCACGGGTGTTGTTTACGAAATTGAGAAAACGAAAAGCGAATGTCCGACGCTTTAACCGGGTTGGTAGACATGGATAGTCCACCTAGGGGCGTTGGAAAACCCTGATTCCAAACCAATTATGCACATGGGCTCCAGTATCCTGAAGGAACAAACGGAGTATGAACCAATCGTTGGTCACCGGCTACCATGGGACTGCATCTCCTTACAATGCTCCACTGCCCTGTGGATCAGGCCTTCAGGTCGAAGGCTCTGATTGTGGCCCCCTAAGAAAACCACCTGGTTCGGTTTGGACACCCGAACAGTATCACAGCCCTCAAACAATTCAAATGAGATTTGTGTGGTGCATATGTATTTGATGCCTCCTTGTACCAATATCTATGTGTTAAAATAAATGAATAAAAACATCCTAAATTAGTATGTCGATAAGGAAAATTAAGAGAAGGGGAATAATATTAACGAATTAAAAAGAAAACAGAAGAAAACCAAATGAAATGGAAGTCTGAAAAGTTAGGAAAGATACTGAAAATTCCTAAGAAAATATTGTGGATAAATTTAGTTGCGGACACTTTTTCAACATTTTACTCAATACCTCCAGTCAATCGACGATGTTTCTATTTACTGATTTGAGTTTAGATCAACGTTTAATAAATTAGTGAGTTAACACTACATTTTGATTAGCAAATCTCTACTTTTTCTCAACCTATTCGTATATCAATCAGTATTGAAAGTCTGTAGTTATATATATAACACATATAGTAACCGGATTAATAAATAAGAATTTGTAGTCGCATCAGTCAGCTCGCTCTTCATACGTACTACCCTTCCCTATCCTCAACATTATGGACTTAGGTTTTCTGACATATGTACATATTTCATGAATATCATGCGCCGATCTAAGTTAAGCCATCATTAAAAACTTGGAAGCACTGGTCGGCCTTTCTGCCCTAGTATGGAACTCCCTAGCAGTGCTCATCTACGGTCCTGCTTGAATAGTCGCACATGAACGCTTGACCTCTAGACCACTGATCCGGCATCAAAGGATTTTAATGCCTGACTTCAACCAATCCACTACATTGTACAACCATCCTCTATTGTCGTCTGCGAATAGCTGCCTCACAACCGACACTGGTTGGCTCTACTAATCACGACGTTTTTCTAGAACTCCAGAATTTTCTTTTGAATTTGAACCATATCGGGTGTGAAGCGGCAAACTATCAAAGACATCGGAAGATGGTCTCACAGTGTCTTTGGTTGGTTGAAGTTAGGCATTAACATCATTCGATGCTGGCTTGCTGCTCTAGACGCGAAGCGTTCGTATGCGAAACCTGACGTTTTGGGTTTGATTCCTCAAGTGGAAACGTATATGAGCACTGCTGAGTGTCCCATACCAGGACGAACCGGCCATTCAGTGCTTTCACGTTTACAATGGTGGTCCAACATTGATCAGTCCATGGTTTTAATGAAATTTAATAATTTCCACAACTTTATTCTGAAGATAAAGACGTTTGTTTTTTCAGGTACATAACAGTTTTATTTCTAAATACCACATTGTTTTTATATCGCTGCAGTCATTATAGTCACTTTGATTATATCCTGTTTTGTTTTGCACGGTAATTGTTCACTTCTCTTTCTCTCTCTCTCTGTTTTCTCATTTACAGATATGAAATTATAGAGAATGATTCACGTTGTACTCATTGCAATCATCTTTTAACTTTACGTGCATTTTATGTATTTCCTTGTGGTCATAATTTTCACATAAGTTGTCTCACTGAATTGGTAAGTTATGGAAAGGTTGGTTGTTTATCATTATAAAAGTAACGTTTATAAAGTATTCTTTATTATGTAACATTTTTTTTCTCTTAATTAAGAAATGAACTTAAGGGAAAGAGAATATTTCATTCTCAGCTTCCTTCAATTAGTCTTAAGAAATGTAGAACATGGCATATATGTGTATCACTTCACGTTTCTACACACCAGAACAGCATAGTGCGATAAAATAACGAATGCTAGAGTAGTAGACGTTGTAATAGTATTGGCGGTGTTGAAAACAATGAATGTAAACATTTAGATTTGAGAAGATATAAAGTATTCATAAAATAAAATGTAGGTTCTGAGTTCGAATCTCGCTAGGTGGGGTCATGGATGCGTACTTTTTAAGAGTCCCACAATCGGATGAAACGGCCTTCCAGTGCTTCCAGATTTTCCGTGTTGGTCTAGCTTCATGATCTCAACTATTAAAATGTATGGGTTTAAAAGAAAGAGAAATATGCATCTACACTATTGTGACCGATTCTGGATCATCTGATCCAACGTATTCAATTGTTGGTTACAGTAATCGCGCAGATACCAACCAGGTTATTTGTATCTATATACTTGACAGTTCAACATTAAATAACGTCATGAACTGGTGCTACATCTTGGTTTAACTGCTCTTAATTTCCTTCCAACTTACTCATACAGCAGCCAATATCGCACTTCGAAGTAGGTGGTGGTTGGTAATACAATGGATCAAGTATTGGAAAAGTTAGTTATTGTATAATCAATAGATAACTGTATTTCTATATTCTCTTTATAATGAGCCTTTAGTGGACGTATTAACAAATATTGTTATAAGTTTTACCATTCCTTAATTATTGCTAAGTGATTTGCTTCCTTCGCTCTCCGCCAATTATGACTTTGTGTTTAAATTATGATTTTTTATTCGGTGTGCTATACGATCTAACAGTTTATTCATGTAAGCTAATGAATGTTTGAGATAGTTGTTGACTGGGTTGAGTGATTGAAATATACATATAGTAGAAGCTGGTTGCTGACTTTTCTTCAGATTGATAAACAGAAAGACTTGCAAATAGGTTATCAATAGTAGTATAGCTTACCTTGGGCAAGCTTGTTTGTGCAGACCCGAACGTGTCATTGTCCAAAGTTAAGGGCATCAAGCTACCGTTAGGAATGACAGACACAGGGTAGAAACGTATTGTAACCAGAATTCTGGTTGGCAAACTAACGTCTGAAGACAGTAGTCGGTGCCACATGATATATATGGCAAACACCTCACCGACTGATTTACCATCTCCATCTAGTAGACCTACGTCTACATCAATATGCTCACACATTCGTCACACAATAAAAAACTAATTGTCTTGTGCTATCTTCATAGTATTGTGTGACTCAATGAAATATGAAGCATCATAGAGGATGGGAAATATAGTCATTTTCGTTGTTGTTGTTATTATTATACATATTCACTGGTTCAAATCAAACATCTAATTTTTCCTTTTTCTTCATTTTACTATCTTTACAGGTGAAACCATATTTATCAGCAGAGGAAAAATCACAATTGTCAAAAGTTGTCGAATCTCAAAATCTTGGAAATAATCCATCTGTAACTAACGTTGAAGTTAGTTATAGCACTGATTTTATTGCAACTTAATTCTTCCATTTTATCTCATAACACTTAAAATGTTTCGTAAAATCCCTTGGAGATTCGATCGGTTGGTCCACGACATGATTAAAAGCTTCATCGATTCTTATCGGCCCAATCGTTCACGAATTTCTCACAATCTACAGTAAATGACTACAGTCACTACCTTAGACATGTTTAATAATAAACCAATTTATTGATTAATGACCAATGTTATATTTATCTAGACTTAAGTGCTAATCGAATTCTATCAACTAGCTTGGTTGCAAGTATATTTCGATGACAACAAGCATACGATCTAACTGGACTCAGATGTAGGACCACTATATGAGGTCAAATCTCATGCAGGCTATTTAGATACCGGATGCTTGCGGATAAGCGATAAGAAATCCTAGACATGCGTTTCGTGCTAGTGAACAGTCGTTAACAAGTTATAACTGCAATCTACACCAAAGAATATACAAACTCAATACGAATCAATTCTCAGAGACCAATCAATGTAAATATCTCAGTCTCACAACATATCATTTGTGGTCCATATAGCTCAGTGGTAACGTCTCAGATTGTGAAACTGAGTCACCTTAGTCAAAATCCAATAGCAATTATGAGTTTCCTTATGACTTTAAGTACACCTGGCTAACGAGTATCAGACTGCACGAGAATGAAGTTGAGGAGACTAGAAAATTAAGGAATTAGTTAAGCATTGATATGCATGAGTAATGCATATGTTTAATTGCCTTGATTAATTGTATTTTAAAGATAAACCATTCGTTGACTACATTGGGATACTAGTTTTGTTCACATTCACTAGCTCTATGATACATGGATAATATTCTACAGTCACTTGTTGTTATGTGCTTAGAGTGTCTATACATTTATCTTCTAAATTCTGGACGGTAAAATAATAAACTTACAGCGAATTGATTACAAGGTTTTCCCCCCTCTTTTTCACTCACTTCAATATAGTAATGACACAATCTGAACTCATTAGCTGAGTATGTAACGCGATAGCCAATAGTTCCGGATTCCTATCATAGAATGGACATCAACATTAGGGTGCAGGTGCATCCAATTGGCGAGTTGAACGAAACGCACGTTCCAGTTCATATTGCTAACCACCATCCATCCCTCCTTAAAATATTTATTTATTTATCTGAACACATCAAAACGTTGGTACAACGGGGCACCAAATACATATGCACCACACAATGACAATGAGGCAAGTTGTAGTTATCATTGGTTTGTGTGAGGGCTGGGATAGTACCAGAGCGCGCAAACCGAAGCAAGTGATTTTCTTAGGGAACCACTTTGAGGTCCGATCCACAAGGCATTGGAACAACGTCATGAGAGGCAATCCCATAGTAGCCGGTGACCAACAATAGGTTCATACACCTTTCGTTCGCTCAGGATCTTGGAGTCTATTTGCACCATTATTTTGGAATTGTGGTTTTCCAATAACCCTAAGTGGACTGTACGTGTTCATCAACCCGATTAAAGTGTCAGACATTCGCTTTTCGTCTTCTCAGCTTTGCAAACAACATACCCACTACTAGAATGTTCATGGCAGTGACTTTATACGCGTTTCCATATGAGAGTTGACTCGCTCCATACTCGGCATTCCGAGGCAACAATCTCGAGACAATCTACACACAGTACACATATACACAAAAGAGACTGATCTATTACAGGAATATTGAAACAACTAATCCAAATGGATTAAATGTTTTATGCTTTTTGTTTGTTTGTTTTCTTTTTATTATTATTCAGGATCTATTTGATGAAATCATTGCTAATGATTGTGTTCTATGCGGTCATGTAGCCATTGATAATTTATCTAAATTATATTATGAAAATCAAGTGAATTATGAAAATGAATTATCAATTTGGCAATAGATATTTATATAGAAACATATAAATATGTATGTCTATCACACTTCATTCGGCACCACATGTTTATCTAACACACATACACACAATTGGTTCATATTGAAATTAGTATACAGACAGGCATGTGCACATGCTTACGTGTGTGTATGTGCAAGATTACGTAACTTGTCTTTCTATTCTTTTGTGCTCTCAATGATTTTAAAACTTGATGCTGGTTATTTGTTTGTCTCTTCTTATTTTTATTTATTATAATTTGGTCAAATTGATTTTGTAAACTTGGCCTTTTGTTGGTTGATATTGTATATACATTTAGTAAACAGATTGTGATTTAGTTGTGTCCTATAATTTGTTACTTACTTACTTACGCTTGTTACTCCTCGTGAAGGAGCATAGGCCGCTCACCAGCAGCTATAAATTGTTAGTCGTTGAAAAGTGTTGTAAGCAGTTGTATTCATCACGGAATGATCTTAGGTTGTAGTGAAAGAAGGTTGTCCTAATATGAGATTTTGTGCCTATGTGTAATCACTACCTTGTTGATAAGTGTAAATCAGGACGTTGATATCTTTTAATCAATGCTTAACCATTAAAAAATGGCAAGGGAAAATCCGACTCACACGTCCGCATCGTGACTGCTGGATATTGGGACGGATAACCCATGGACTGACGTGAGAGGTAACCCGGGTGGTAGAGATTGGGTTAATCACCCACTCGACCGATACCCTCAAATCGACTATGAACTCCACAAAGAAACACAGCACAATTACTCTTGGATGGAAAAACGACAAGAAATTGACAAAAGTGGTACATGTAATGTACGGGGTTGTTCCTCATGGTTGAAAAAACAGCTATTCTAGCCCCGGTGGTTGTACCGTGCTTTGATGTGGTCTGTTTCTCTCCAGAAGGGCCTACTAGGCTTCACCATCTTATTTGGCTGGAAGGTGGAGGGCAATCATTAAAATGACTGAGTTGGCTACTTACAGTACGATTTCAACTTTAATTAGTTTGTAACAATTTAAACCAATTTCCACAAAATTCTTTTAACTAAACTATGATAATCAGATCACAATAGTGACTTAGTTCGAAATATTTTTGAAGTTCTAATGAAAATACTTGACTGGTGGAGTTCAGATATGTCAAGAGTATAATAGGTATCACTAATGGTACTAGATAATCTTTGCACTATATCGTCAATTGACCGAAATTAAAACTACATCATTTGACACTGATCCAGAGGTTATAATGGTATTCGATTGTCATAATACCTGAAACTATTGGGTACACACTACTACTGCACAGTCGTGCACTTCATTTTCAATGGTAACTCGATTGTAACCAATCTATGACGAATCCAGCCTACAAATCAAATTAACCTCCATAATACCCTTTCAACTTTTATTATTATGTGAATTACACGAATCTGCTAAGGTAAATGATGGTGAAACTAATCCTTTCACAATCTTTAATACATTATGATAAAGACTAGAAATCATTGATCAAACGTTGGAAAATGTTATATGCTATCTGCTTGCAATATGAAATTGAGTCTCAGGTAGTTCAACTCAAGATTCCATTATATTCCGTACGATATGCTGTAAGTGACTGTAATAGGCAAAAAACTATTATTAAAATTTAGTTATTAAGCAGTGAATCTGAATTTCACTACAAGTTTCTTCAGTTTTATCTATGACATTCATTAACTTTAGTTTAGGAAAGAAGTATTTTTTTGTGCGATGAAAACTCAGAAATTAGATACATCTTCTTTTACCTCGCTTGTTCTCTGAAGATTGAAATGAACGGTCTTATTAAACTGCAATAAACTTGTAAGTATATATCCACTAAAGTAATGAATCTCAACCGATTACGAACGTGCAGCTGCGAATCGGTTTTCCAAGTATTGTCTCACGTTATGGTAAACATCTATGAGACTGTAAAATAAGAATAACACTCGCACAAGACAATGGAGATGTTATCGGTTATTCATCCAATCAATCATCTTGGAGAAAACACCTCTGGTACTCATACTTTCATGTCCCCTTATGTAAATGTTATACTGACCAAGAAGGTTTATAACTAATTAGTTGCTAAGACGTGTTTCTTCAATGCTGATCAAATTTTATCAATTAAGTTGAAATATGTCTATTGATTTAGACAACTCCACACCGTGTACACTATATTGAGACTTGAGATGGTTGGTGGCAGTCAACAAGAAATCCCGGGTCTAAGTTTCGTTCTTGTTAACACTCATCAGCAGAGCGTAGCCACAATCTTGAGAGAACTGATGTTCACTGAAAGATTTAGTCGGGTGTCACTAAGTTTTACAGTATGAGACATAAGCACTATATATTTTCCAGATTTTCTTTTATTTAAAGACATGGAACTTTTGTACTAAACCATATAAGAGAATATCTAATCGCTGATAAAGTGACCTAACTCCTTCAAGATGTCAAAGGTGGATTCTTTACTACTCAATAAAAATGTTTTATTACTAGTAGTACTTAAACACATAAACATTAGTACAGGAAGGCACCAAATAGATATGCACCACATAAATCATTCGATTTATGCGAGGGCTGGGATATTGCCTGGGTGCCCAAGCCTAAGCAGGTGGCTTACTTATGGGGCAACACATGAAGCTCTGATCCACAAGGTAGGGGAGTAACGTCAGGAGATGCAATCCCATGGTAGCCGGCGACCAACAATTGGTTCCTTAGAATTCCGTAGCCCATATGCACCATTACGTTGGAATTATGATTTTCCAAACTCCCCCAGGTGGAGCCTCTGTTTTCATCGACCTGCTTAAAGCGTCGGACATTCGCTTTTCGTTCTCTCAGTTTCGTAAACAACACCCCCGCCGCAAGAATGCAGTGAGTAGAACTTCCCTGTCAGTGGTTGTATACACGTTACCATGTGAGCATTTTTCAAGGAAGAGCCGACTCTCCACACTCTTGGCCGTACCAAGGCATTTATTAAACTATTCACGTTCTCTTCAACATGAACATTAACATAAAACAGAGTGAATAAGAGAGAGAAGAAAAAAACATCAATACATCATAGTTGAATTTGTTTCTTATTCTTTTTTATAATTTAGTAAGACAAGAGAAATATTTGTACAAAGTTAACTAGAAAGATCATAATTATTAGGTGATATGTAAATAATAAATTGTAATTTATCATTTACAATCATGTACAAAAAAGAAAAAAAAATAGTAAATAAGGTACAAATACATTTACAATATGAACAAATAGAGGAAAACAAGGTCTGTGTAAATCACTGATAATCCATTTTAATAGTAAATTATTAACAAATAATAATGGATTAGATTAGGCAATTAAAATCCGTCTACCTGCACGCATACACATTTTGTTCTGTTCTCCACAATATATGGTTTATTCTATTGTGTATTAATGAAATGAAAGACTAGTCAAATAAACTAAACAAATAATTGGAACCATAGGAAAGGAAGAATATACATTTTGTAATTGGTTGTCAAACACTATAGAGTGAGACAGTTGGTATAAGTGTATACTCAAACATAAAAATTTCCGTGTTGCATATGAAATTTGTTGTGATGAAAACATTAGTTTTATTCATGAACAGGCACACAAAAAATGCTTAATGATTAGTCGAAAAACAGACAGTAAACAATGAAGAATGTGTTGCTGAGGCGTGTGTGTGTGCATATGATTGCGAGGCAAATATGATCACAAGTAAATAGCGCTTAGAATAACATCCTAGGTACTATATATGTATATGTCTCTTAAGACAAACATTCCAGTGGATAAGGAAGTACTTGATTCTTTAGGTAACTTACATAGGTACTCCGGAGGATTACAAACATTTGAATTGTACAACTAGTATTACAGTGGAGTAACCATGATGAACTGTAAGCTTCCCCATTATTATTATTATAAAGCTGAAGATATTTTGATTTTCCATCATAACATAAATAGAAATACGAGTTGATAGACAATGTTGAACAATTCGATCCCCAGCGCTGGTTTATTCATTATCATTATTAAGCTAGAAGACTACCATGTGAACCAGATGCTACACCAGTATATGGTTTAGCTGGATAAGATGGACTACGATGTAATTTTGGTAGACGATCTAATAATTTAACTAAAGTTGTAAATTCTGGTCGTTTACATGGACTGTATGCCCAACATTGAACAAGGATTTCCTAAATCGGCAAAAAAATGACAGTACAAACAAAGTATTAGTTTTAACATTACCGTTGCTGATATATAACTTACTCCTGTTACCTTTCGTAGTGGAGAGGAGTCCACCTACCAGAATCCTACACCAAACTGTGCACTAAGCAATCCCTTCCAACTGTTTCCAGTTGCTATCCATCTTTTTCATGTCTGCTTCCAATTCTCAACGCAGTGTGCTACTCGGCCTTCCTTTTTCCCGTCCCTCTTCAGGATTCCATGTGAGCGCCTGACTTATGATACAGTTTGATGATTTCCTCAATGAATGTCCTATCCACTCCCAGTGTCATCATCATTTCCTCCTCAGCTTGAAGCTGGTTTATTCTATCCCACAGTAGACTGTTGCTGATGGTATTCAGCCAACGGACATTCAGTTTCTTACGTAGATAATTGTCTATAAATACTTGTACATTATTGATGATGGTTGTGGTAGTTCTCGACGTCTCAGCTCCGTACAGCAGTTTCCTTGACGTTCGTATTAGAGATTCTAACTTTGATATTGGTTGACAGTTGTTTTCAGTTCCATATGTTCTCCAGTTGTAGGAATGAGGTCCTTGTTTATATATATAATTGTAGCCATTTGTTGACCGAACTATTGCCATATATGTAGACCACTGAGTAAGGCAATACTGAATTTATACTCAGAATACTGGACAAACATCGAAAATTGAATGATGAGGCTGTATATATTAGACTGATGTACTTAGAACATGAATTACTCATGCCAATCAACAACCTAACTGGAAGCGTAATTAAATAAAAATAATATATTTGTAATATCCCAATGAGTAGAAAATTGGATTTTCTGACGTTTCGTGACTTAGTGTAAGTCACTTCTTCAGAGAACAAATAACCAAAATGGAAGCGTAATTGTTCACTGATGTAGGAGTAGGTTGAAAGTTAGTCAGCCAAGAAATATCATTTTTCTATGAAGCCATTAGCTATCAAACTAAGGTGTGCTCGCTGGAGATCGATGATCTGGCTTAGAAGCGATAGCAATAAGCTCAGATATATATCCACTCTTACATTTTTTTATTAGATAAATTCATTCTATCTATTTACATCATAGTGTCCATATCAAATGTTTACTACTAACAGTGATAATGTTATTACTGTCTACTATATTGGCATTTGTCTCGATAGATTTCATTTCTTTGTTCTGATATGGTTTCGTAAGTATGTACCAGGTTTAACATTTATTATCACTCACTGTTAACCAACTATGTAAAAATTAAACACTACAGATAACAACCATATTTTCGCTCACATCAAAACTGATGTAAAAGGTTAAGTACCTCGTAATATGATGAATTAATCGAAATCAGCCAACTTATTTGGTGCCCTCAAATGCCCTGGTGCGGCCGAGAGTGGATAGAGTCAGCCCATCTTCTCGGAATGCTCTCACATGGCCACATGCATACAACCACTGCCACAGAAGTCCTACTCACTACCTTCTTGCGTCCAAGGCGTTATTCAATGAAATTGCGAGAACGAAAAGCGAATGTCCAGAGATTAAACAGGGTTGGTGGATTTAGAGGATCCACCTAGGGGAGTTGGAAAACCATAATTCAAAACCAATAGTGTACATGAGCACCAAGATCCTAAGGAACCAAGTGTTGGTCACCAGCTACCATGGGATCGCATCTCCTGACGTCGCTCCAATACCTTGTGGATCAGAGCTTCAGGTCAAAGGCTCCGGGTGTTGCCCCTCAAGAAAACCACCTGCTTCTGTTCGGGCACCTGGGCAATATCACAGCCCTCACATATATCAAATAAGATTTATGTGGCGCATATCTACTCGGTGCCCCTTTGTACTAATATCTATGTGTTAAAACAAATAAATAACGATTGGTTGACGGAGAAACTTGAAAACAAAAGCACACAGAGAACGAGTACTTACCTTAAAATCTTTAGGACATTGAATTCGTAAATTCGGTTTTACACCATGTCCAACTAAGTAGGTGACAGCCTCAGCAGGTAATCCTTTGAAAGGGTATTCATTAGTTAATAGTTCATACCATACAGTGCTAAGATTATTGAAGAAGAACATCCAATTAAATATGAATTTTTAGAAATATTAGTTAGAATTATCGATGGTAAAAAAGGAAGTAAGGGTTAATCAAATTATCGATTGCAGATTGAGACACATCTATAAATGCTATCTTGATGGGGTGATAATGTCTAAACATCGTCATAACTCCAACTATTTATATTGGCTGCAACACTCATTAGTTCGAAAAATGTCATGCCAAGGAGGTTCGAATAACAGTGCTTCGACGTTAAAAGCTACTCAGAGATAACTGTTAGACTAGTCTTAAGCACCGGAAACTAAGATTTGTGGTCGTGCATCCATATCATCACTAATACTCACAGATCTGATAAAGATATCAAATAAACTCCAGTTTCACAATTGATTGATCACTGGGTGGTGACCAATGTCATGCGTGTCTAGTTCTTATTAGTGCAGATCGAATGCTATCGATCATGTTGCAATGTGGCCACCAGTCTAGGTGGCTCGGCACTGTGGGCACTATATATTGAGATTTAGATAGTGGTTGGAGGTAGTCAACAGGAAACCCTGGATCCAAGTTTCGTGCTACTTGGCACTCGTCAGCAAGGTGTACCTGTAATCTTGATGGAACTGGTGCTTTCAATAGTATATGTATAATCACTGATTAATAAGCAGGATTAATTAGGATTTTTACGGAAATTCTTCATCTTATCTAACTTCAATCGTATGATATAAAAAACAATTATTTCTATTCATTTGCAAGCTATTTAAAAATCTTACTGTTGAAGTTAAGCAGTACAATTGGTCAGACTATTTTTGGATATGCGTTTTCTATTTAGCTACTGAGTTCACTGGTTTTTGCAATGAGTGTGAATTTATATACCCATGACATCTATCGAAAACCAGGAATCACTGAACAGATGTCTTGTCTTAGTGTGGGACACCTCAAGAATGTGCAACCACTACCCTATTAGGGACTCTTAATTCTAGCGACGAGTTCCAAACACTTGAATTACTGGTTAGCATCTAATGATTGATATTTCTAACCTCAATCGATTTGAAATACTGTGCGACCATTATCTAGTACAATTTGTAAATTACTGACTCACACTCGACATAATTGGCCGGAAGGTTCTGAGTTCGCCCCCAGTTAGATGTTCTTATACTAGGATAAAATAACTACCCGACGCTTCCTTCTAACTAGATCCAGTTTAGAATATGAATTAATAAACTTCACAAACTCTTTATTTTATGATATTGATAAGAACAAGAAAAGACACTATTACGTCATCATTCCACAAGAATATTGTTTTACTTACCCAAAAGCAAAAACATCAGAAGATGTAGTTAATGGTAGTTCATTAGTTGTAGTAGCCAGTACATATCCAATATTAAGTGCATGAATAATTTCCGGTGCAATATAGCATAACCAAAATGGTGGAACATTCAAATAATTGCCCCATCTAGAAATTCCCCCACCACCCATTCAGTGGAAAAATATACATATAAATGACTTTTGTTTTCTTTTTATTATAATATCACAATGAAAATGTATCAACGGATAGTGGAAAAATAAACTAATTCATGAACTTAAACAATAATGACTGAAAAGAAGCATTATACTTTGTAATATGGGTCCTGAAATCTCTTTACGCTATTAGTTATTTTTTCTATATCTAATCTTTTCTACTAACGTTGATACTGTTACTATTCTGGAGTTTATCTTAAAACAATTTTATTTCACTGTGTTAATTTGGTACGATAAATTGAACCGATACACAGATGTGCCAAGTTCTAAGTTTCATGATTGAATACTGACGACGAGAAATAATAAACACTGAAAATACAATTGAAGACGACGTGATGGAAACGTATATGTGAAGAAACATTGAACCTGAAGTTCTGAAGGAATGCATTGTGGTCGATTTTAGGTTATTTCACTCAACCTATTTGACCAGGCAGATTTTAACCCGCTAATGTGTATGTATGGCTCTGATCGACAATCAATAGTTTAATGAAGTGATGCCATTAGTTGAAATATAATTAAGATAAATAAATAATTTTAACTAGGATTATTATTAACTATAAAGATAAATCATTAATAGATGCCCCCAAGAGTAGGTAGTTTCAGATCCCTCGAAAAATGCTCTCACATGGCCACGCGTATACACCGATTGTCAGGGACGTCCTACTCATTGACTTCTCTCGACGGTGTTGTTTATGAAATTGAGAGGATGAAAAGCGAATGTCCGGAGCTTTAACCGAGTTGGTGAACATGGAGAATCCACCTAGGGGAGTTGGAAAACCATCATTTCAAACCAATGGTGTACATGAGTCCCACTATCTTTACTTAAGGAAACAAATGGTGTATGAACCAATTATTGGTCACCGGCTACCATGGAATTGCATCTCCTAACGTTGCTCCACTGCCTTATAGATCAGACGTTTAGGTAGAAGGCTCGGAGAGTGGCTGTTTCAGAAAACCACCTTCTTCAGTCTGGGCACCTGAGCAGTATTACAGCGCATACACAAATCAAGTGACTTGTGTGGTGCACCTTTGTACCAATAGTTCAAATAAAAATAATCAAAATACATTATTAGATAATTATGTGAACTTACTTAGCTCTTTTACAAAGATGTACAAAATTGAATACACCAAAATCACCAATGACAACACGTGAATTATCTTCTAAAAATAAATTTCGTGTTTTTAAATCTCAATGTACAATGCCTTTAGCACGTAAATAACCCATCCCTTTAGCTATTTGACTAGCTATACTTATTGTACGATTAATTGGCATAATATTATCACGATCATGAATTAAATGATACAATGTTTCACCCTGATTATTGAAGAAGAAGAAAAAAAAAGGATCATTATTACTATTAGTTGAAACGAAAATGTAAAGACGTACGTAGATAAAATGAAAAAAAGACGAATACAGTAAATATATTCACAGGAAAATTATATAATCCAGTAAGCACATGAGAAGGTCTATTTATGTATGCAGCAGTTACAAGGCACATTAATAAGGTTGGTGATATTGTAATGTCTGTTATTATGTTAAGCCTATATACCTTATTCTAGCTTACGAACAGCCCATTCTATTCATTCTACTTGTAGTCAGATCCTGCGCCACTAAAATGAAGAGCCCTTCGACGAACATCGTCCGATTTAAAAATGAAGACAAAATAAAGGGCCTTACAAAAAGTGGTGAGCTCGACGTGATCATTTGATTCATAAAGGATCAATCCAACGAATGGATCATTGAGGATAGTTGACATAAGGACAAAGTATCGACAAGATAATACGATTCGTGCATGTCCATGACGTGCTGCACAGGCTTTGCTGAGTGCGTCGGATTAGATATTGTGCTGGCTTCGCTGAATTCGTTCGTCGAAAGTATACAGTGCAGAAGTTTCTTCATCGACGTAGCTTGCTGCGTTGAGTTCGTCCGCGATGGCGGGCTCACTCTTTTGAGGCCCTTTATTTTGCCGTCGTCGAAGGGCTCTCCACTTTAGTGACTCGGGATCTGAATGAATAGAATGGGCTGTCTGAAAGCTAGAATAAGGTATATGGGCTTAACATAATAACGGGCACTACAATATAACTTAACGACCTAGAATTGAAATAAGTGTGAAGAGAATTTCGAACGTGCGATTTATAAGTTGAAATTCACGTAATTAACTAAACCATTAAAAAAATTGATCCATTAACTCAAAGAAAACAAGGGTAACAATATATCGCTTATATGGAAAAAACACAAGATACTATTAATTTTAAGATGTATTACACTTGCAAATATCACCATTCCAATACTCCTTAAGAGCTTCTAAATGCCCTGGTACGGCCGAGAGTGGAAAGAGTCAGCTCTTTCTCTCGAAATGCTCTCAAGCAGTCAGGTGTAAACCACCACTTTCAGAGAAGTCCTACTCACTGCCTTCTCGCGTCCAATGTGTTGTTTACGAAATTGAGAGGATGGAAAGCGAATGTCCGGAGCTTTGACTGGGATGGTGGATATAGAGGATCCACCTAGGGGAGTTGGAAAACCATCATTCCAAACCAATGGTATACATGGGTTCCGTGATCCTTAACGAACAAATGGCGTATGAATCAATTTTTGGCCACCGGTTACCATGGGATCGCATCTCCTAACGTTGCTTTACACCTTTAGGTCGGTGGCTCTGGGTGTGGCCCTCTACGAAAACCAACTGCTTCGGTTTGGGCACCCGAGCAGTATCTCAGCTCTCACATAAGCCTAATGATTTATGTGGCGCATATCTGTTTGGTGACTCGTCGTACCAATGTTCATGTTTAAATAAATAAATAAATAAACTCTTTAAGATAGTATCAATGGTTAGAGTTTTGGCGATGGTTCGAAACAATTAGAACTCATTTTTATGTTTCGGATTTCAAGGGAGATGCCAAAAAATGAACAGATCGAATAATAATGGGTTGTACTAGAATGGTAAGCGTTTAAATTCAATTGTTCAGTTGTTGGTGAAACGGACAGTTCCTTCACATAACTGGAAAAACATGTTATGTCCACCATAAAAAAACACGGTTCTGTTTGCTTGAAAATATGGAGTTTTATGAGTGTGTAACAAAGTCGTATGCACCCTTCTGCTTTTAAAGAGATTTGGAGGTAAAGTTCAATATGGAGATTACAGGATTAAGTTTTCCTGCTACTGTCGCCAAAACAGGATAGCAAATACTATACAACTTCAGTGGAAACATTACCACTTTTTACATTTCTGTGAAGCTGGCAACTTGAATTCTCCTGTGGACATAAATATAATCCTGTCATTATCAATATAAACTGCAGTTTCATCGCTACAACATTTACCAGCCCAATCAATCAGCGATTTTTCAGAACAGAGAAAGAAAGAGAGGAACAGAGAAATTCATCTTTCAAAATAAGTTACATATTGATTTCTAGCTGAATTTTTATCAATATCATACTAATCTTAATTCAGTGAAGGCCAATATCATCTTTGTCAAATTCTATCGACTAAGTTACAATATGACTACAAGTGCAAGTGACTCAACATCACGTGTATTATGTTTTCACGTTAGGTAGTAAACCTTGTTCGATATAGTTGCTAGTTCCTACTCATGAACAAACCGCACCTGCAATTTTTAGGAACCAGTGTTTCTTGAAGGATTTGAATCGGCATCACTCAGACAGTGATCAACTAATGTACTTCAGCACTACAAAATATCTGATCAGTAGTAACATTTCTAAATATGAAACTGAGTGATGTACATTCGGATAACACAAGAAGCATCAGTTCCCATTAAATACCAGGCACACCTCACTAATGAGTTGCCTCTTGAGAGCAGTCTAGTGTAACAAACGACTAATAGGCAAGGGGAATGTATTTATTATAAGAAGTTATAAAGTATTTATATAATACATCATGCATAGCTTTCAATCTTCGATTCACATCTTTCGGTGTGTTATGAAATTTGAAATGTCTTTTCGCTTGATCTCCAAGTGTTCTGCCAACGCCGTATATTCGATGGACTGAAACTCTTCACTCTGTCTGACAAATGCATCAACGTTCCGTTACATGATACTTACAAACAATCTTGTAAGTGGCATCCACTACACTGGGTTCATGATTTTCTACCAACTACTTCCAACTGCTTAACATTATAAAAATTCCTTAAAAGTAAAAAAGAAAATAAGATACAAATACAGGGACATACACAGAAATAAAACACTTACTCGACTAAGTTGTGTAACAATAGCTAAATCAGGTGCTTTCATACAAGCACCCATAAATAGTACTAAGTTCTCATGGCGTGTTTTATGTAGCAATGCAACTTCACGTTTAAACGCTTCAACACGTATTGAATCATCAACATCTTCTGGATCGAAATCTATACGTTTAATAGCTACTTCACCGTGCCATTTACCACGATATACTGTACCAAATGTACCACGTCCAATTATTTCACCAATAAATAAATTTTCCATTGGTATATCCCATTCTTTTAGTGTAACCGATATCTATTATAATAAATAGGGTAAAACAATGATCATCAGTGGGTACACGAAACTTAAATGAACATATTTTATTTAATTATCAGCATAGGGTCATGTAGATTATTAAATTTTTGACTGAGATCATGAACCGATTGATGTATCGTATTTTCTAATTGTTTGTAGGTTGTGATCTTGGGTAGTCAACTATTTATTCATGTATCCTTTTACACTAATTTGAGTCGGGAAGAAACCCAGAAGTGTTACAGTTAACGTGTCTTTTCTCTCGCTTATCAACCAACTATATGACAGAATAGTTTTCATCTCTCTGCCCAAGGTGGTTAGTCTCAACTCGAACTCACTTATTTCTAGCCTCACGGTTAAACAAGTTAGCCTAACATCTAAAGGCCTTAACCTAGATCACAATAAGTTCTCTCATGTATATTATTGGGTAGACAAATCAAGGACATAATAGCTGATGTCAGCCGCTAACCGACATAATCTTTACCCTCAAGTTCACTTACAAAAACATGAAGCCAGAACACAGTACTGAAAAAAATTATGTTCATCAACACGAAGTTGAAAGGAGAAACAGCTGCAGAAGTCTTGAACACTGATTATTTAGTTAATTTAAAGGATATTTTATACAGCTGAGCCACATATTGTATTTTCCAGTACATACCTGATCTAAAGATGTATTAATGATAAACTCCATTTCAAGCCACCTCAATATGAAACATGATATACTGGCTGCACGAAACGTCCACTTTCCAAGCGCATAATGAAACATTACCTAGTATAGTTATCTAAAGCTAAGTCCCAATCAATTAACAGTTCTATGACGGAGAGTTCGCTCTCCCTCTCGAAATGCTCTCACATGAACACGCGTATGTAGCCTCTGCCAGGGATGTCCTACTCACTGCCTTCTCGCGTCCAATGTGTTGTTTGCGAAATTGAGAGGATGAAAAGCGAATGTTCGGAGCTTTAACCGGGTTGGTGGACATGAAGAGTCCACCTAGGGGAGTTGGAAAACCCTGATTCCAAACCAATTATGCACATGGGCTCCAGTATCCTGAGGGAACAGATGGCGTATGAACCAATTATTGGTCACGGGCTTCCATGGGACTGCATCTCCTTAAGATGCTCCACTGACTCGCGGATCAGACCTTCAGGTGTGTCCCCCTAAGAAAACCACCTGTTTCGGTCTGGGAACCCAGGCAGTATCATAGCCCTCACACATATCAAATGAGATCTGTGTGGCGCATATGTATTTGATGCTCCTTGTATCAATATCTATGTGTTAGAATAATAATAGAAATAAAGTCTATAACGGAACAGTTGCACCTAATTGCTTTTAAAAGAATCTTCATTTAAAATTATTTACAAAGTCAAACGAGCCTATTTCCGAGTGAAGCGGGATGTAAAATTTGTGCTTAAAGTAGGCTTTGACATTTCATTGAGTCAGGTGTAGTCTCCATATACAGGGATGTATGTCTAATCTTTTATTTGACATCGTTTCAACACTCCCTGTTAATTTTGTTAATTATTTTTAAAACACGTTCATCACTTCTCTTTCTTAGATTCGTCAAAAACGGATAATTATCTTTCATATATCTCTCTTCTATATTATTGAGACCATGAACCAGCCTAAATTAGACAACCATTAAAAACTAGGAAACATCGGACATTGTTTCATTCGAGTATGAAATCTCTCTCAGTAGCGTGCATTCCCGACCTTACAGGAGCATTTAAACCAAGACCTTCATATCTCGTAATAAGCGCTTAATCATTAGACCATTTGAATTTTCCAACCAACTCTTAATATATTGATATTAATGACACAATCATAGACTATGATGTATAAGTACAAACACGATTGTATAGCATTACCAAATCTCACCATAGAAAAGCAAATATTCTTCACTGAACTATCATTCTTTTATTAAATGATAATAATAGACACTTTTTTATGATTTACATTTACCAAAACATAATTAAACTTACACTATTCGTTCTCATTAAAGATGATTCATCTTGACTATCCATTGATTCAAACCGGTGTACTGCATTCTGAGTAAACATGAAAGATCAAAACATTAAGTAAACAGATTAAAATTACTAAGATGTATACATGTGTATGTGTTTATAAGTGATAGAGTGTATGTGTGAGAGAGAGAGATAGTAGGCGGATATTCCAAAATAATTGGCACACATATTACTATACATAGAAACGAAAAAACATATCATAATTCGAAATAACTATTGAATGAATAGAAATTAAACGTGAATCAACAGTTAATTTCCAAATGAATGTCAAGAATTAGGTTTGGAAATTAAATAATTGACTATGGAACTCGGCTTTCATAGTCAATTAGTCAATTATTTAATCTCCAAACCTAATTCTTGACATTCATTTAGAAATTAACTGTTGATTCACGTGGGAGAGAACAAACCAGATTCCAGCGGAGGAAGAAATCGGGAAGAAGCGCCCGAAGCGGATAGGACACACGTTTAGGAAAGCACCCAAATGCGTCACAAGACAAGCCCTCACATAGAATCCTCAAGGCCAAAGGAAAAAAGGAAAACCAAAAATCACATTACACCGAGAAATGGAGACAGACATAAGAAAAACGAACAAGAATTGGATGGAACTAGAAAAGAAGGCCCAGGCAGAGTGGGTTGGAGAGTGCTGGTCTGCGTCCTATGCTCCATTAGGATTAACAGGCCTAAGTAAGTAACTGACTATGGATTTCGTGTTGCAAAGTTGGAAAATACATGGATTAAAGAAAAAGCTGATATAAATGAACTTGGAGAACTAGGTGAAACGAATAATTGATGAATGAATACTGATCTGCGGAAAATGATGATAAGAAATTTCACTGAGATCATAAACCACCATTCAAACCTGGACAGATCAAATACTAGTTCAATAGTTAACTTTTAGTCACCAAGTCGCACGTCCGAACTTCGCTCCATTTACTTTATTTTGGATAGCCGAGTAGTATCACCGGTGTTCAACAATAAGCTAAGTAACGGAATTCGCACTCTTTAGATGAACCTATCATGTTTATAACAAAAAGTAATACAGAACTAAACGATAATTCAGAGAGGTAAATCTATTTGAGGTAGTATAAATGAATTCTTCAACAAACCATCATTAACATCCATAATCTGTTGTCAATCCGATACCCCATAAATATCCGTGAGTTGTAAGTATCATTATGAGGCTTACTCTTTTTCTTCTACATACCATTAAAAAAGTATGAAATGGTAATAAACAGAAAATAGGTCGATAAAATGTAGCCTATAATAGCAAAACTTACGTCAACAACAGTTCGTTCACTTTCTCCAGACGACACAGTACTACAAAAAGATGATAAAAGAAATAATTAGAAGTTTTATAAGAATTTTCAAAGGTTAGAAAATAAATAAATACTATTTAAAGTAAAACTAGTTATTTAGGCCTGATAGGAATTGATGACTAAAAACAGACAAATCGCTCCACCAACTAAGAACGGCCTCCAAATGCCCTGATATGGCCGAGAGTGGGGAGAGTCCGCTCTCCATCTCGAAATGCTCTCACACGGCCACGCGTACACAGCCTCTGCCAGGAAAGTCCAACTCATTGCTTTCTCGCACCACGGGTGATGTTTACGAAAATGAGAGGACGAGAAGCGAATGTCCGGCGCTTTTACCGGATTACAAACCAGTGGTGCACATGAGTTCCAGTATTGTGAAGGAACAAATGGCGCATGAACCAACTGTTGGTCACTAGTTTCCATGGGACTTCATCTCCTTACGATGCTCCACTGTCTTGTGGATCAGACCTTCAGGTCAAAGGCTCTTTGTACCAATATCTGTGTTGAAATGAATGAAAAAATGATACTAAAAATAGAAATTGTTGCTAGGTTCAAGTATTAGCCGACAAAAATTCTCCTAATCAAACCAAGTAAAACAGTCAGGTTGAACCTTACACGATTTAATCAATAAGACATGATTGAGCTATCACAATCATCACCACCATTCAGAAAGAATCATATTTACCAATGATATAACAATAACTGATTGGTATCATTTGTATAATCCATGTAGTTATATATATTATAATCTTAATAAGTTTGATCGGACAAATTTGATTTTATTGTTTTGTAATGATGTGATCTAATCTAATTCACAGATCATGTGAATAACTAATTGAAAGAAATTGATTTAAACACATCATTGATGATAACACGTTACTCATGATAAGCTATATGACGATTGACAGTTTGATGATTTAAGTAACACATTAAGGTTATAACATCCATCAATTCGATTGATTTGAACTATAAACATTTACAGTATATATTCCATATATGAATAGATCATAGGTTTTCGAGGGGGGGCTGAATGTATTCATCACAGATTGACTTTAGTTGAAATGTAGAACACAACAATAGACAGGAAGAATGTATTTATTATAAGAAGTTATAAAGTATTTATATAATACATTATACATAGATTTCAATCTTCGATTCACATCTCTCGGTGTGTTCTGAAATTTGGAATATCTTGTCGCCTGGTCTCCAGGTATTCTGCCAACGCCATACTTTCGATCGACTAAAACTCACTTAGTCTGACAAATGTAGCAACTTAGACGTCACATTTCGCTACACAATACTTACAAACCATCTTGCAAGTAGCATTCACTAAAGAAGTACCATTGGCAACTAGGAAGTATTGGATAGATGTTTCATCCTAGTACAGGACCCTTCAGCATTCCTCAGGGGTCGAAATTAAGACCTTCAGGTCTCGAAACAAATGTTTCACAGTTACCGACCACTGACTGGGTCAGGGTCCAATGAAAACACTAGTACAGTAAAAGAAGTAGTCTACTGATTTAGATTACTAATAAAGTCATTCAATAATGACATTTTAGTTACAAATGACTTTTATAACCCAATTTATACATATCTCTTATAGTTTGATTTACTGTATAACTAATAACACCTACAAGCTGAAGCTGATGTGAGTAAAACAGGTAAGGAATGGTGAATAGCTGCGTATAGGTAATCGTCTATTTCTTTTTTTGTGAAGATCTATTGGTAATGTGAAGCGGTAACCCAACACTTACCTAATTAAAGGACTATTATTATTCACATTATTATTGAAATTCCCGTCTACTAACTGATTATCTATGATTGGATGACTGACACCTTGAATGTAATAGAAATACAATACAAATATTATTCATGACATTATTGTAAACACGTTATGATTAAAAATTATACAAGTAAACACTAATCGTGAAACATTTGAATGTATCCAAATGTACGGTGGCGCAACTTTGTGGATTGGTTGAAGTTAGACATTAACACTGTTGGATGCCGGCTCAGTGGTCTAATGGTTAAGCGCTCGCGCGCGAGACCAGTAGGTCCTGGGTTCGAATCTCGCGGGAGGCGAGGTCGTGGGTGCGCACTACTGAGGAGTCCCATACTAGGACAAAGCGGCCGCCCAGTGCTTCCAGGTTTTTCATGATGGTCTAGCTTCAATTGACTCAAGATTTCAACCACTGAAAAGTAGGTACTATACAAAAGAACAGTTCTAATTAATTACTGTTTACATCCTTGTTCTCTTCAATTCGATCACAACAGGAAAGGAGATCCACTTATCGACTTAGAACAAGCAAATGACATAGTCCTGTTTGGTGAAGACGCTGACAAAATGCAAAGCCTTCTGGTAGCACTAAGCAACAATGCCAGAATGTTTGGAATGCGCTTCTCTCCCTCGAAATGCAAGTTGTTGCTTCAGGACTGGCCTGTGTCAACACCTGAACTAAGGATAGGCAATGAAGTAGTCGAACGCGTTGACAACTTCACTTATCTTGGAAGTCTGATCAGCCCTAATGGGTTGATATCGGACGAAATCTCAGCACGGATTCGAAAAGCTCGTTTGGCTTTTGCCAGCTTACGTCACCTTTGGCGAAGACGAGATATCCGTCTGTCAATAAAAGGACGAATATACTGCACGGCAGTCCTCACGGGAGGCGAGGTCGTGGGTGCGCACTACTGAGGAGTCCCATACTAGGACAAAACGGCCGCCCAGTGCTTCCAGGTTTTTCATGATGGTCTAGCTTCAATTGACTCAAGATTTCAACCACTGAAAAGTAGGTACTATACAAAAGAACAGTTCTAATTAATTACTGTTTACATCCTTGTTCTCTTCAATTCGATCTTTTCAATATTCTGCTGCCAGACATTCCACTTCAGATTAGTGCTGCATACTACTTTGTGTCTATCGACCTAAGTAGCCTACACCACGACAACAACTACACTAGAAAATCTAACAATGAAGATGAATTATCAGTGGACAAGATTTCGGTAGTTTACAATTTCCCATAGAATATTTAAAGCTGATAATCTATAGAAGCTAATTAATCACTGTCCCAGAGAACAAACCAACTATTAGCTGAAAAGGAAATTAGCAAAAGCACGCTGGAGGTAGATGGGATATACATTTGGGAAATCATAAAGCTCTATCAAAACTCAAGCCCCAGCTTGGAATCCTCAGCCCTGTAGCATGGTGATCTACCATTCTCCGACCGACCTGTCTAATATGATAGGACCTAAAATAACACATATTTCGGCCAATTTAGCTCGTTGGGTTTATCACAACAGGAAAGGAGATCCACTTATCGACTTAGAACAAGCAATTGACATAGTCCTGTTTGGTGAAGACGCTGACAAAATGCAAAGCCTTCTGGTAGCACTAAGCAACAATGCCAGAATGTTTGGAATGCGCTTCTCTCCCTCGAAATGCAAGTTGTTGCTTCAGGACTGGCCTGTGTCAACACCTGAACTAAGGATAGGCAATGAAGTAGTCGAACGCGTTGACAACTTCACTTATCTTGGAAGTCTGATCAGCCCTAATGGGTTGATATCGGACGAAATCTCAGCACGGATTCGAAAAGCTCGTTTGGCTTTTGCCAGCTTACGTCACCTTTGGCGAAGACGAGATATCCGTCTGTCAATAAAAGGACGAATATACTGCACGGCAGTCCGTTCTGTTTTACTTTACGGCAGCGAAACATGGCTTTTAAGAGTAGAAGACACTCGTAAGCTACTAGTATTTGACCACAGACGCCTCAGAAATATTGTTGGCGTCTGCCAGGATCACCGGGTAAGTAATAGTGAGGTTAAACGCAGGGTATTAGGGAATAATGGTAAGTCAGTTGATGAGGTTGTGAATCTTCATCGACTGAGATGGTTGGGCCACGTGTTACGTGTGCCTGAACACCGATTACCACGACGTGCAATGCTAACCGGTGTTGGAGATGGTTGGAAGAAAGTTAGGGGCGGCCAAACCAAAACGTGGCATCAGTGCTTGAAGTCACTAACTTCTAGTCTGAGTCATGTTGGGAGATGCAGACTACTTGGTTGGGGTCCGCGTGACTTTCGTAACCAATGGTTGGAGACTCTTGGTGACATGGCTCAGAATCGATCACAATGGCGTAAGTGTATACACTCCCTGTCTTCCCTTAAACTAAGAGATTAAAATCACTTCATATCTTTCTTTCTACTAACTAATTCTTTCTTCCTGTACTATATCCATATTGCAATCTTTCTTTTATATTTTAACACCTTTGACCTAACCCCTCCTATGAATCCGGTGTTCATCTTGCTGTGCTAATGAGGTATGGCAACCTGGACCGATGCACATATGTGCCTGGTCCTACGTTGTAGCTGACTGACTGACTGACGAGCCCTGCAGCATATTTACACTGAATATTCCTAAGGTTAAAAAAATGGTCTACGACATTGGCGACACAATTGGAAAGCACTACTAATAACCTAGAAACTTTTATGCATCTTATAAACCAAAAAGTAAATAACAGACTAACAAATCTGTCGCTTAAAAAAATTTGCAGTAATGAAACTTAAATGTACATAACGGGCGTTTTTATGTAGCTTATGACGTTTTCCAACGATTTTATGGACGATGTCATTTTCTATCTTAGAGCAAACTATTATTTACTTTCGATAGTCATTTATTCGAAATTTTGGTTAATGTATATTTCAGCTAATTTTTAAAAAATAATCTTCTAGCGTTGCTCCACTGTCTTGTGGATCAGACTTCTAGGTCAGACAACTCATTACGGTCCTAAAAATTGGTTAGATTGCCTCGGATACATGGGATGGGGTCATCCACCTATTGTTCGACGTTCAATAAGTATGTGGTATCCAGTATTTTCGCCCAACTTTCCGTCAATTTAGTAGGTATATACTGTATGTAAGCGTAATTTTTACTGAAGATTTCACCTTAAGAATCTGAAGATATTCGAATCCGTCAACTATGAACGCAACAGTGTAGTGCAGTTCAGACTGATAGATGAAAAATGCCGAAAACCGGCGAACGATATTATTTTGCACTATTCATTAATGCAATGATTATTCCAAATCAGTTCGCTAAATATCATTTTAACTTCCCTTTTCCCCATGCTGAGATTGTGTAGCGACTTAGTCGACACAAATTCATTCCAAATAACATGTTGTTTTTGGGTGCCTGACTCTTATCAAACTATTTAAAAGAGTGAGAAATACTTTCTTACCTGAAGATTGAACATGGTATGTAGTGTTCAGTCGTTCAAGGTTCGTAAAGCTTTATCTAGTGGTCTACTGGCTTTTCTGAAAAGTCTCCCTGTTTCAAGGCTCACCACGTGGATGTGATTTCGTGGGGAAACCAGCATCCCCGGGTCTTAGTGCGTGACCCGAACTAGGGGCAAGTATACGACACATGCACATCGGTAACATATAGGTTTTCACTTATGTATCCCATAGAGTACACACATGTATATTCACCCCCCCCCCCCGTGAAAGGCAGATGGTCTCCGCTCTCTTTGAACGAATTTGTTACAACTGGATGTCTTTTACATATTACATGTGTACCACTTGTATAAAGACTTTCACTCTTGCGCTTCATGACATATACATAAGCATAAGCACTCCCAAGGAGGGTTGACGGTCACCTCTCCTTAGTATTTGCTAACACATATTTTTACTGCGTCTTCGACCTGTTAGTTTAGATAGCCGATTTTATTAGACATAAGGGGAAAATTGAACACGTTACTACTTAGTTATCTAAGACTAGACAAGGAACTGATTATTAAAAAAACTGGTAGACCAAGTATCATTGTGTTTAATTTGTTTCAGCACAAAATGAGGTATGCGACTAGTGATTTTCCAACGAGATTTAATAAAGTGGTAGACGTAAATGAAGTGCTCGTCTACATAAAAATGCATATTATTGAGTAGAAGAAGGAATTATATGTACATAAGCAGAGCGCAGAACAGATAACGATATAAATGTATATACTAAATATGAATTTATACGAAAACGCTTACTTGGAAATTCAAAATGATTAAAACATTGGCCGAAATGTCGAGGAGAATGAGGTTGTTGTTGTTGTTGTTGTTGTGTATTAGTTACAATTCCAGCATTAACTGTTCCGTAAGAATGTATACTAACTGGCGAAGATAAATGACTTGGATTAGAAGGATTAAACATACAACCACCACTGTTGCTTAAATTTCGTAATGGAGGAGAAGATAATGAAATCATTTGACCAGTAGTACTACTACTATTACTACCAACACCAACATAACCACTGTCTAAACGAGTACAACATGATGCAGCTAACGTTGTACTAATCAATGATGCACCGGTGACAAATGGTGAACCTGGTGTAGAACTTGTACATGACGAAGCACTGTTTGAATCAGAACTCTGCACAGCACATAGATACAGAGAAAGAGATAAAAAAATAATAAAAGGGCAATTTATATTTGAATAATGTAAGTAAACGTAACTTACTTTATTGTTATTAACTCAGTTACAATGTGACTAATTTGTGCACTTCGCTTCGAAATACAACTACTACCAGGGAAAACCTACTCACTACCTTCTCGCGACTGGGGTGTTGTTTACAAAATTGAGAGGACGACAAGTGAGTATCCGACGCTTATGGAGGATCCAACTACAAGTCAGAAAATCACTATTCCAAACCAATGGTGCACATGGGCACCAGGATCCTGAAGGAACGAATGGCGTATAAACCTTTTGTTAGTCACTGGCTACTACGGGACTGTATCTTCTGATTTTGCTCCACTGCCTTGTGGATCAGACCTCTAGGTCTGAGGCTTGGGAAGTGGCCCCCTATTAAAACCACCTGCTTCGGTTTGGGCACCTGAGTAGTATTTCAGCCCTCACACAATTCAAATGATTTGTGCGGCGCATATATATATTTGGTGCCTTCCTGTACCAATGTTTTTGCGAAGGCAAATATATATACATAAGTTCGAGTTGCCGCATTATATCAACACAGTAATGTGGAATGATCAAGATAAATATCAAAGTATTAAAAGTAATAATAGTATCAATAGTAGTAGAAAACATTAGACATAAACAATATGATTCGAGAACAAGTAATGGATTCGTGGAATAAAAAGTACACGATAATTTTTTTGAACTGAAGATTTAAGAGAAAACAAAGAGCAAACATATCTGTTTTACAGCGACCAATTCTGATACACTAGTTACGAAAATCACACCGACACAAACCCGATAGTCTGCAATAACCTAAAGGGCTCTCTAATAACCAATAACTTAATGGACTGATGTCCCATTTAAGTTTGATAAACCTACTCCTGAACAAACCAACATTGTGTGTCAAAATAGATGATGATTGGATATACGTACATACAGTTAATTATTTCCAATCTCATTTCTGTAAACAATCCGTTTAGTGATGATTATTGAAACCTATAACTGTTCATTTGATCCAAGTCAGTAGATGCAAATAACGAGGTTGGAACCTAGGCGCTGATTGCAAAAACAGTACTTTGAAACTTGTTAACTTTGCATGGTGTAAAACAATGAATAAGTAAATCCTGCCTATATGCTCTTAAGTAATAACAACAACAACGAAAAAAAAGGAAAGCCAGCTTAGCATACTTTCTGAATAAGTCGTTTATGACATAATCATCATTATAGTTCTGTTAATTACACACAATTAAACTGATTTTTATATTACAGATTATAATGAAAAGAAGTTAGATACCATACAATGAAAACACTTGAAATCTAAAATGATTACTGATTTTTAAAGTTGTTTGTATTATTCAACGATCAAAGACAACCGTATTATTAAAATTTTAAAAGAAATATTTATGTACTTTATAAGCAAAGATGATAGATGGTGGCTAGAAGTGTAAACCAAAATGCATGTTTCATGTTATTTGGAGCTGAACAGTTGAATGTATCTGAATCCCAGAGTTGAGTTGTTCACTCCAGGATTCGAACCTGATTATTTTATTTTAATGGTACTCAAGTGAAACTGATCACATTATACACGATTCCACTATAGAAAACAAATACTACTAATAACTAATCACAATTAAATGAAGTATCATTAACGATGAGAGGTTTTTGTTGAAACTCTTGCGTTATGAAGAACTCGGTAATAGAAACTATCCACTCAAAACAGAATATAGTGATGATGCTGGATAGTCTCATTGAATAGCCCGGTACTCTCACGCTCAATGAAATTAGCAACTCCACTTGAAATTTTTGCAATTAAATCATCTAGCTTAGGGAACGGGTGAATGAATTTCGCGCCTAAACCCAAGACCTGTTATCCTAAATCCGATTGGTTCGATCATAAATTATAGTCCCGCCAGTAAAGCTTAATATATAAGCAGCTTTCAACTAATAAGTAGGGATTTGAATTGCTGAGTAGTAATTAATGTCATATTGGTCTAGTCATTTTTGCCGATTGAATTCTATCAATCAAGTTGCAATGTGGTCAATAATCTAAGTGAATTGATATCGTGTGAGCTGAGTTTGGTATGAAATAATTAAAAGCAGTCAAGAGCAAACCTAGGTTTTGTGTTAGTTGGTACTCGTGCGCAGCGAAGCGCACATAAAACCATGAGGGAGCTTATACTACTCATAAAATCCAAATCTGCGTGGCTTAGCTTTTGCAAGTGTCCATGAAACACAGGCGCACACATAAGCAATCTTAAGAACCTAGCACAAATTTGTATTATTCCAAGTTGTCATGCTTTAGATACTCATAGAGTAATGAGAAGAAATTAACATGAGAAAAAAAACAAAGAAATGATAATTAACAGCTGTACAAAAATAACAACCAGAAAAAATTTAGTTTAAAAAGGAATGAATTAAATCAAAACCATTCAAAGGAAGAATGACAAATGAATATGAATCCCGAATTCCAATAGCTTTTGATTTAAGCCATCGAAAAAGTCACTCAACTAATTAATACCATCTAGTTAGTAATTATACATGGTGAGATTATTAGTTCCGCTTGAGAATCACAGAGTTTCGTCTTTCTATTCTCTAACTAAGCTTAAAATGTCTTGTCTAATCAGCGTTTAAGAAAGAGTTCCAGAATAACGATAATACTCATTTTAACACAGCTCCAGAAGCTTTTACAGAATTATGTACAAACAATATGTATAATACATTTCCATACCTACATTAATCCTTCTAGGGATAGATAACTCAACCTTTTTTCTTCTCTTCAAGGTAAAAGTGTACGAGATTTCTGAGGGACTAGGAAGCAATTAGAAAACCAATATCAAGCTCTCAAATATTAGATATATCAACCATATAACAATAATTGAACTAAAAATGGACAGCACTAAAGGTTCTAACTAGACTGGTTGAGCCTGAAACGTGATTTAACAGTTATTTAAGCTATGACAGAATCCAAATGCCCTGGTACGGCCGAGAGTGGTGAGAGTTCGCTCTCCCTCTGGAGATGTTCTCACATGGACACGCGTATACAGCCACTGACAGGGAAGTCATACTTACTGCCTTCTCGCGTCCAATGTGTTGTTTACGAAATCGAGAGGACGAAAAGCGAACGTCAGGCGCTTTAATCGGGTTGTTGGACACAGAGAGTTTACCTAGGGGAGTTGGAAAACCCTGATACCAAACTAATGGTGCACTTAGGCTCCAGGATTCTGAGGGAACAAATGGTGTATGAACCAATAATCGATCACCTACTACTATGGGACTGCATCTCTTGACGTTGCTTCGTTACCTTGTGGACTAGACCTTTAGGTCTAAGGCTCCAGGTGTAGCTCCCTAAGAAAACCACCTATTTCGGCTTAGGCACCCCGGCAGTATCACAGCCCACACACAAATCAAGTAACTTGTGTGACACATATGTATTCAGTGCCCCTTCGTATCAATATTTATGTTTTCAAATAAAATAAAATGACAGAATCCAACAAATGATATAATTAAGGTTCGATACATATTACTTGTTTACTTTCTTCCATAATTATGTTAATATTGTACAAATAAGTCAAAAAGAATAAAGTATTATTACTATTATTATTAACTAACTTGAAATGCTGGAGTAGAATGGGCAGGACGAAGATTTGTTTGACTAGTTGTTAAAACATTTGTATGCAATTGACGAGGCATATTTGGAGAACCTTTAAAAGTAATGATTAAGATAATAAAATTACACAACAATCATATATCTTGTTAATATATCAAAATGTAATTTTATTTAATAGTTGACATCATAAGTCAATTGAAGCTTAACCACCATGGGAAACCTGGAAGCACTGGATAATCGTTTAGTCCGATTGTGAGACTCCTCAGCTTCAATCACTTTAATATTCACAAAACCCCTTTTTGATATATATCAAAATGTATCAACTATTGTTTTATAATGAAAATAGAAAATAGACACATAGATAAACAGTACAATCATTAATATATATACATAGATTAATACATATTCAGTATAAAAATATTTACTTCAAAATTCAACAGATGGATTGTTTACTATTGTATATAACAAATGCTATTTTTTTAAAGCAATCAGTCCTTTTTTCATAAATCTCGATAGAACAATGAGAAGATGGAGTTGATTTGATGAATATGGGATGTATTTGTGTCTTACATTTCAAACAATCTGATCACACATATACATGTCAGGGTATTTTATATAAAAATTAATAAAGGTCTATTTTAAATGAAAGTTCAAGTAAAAAAATTATAAAAAAATCAACAAAAATAAAAAAGGGAAGAGATTTCACTGGTTGAAATCATGAGTCAATTGAAGCTAGACCACTATGGAAAATTTGGAGGCACTGGATGGCCGTTTTGTCTTAGTATGGGACTCCCTAGCCAGTGAAATTTCTAAAAAATCTCCACAAAACCCAATCTGATAATAATCGCCTGCTCACTAGTGACTTACTTCAGGAGATACCCCTGGAGTTCTAGTGAGAAGCTGTTACCAGTGGAGTTCAACCAGGTCTGTTGTGAGATATCAACTCACTGAAGACAATGGTGTACGGTGGCGCAACTTCGTGGATTGGTTGAAGTTAGAAATTAAAACCGTTGGATGCCCGTTCAGAGGTCTAGTTGGTTAAGCGCCTGGCGCGAGACTGATAGGTACTGAGTTCGAATTTCGCGGGGGGTGGGATAGTGGATACGCACTGCTGGAGTCCCATACTAGGACGAAACGGCCGTTCAGTGCTTCCAGGTTATCTCCGCAGAACCCATTCTGATAAAGAAGAGAGGAACAATTTTATATATGTAACAAATTGTCGCGTTATCCTAGGTCATAGAGTGACTTAAGGATTACCAAGGTAAATTCAAGGTTACGACAAATTGTTTTTGTATATATAAGGGAGAGGGTTCAAATTTCTATAGTGTTAACATTACCAATGTCTATTGGAACAATGAATGATAATATCAACATTCATATACTAACTGTCTTCAAATAGTCGAATAGTTAAAAATAAATATGAAGACAATAAAATATGATCTTCCATACTAAACTGATGAATATCTTCAGCTGTCATGTAGAAGATTTGGTTTAGATGTCAAATTTTTTGAAGTGAATCGTTAAAACAAAATCATTTACCAAATGTACATGTGTTTATGTACTTAACTTTTAGGTATAAGTCATTTTTTTATGGAGATTTATTGTACTGAAGTGAATGAGAACTTAGATGGGGAAAACAAATTTATTATTGAATGTAAAATTAAACAGTACCTTCGTAAAATATGAAAATTATTCATTAAATAAATTATTTGCACATCTTTCTTCAGTTATCCTTTACAAACTTTATGATTTTTTTCAATTCTGTTGTTGTTACAACTGATCCTTATTTTAGTTTCTGTTCTCTTAAATTCAATGTTCCGCTTGTATGCATTCCACTTTACATTGCTGCCACATATTACTTATATCTGTCAACACAAGAAGCATAAACTAGACTCGTCATCCGTTTAAACGGGAGTCACTTTCAAGTTCATTCTGCTGACCGTACCATTCTCTTCTCTGGTACAATCTGTCCCACGCCTCACACCGACATGTCGAGTCGACCAGCGCGCTGACCTCCACCAGAGTGATGTCGACCTACCGCACCATCTACGTTTCATGTTCGTTCAACAACCATAGTTTTCACTTCATCTCTTCAACAACAGCGATCGCTACACCTAACACCGCTCCACCATGACACTTCATTAGATGTCTCCCTATTGCAGACGTAATCACTAATTAGACACCATACCTTCAACCACACAACTACGTGTGCATTACTATACCCGTCGTCCTCTTTTTGTCAGCGATAACAAACAATGTGAACATAAATTAGATGGCTGAACACAATTTATTCTCGAGTGCAAAAAACTAAACAGTACCTTCGTAAAATATGAAAATTATTCATTAAATACATTATTTGCACATCTTCCTTCAGTTATCCTTTACAAACTTTATGATTCTTTCAATTCTGTTGTTATTACAACTGATCCCTATTTTAGTTCCTGTTCTTTTGATATGCACCTCACTTGCGATTGCTGATACATACTACTTATATCTGTCAATATAGGTAGTATGCACTACAATACAACTACCTGACTAATAAAATTAAAATAGATGAAATTGAACGCTCTAACCGATATAAGTTACCACTTTGTTAATTTAATAATCAGTGTCTATGTATCCTTGGTAAAACAAAAGAAAAAATTGGCTAAAAATGTTTAGAATCATCACTTGAAAATAATTTGTAATTATAATTAATTATTTATTAAATACAAAAAAAATACAAACGTGATATACATGTGAAAAATTTATTTACAAATGTCACTACTACTAAGTACTACTACTACCGATATGTATGTTACACATGACACGATAATCAAGTAAAATTCAATAACTAATTCAATAAGTCATAACTTATAAGTGACTTATTATTTATTTATTTGAATACATAAATATTGGCACAAGAGGGCACCAAATATATAAGCGCCACACAAAACAAAGAGAATGGGAAGAGATAAAAAGGAAGGTAAGGAGCGTAAAAGAAAAAAAAGATTAATAACGACCAGATTAGTGTAAGGTGGTGTGATAATAATAGTAATAATGATAATAATGGAGGAAACGGAAAGGTACAATCAGAAGAAATCTCTCAGTTAAGGAAGATACAACCACTTTTTATGAAGAAAGTAAAAGAAGCCTACAGCAGGATCTCCACTGGCTTCTATTCTCAGCCATATCTGATAACGTCTCTAGCCACTGTGTTGCACCATCTCTCGGACCCCAACCAGGGAGTCGTGAAGGACCAACACAAGCCAGTCCTTTGCAGCTTTCTCTCATACCATGACACCATGTCATACACTGACCACATCTCCGCTTTTTCCAACCAGTTCAAGAGTTGGCAAATAATTTACAATGTGGAATTCCCTGAGACGACATTCGTAGAACATGTCCAAGACACCGAAGTCGATGTTTCAAGATGGTGACACCAATTGAATTATCGTCCCTGTACCCGAACACACGATGCGGAACCTCTGCATTACTAACATGGTGTCGACACTGGATGTCGGCAATCCTTCGGAGACAACGACGATCAAACACAGAGGGTCGTCTAATATCCTCAGCTCAGAGAGGCCACGTTTCACAAGCATAAAACAGAACTGCTCTCACCGACGCGTTGTAGATCCGACCATTTACAGCTTGGTTTGCACAAGCCGCTCTGGCTTTCACTATACGTGCATTGATCTCATCACACACGCCACCACCAGCACTTATGCAGCTACCTAGATACACGAACTTCTCGACTACGTCTATCTGCTCACCATCCAGGGTGAGTATGGGATTAGAATCCTGCCAGTCTTGTAGAAGTACTTTGCACTTCGAAGGTGCAAAGCAAATGCCGTACCTACGGACACTGATTGCCAACTGATTAAGTGCGGATTGCATGCCTTGGGCATTAACGCACAGTAAGACAATATCATCCGCATACTCAAGGTCGAGAAGTCTTTCTCCAGGCAACAGATACACACCACCATTACTTACATCCATCAGATCTTTTTCCAGAATGTCATCGATGGCAAAGTTGGAGAGAAATGGTGAGATTGGACAACCGTCTAACCTCACTGCTTGAATGGAACAATGGAGAAAGGTGGTTGTATGCCCTCACTCTACCTGAGATGTTTGTATATAGGGCCTTTAAAATGTCAATAAACTTCTCAGACACACCTTTCTTCAAATAAAATGAAAATGATGATATTTACTGAAAAAATTCTATTCTTGCATCCAATTATTGTTAAGGGTAACAAAAAGGAATTATATTTATAATAATTCCAGTAATTAATTGAAATTAAAATAGTTGAGGACGAACTTCTTCAGGGAAATCATTAAAAATTATCGAATTTATTTTATATTTATTAAATTGATATTGATACAAAGGGGCACTAAATACATATGCACTACACAAGTCACTTGATTGGTGTATGAGCTGTGATACTACCCGATTGCCCAAAATGAAGCAGGTGATTTTCTTAGGAGGCCACACCCGGAGCCTTTGACCTAAAGATCTGATCCACAAGGAGATGCAGTCCAATGGTAGCCAGTGACCAATAATTGGCTCATACGCCATTTGTTCACTCAAGATTGTGGGTCCCATATGTACCATTGCTTTGGAATCAGAATTTTCCAACTCCACTAGGTGGACCCTCCGTGTCCACCAACCCAGTTAAGGTGCCGGACATTTGATTTTCGTCCTCTTAATGTCGTAAACGACACTGCAGCCGCGAGAAGGCAGTGGGTAAGACTTTACTGGCTGTATACGCGTGGTCATGTAAGAGCGTTCGGATAGGGAGAGCTGACTCTCCCAACTCTCGACCGTACCAGGGCATTTCGGATACGTAAAACGACTTTATATTAAAACACAAACTATCTAAATGTATGAATATTGTTGAATGTGGAAAATTAGTTGTGGTGTTGATGAGAGTTATTTGATTTGAAATTATACTAAAATAAAAGCTGATTAAAGTATGCATGTAGATGACATCTTTACCATTAAAATGAACTTGGAATCAGTTGTTTAGCTAGACGTAAGAATGTCTACAATGCAATAAAATCTGGGTAATTTCATATATTTTCCCAAACATTTGATATATCATCTCTCATACTTATATTTAAGAGAATATTAAAATGGATTACCTTTAAATTCGTGTAATTCATTGTTTTGTCCACTGGAAGGTCCTGTGCAAGGAAGTCGTCTTGAATGAGAAACGCAACTTTTATGTACTTTGATTCTATGTACAGAGATTTTTTAAAAAAGTCAAACAATTGTGTATAGTGTTACAATAACAAGTCAAGACAATAAAATCTAATCTTAAGCAAGTTATTTGTACACTCAATAATAAAAATAAAGTGAATTTAGAGGAGGAAATTTTCACTTTCCGAAGAAACCATTTACTTAAGCTGTACCTTCGTACTTATAGTTGTATGGTAAATATCTGAGTCTATAGAAGGATAGAAAAGATTGCATCATCAAAAGATTCGAGACTCCAAATATCAAATGAGGTTGAGTAGAAATCAATGGATTAGAGAAGAATAAGGTAGTGAAAATAATTTACAGGTTACAAATATGAGAGATAATTGTCCACTTGACAGATATACAAAAAAGTGAAAAACGTAAAGGTCATAATAACAATTGAATAATATCAGTTTAAGGTTGTAGACATTGAGTTTTGACCGAGATCACGAATCAATCAATGTTAGACCATCACTGAAAACTTGGAAGCACTGGACGGTCGTGTTTTTGTAGCTTGGGATCATGAATGCACACTGCTGAGGAGTCCCAAACTAGGACGAAACGACCGTCCAATGCTTCCAGGTTTTCAATGGCGGTCTAATACTGATCGATTCATGATCTCAATCAAAATTTAATAATAATCATGGAAAATTTATTAGTTGCAGTATCCCATAGTCACAGCAACTTTTGGCTTGATCTTGTATAATGATTATTTTTCGTTTTATCTTGTTATTTGGTCTGGTCTGCTTGTATATAAACTACGTATGTCTGAAATATACGATTTACACAGCGGAGGCTGATATTTGCGTTCTGAACTGAATAGGAGGAGCTAGGTGAGAGGCTACTACACAGAGGACCAATAAGGTCTCAGAGTTGACTCAAGGCTTCTCGTGCCGGTTAACGCATCATTGGTTTAGCACAGAGACAGGGTGATAGCAGTCGGTATTCTGATTGGCGATTTCGTCAAGTGATATTTGGCGGGTTATAGGACATAACAGGTGCAACTAGTATACTTTTTATAGTAAAATATAACAGTGCATGTATATTATCATTTTTTAAGTAAAGAAATATATTACCACACTTACTTGCAGTAAGCACAATGTTGTAGACGAAATCGCATTCGATTATTACAAACAGCGCATGGAGTACCTTTAACAAAATCACCAAATTTAGATTCTAATTCGAATCTGTGAAACGGAAAAATTGTGAAGTAACATGTTAAACAACTGTCACATGTTATAAAAATATATCTAGCCATACTGTGGTGTTTGCTACTTATATTGACATAAGTAGTATATGATATTAGTCGTGAACAGAAGGTCTGGCAGCAGAGAGACAAGAGGATCGAGCAGTAAAGAATGGAAATAGGATGCAATTTGAATGAAAATGCAAGAACAATAAAGTCTGGGTCATTTCGAGACAATTGGTGGACATTTTGCAAATTAAGAATTTACTTTATGATTGTTAGGTTTTATTAACAAGTCCTGTAATTTTGTGTTAAATACATTCGATTGTCCCCGCTGGTGTTCCTGTTCACTACAATGTTATTAATATCAAACTATACGTAGATGAAGAAATTCAGTTTCACTGAGAAGCTGTCACCAGTGAAGTTCAACATTGTGTTTGGAGTGAGACAATCATATCAATAATGGCAATAAGTAGTGGTTAGAAATGTTGGATACCAACTCAGTGGCCTGCACATTAAGCGCTAGATGAGAAGCCTGAAGATTCAGGCTTCGGTACCAGGTGTGGTCGTGAATCCTCACAAGTAAAGAGTTTTATACCAAAATGAATAAGCTATTCAGTGATCCCTGGTTTTCTATGGTTGTCTAACCAAAGTCATTCAGTGATGTAAAATTACGACATGAAGATAGTTTATAAACGAATAATCGAATGATCTACAGTTGGTTCGTCAAACAAACACTTCTGAATTTCACAATTAAACTTTTAAAAACGCCCACTAAATGAACCTGACAAACATATGGCATAAAATGTTTAGTGAACTCAATTACATGGAAATCGCAATTTCGGTTACCAGTGTGAACTTTAAACACTGTTTTAACATATGTTTGATTTCCCTATGATTAGCTTTTAGTTGTAACAAACTCTTTGAATAATACTATGAAGTTCGACTTTGAACTATGGGGTTATGTATTTTGAAGAGAGCAAAAGATTCCTTCAGACCGTGAGAGAAACCAATACACATATATCTATTCATTTTTTACTATTTAATGACTAATTCACTAAGCAAGTGCCAAGTTGAATACAACTACTACGAAAATACACATATATCTGTTAAACACAAATATAGACACTAACTCACTTGTGCATAAATCCACTTGCACTGAGAACAAATGTGGCCCCACCTGAGTTAGTCGGAACATTAAGGATACCTAGATTTGAATGAAAGCATGTCTAATTACTTCAAATACACAATTAACAAACTAGAGATGTTTATGGATACTCATTTAATCTACTGGCTAAAGTAAGTCATAGCTTAGGACTAATCAGAAATAAAATATCTTCTTGATTGTAGGTGTCATTACCAAGGTTTGATTTGATAATTTCGAATAAATTGAGCATTGGGTTCATTGTTATAAATAAAAATAATATATTTGTAATATCCCAATGAGTAGAAAATTGGATTTTCTGACGTTTCGTGACTTAGTGTAAGTCACTTCTTCAGAGAACAAATAACCAAATTAAAATTCATCCAAGTTTAAATAGTACAACGGAACAATGCAAGAATAATATTGGATCAATCAAAAACAAGTCTGAACAAGTTGATGTCATGTCATTTCTGTCAAGGTGATTCATAAGTGATATGTATGTAAATTTGTGTGTATGTATATGTGTATTGTTTAAGAATGAAAACTTGTGTGACCTTTCTAACTACAAAGAAAGGAGGGTAGCTGAGGCGTTCCAAATAATGCTTAATCCTACTTCTCTCAATAGAAAGGAAGGTCTTAATATACATCCTACTTGGACCATCTATCCTAGCCACTCAGTCTGATCGTATTTACAATTTCACACTATCATATTACAAATTTAAACTCAATCCTTTCTTACCATAAAGGTCACACAAGTTTTCATTCTTAAACAATACACATATACATACACACAAATTTACATACATATCACTTATGAATCACCTTGATAGAAATGACATGACATCAACTTGTTCAGACTTGTTTTTGATTGATCCAATATTATTCTTGCGTTGTTCCGTTGTACTATTTAAACTTGGATTAATTTTAATTTGGTTATTTATTCTCTGAAGAAGTGACTTACACTAAGTCACGAAACGTCAGAAAATCCAATTTTCTACTCATTGGGATATTAAAAATATATTATTAAATACATACTAAACTTACACCATTCCAAATATATTATTTTTATTTATATCTTCCTGATTGTTGCAAAAACGGCAACTACTTTATGCCCCATTGACATGTTAGTAAAATTTTCATTTATTCGGTTCTTGATACGCTCAAAACTGATAAACATATATCCGTTGTGCAAACATAAAGTGAGTATGATCTGGTGTGGAAGCTACGTTACGAAAAACTTCATGTTGGAGCTTATAACGTCCGAATAGTGTGCCAAATAGGACAACAGGCTTTCTTAGCTAGGACTTTAGAACCTCGTGCCACCAATATGTGCTGCGTCTCCGAAACACGCATACAGGATCCGAGTAGCGTCATTCATTTGACATCACCATGTCAAAACAAAGAACCAACTCGATTCACACTTTGTATATCTCGAGGCCCAGATGCTGCTTCTCGTGGACTTGCCGGCGTAGGTATAGCATTGAGTCCTGGGGCAGAACTAGCTCTCTTAGACTGGATCCCAGTAGACAGTCGTTTGTGCGCTGTCCGACTAAACGGAACAATAAGGACTGCGAAGGGTAGGGACACTCGTCGTCTCTGCCTATTCTCCCATTGACTGCAGCTCAGATGTAAAAGATGAGCTCTACAGAAAGCTTGTCCAAAAAGCTAGGCGCTCTGATGTAGTAGTAGTGGCCGGTGACTTTAATGCTCAAGTAGGTAAACTAAGCGATAGGGAAAGACACCTAGGTGGATCTTATGGTGTCGTGGCTCAAAGAACAGATAATGGCGACCGTCTGTTGCAGCTATGCTCAGATAATCGCCTGTTCCTCGCAAATACTAACTGTAAGCATAAGGAAAAACATCTTTTAACATGGCGACCCCCTAATTCGTCCAAACGTTGGACCCAAATAGATCACATCGCTATCAGCCACCGATGGAGGGGCTCGATAGAAGACTGTCGCTCATTCTGGAGCACATGCTTAGATTCAGATCATCCTCTAGTGCGAGCGCGTATTTGCTTGCGTCTTACTGGACGTAGGAAAGACGCTGCAAGGAAACCTCTTAGGGGCCTACTTAATAGTCAAGCTAAGAGTATATTTCAGGAACAACTAGGAAAACAGTTAGGCAGCCATGTATGTGATGCCCACCCCGATGCAGCATGGAATGATATCCGAAAAGCTGTGGAAACAGCAGTGGTATCTGCTAGTAAGGTAAACCAGAAGGTTAGAGAGCAACACTGGATTTCAGCAGCATCTATCGCACTGATAGATGCTCGGAAACTCATTCCACCTGGCTCTGAACATAGTGAAGAGCGGAGTCAGCTTAAGCGCAAGCTGACAAGAAGTCTACGCAATGATCGCGAACAGTGGTGGGTAGCGAAAGCAAGAGAGATGGAAAAGGCAGCGGCAATAGGTAATAGCAGACAATTTTTCAGACTCGTTAAGGAAACTGGAATTAGGAACCCGACCGTTAGCGAAACAATCTCAGAGAAAGATGGACATATTATACATTCTCAACCCAGGAGATTGGATCGATGGGCAGAACACTTCAGGGGTCAGTTCAACTGGCCTTCAGCCACACTTCGGTTTCCCACGATCTCTAGTCAACCTGAATGGAAAGTTAATGTAAGTCCTCCGTCCCTTTACGAAGTTGAAAAAGCCATAGGAAATCTGAAACGAGGGAGAGCAGTAGGCCCTAACAGGTTTACTCCTGAGATTTTTAAGGATGGTGGTCCAGTATTAGCAATGAGATTAACCGAGGTCTTAGGTAGAATTTGGGAACTGGACGTTATCCCATCTGACTGGTCTCAATCACTGACTGTACCAGTCTATAAGAAAAGACAAAAGTCCTCTTGTGACAATCACAGAGGAATCAGTTTGACTAATATAGTGTATAAAATATTAGCTTCAATAATACTTCGGAGCCTAACCAAAGCTCGTGAAGAACAAACTAGAAAACATCAGCCTGGTTTTAGACCTGGACGTGGTTGTATAGACCGGATATTCACACATCAGGTTGTAAAACACAGACACACGTTCAGACGCCCCACAATCGTAGTATTTCTCAACCTTAAGGCAGCATTCGACTCTGTTCATCGTAAGGTTCTATGGCAGTGTTTGTCACTGAAAGGAGTACCAAAGAAGTACATTAACCTTATACAGGCTCTCTACTCGAACACAACTGGTAGAGTGAGAGCTTATGGCGAACTGTCATCAGAATTGATTACCTCAAGTGGTGTTCGTCAGGGCTGTCCACTCTCTTCATTCTTGATTAACTTTGTCGTTGATGTGCTTTTAGAGATAACACCTTCCTTATCTAAATTTCCGAGGGTTGAACTTCTACCGGGAGATTCACTTGTTGACTTGGAATATGCCGATGACGTCGTTCTATTTGGTGAAGACGCTGACAAAATGCAGAGTCTTCTGACCACTCTAAGCAACAACGCAAGCACGTTCGGCATGCAATTCTCCCTCGCGAAATGCAAAATGTTGCTTCAGGATTGGGTTGCATTAACACCCGAACTAATGATAGGGAGTGAAGTAGTTGAGCGTGTCGACCGCGTCACTTATCTCGGAAGTCTCATCAGCCCTTGTGGCCTGGTGTGTGTCGAAATCTCAGCACGGATACAGAAGGCTCGACTAGCTTTTGTCAAATTGTGTCATTTATGGCGTGGGCGAGATATCCGTCTATCAACCAAAGGACGTGTTTACTGCGCAGCAGTTCTTTCCGTCCTACTTTATGGCAGTGAATCATGGTCGGTAAGAGTAGAGGATATTCGTAGGTTAATAGTATTTGAAGCATTGCTCGTATATCCTGAGATCATAGAGTAAGTTATGCAGTTGTTAGGAAACGGGTACTAGGTAAGGATGGCAAAGCAATTGATGAAGTGGGAAAACTTCATCAGTTGAGATGGCTGGGACACGTGTTACATATGCTCAACCACCGACTGCCTCGACGTGCGATGTTCAGTGGTATAGGAGTAGATTGAAAGAAAGCTAGGGGCGGCCAGACCAAAACATAGTACAAGTCCATGGAGTCACTGACAAGTGGACTGAGTCATGTTGGTAGGTGTAGACTACGTGGTTGGGGACCGCGAGATGATAGCAACCGATGGTTAGAGACCCTAAATGACATGGCTCAAAATCGTCTGCAATGGCACAAGTGCATCCACTCTTTGTATTCTCCCAAATTTTAATCTTCTGAATTCTTTATGTCCCTTATTTTCTTTCCAAATTTATTTCACTGGATTGTATTACTTGAATAACATCAAGCCTTAATGTTTCCGATTACTGCTTATACTACCTATACTACTACGGAATTTGAGTCGACAACTGCATCTCTGTGCTAATGTGGTGTAGCAACTCGAACTGATGTACGTATGTATGAAGTTCTACGTTGTTACTGACTGACATTTATATCACAACTTGCATTATAACTAAAATCACTTCTAACTGCTTGAAAAGTCATTCAAGGTCATACCACAGTATATTTCAGTTAACTCTATTGAAAGCTCTAAATACTAGTAGACAAAACCTTTTGTGAAAGTCACCTTAATGAAAAACGCAATGCAATCTACGTAAGATCAAGCTTCAGCAACTTATTTCGAAAAGAACTTCACTCACAAAATGCCTACAAAGCAAAGTCGCAGTGTTAAAAAAGGTGTATTTAATCAAACAATAAGAACAAAATACGAATGCAAAACTACAAAGATATTCACCTTACGAAATAAACACGTTTTGTACGATAAACTATGATTAACATTATAGGCATAAACTAACGTTGGATTCTCGTCAGCCCTAGCCGTTTAGTGTCCGACAAAATCTCAGTTTGAATTCAAAAAGGTCGTTGGTTTTTGCCAACCTAGCTGAACAGGTGTAGAAAGTAATCCGTGAACAAATGTGAAACTCATGTAAAGTCCACAATTACAAAGCTATTTACACAAGAAATCACGATGTTGTACAATACCACAAAAAATCAGTCACCAGATATATAGAATAACCAGGAACTAGGGAAGAGTCCAGTACTGACAATTATACATCGGTAGATAAAAAATTATTCCTCATTAAGCAGTGTAATGAACCATTAAACGTTACTGTAAGTCACATAATACTTCCGATAGGTGAAGTCATAAATATATTTTGAGTACTGAATAGCACTAGGTTCAATTCATAAATCTTTTTTTTCACTGAATGATTACAAGTCAAAAGTTTACATTGCAACTACCATTGAAGTTTACTACTCAAATATATAATCGAGATGACTACAAAGCTAATGACTGTTTTTTAGTGCTTAGAATAAAATATTTAACAGTTTATCGAAAAATCCAGTATAACTATGAATTCATTATACTGATTTACAACTATTCATGAAGTAATATGAATGGAATATTCATTGAGCTCGAAAATTCGAAAGTTTCTTAACAGAAATTATGATCAATATATACCTTTTCTTTTACGAAATATATAAGTGTAGAAAAAAAGCATAAAGCAGTAGATATGCCTAATCTGTCATTTAAAAAAACCTACCTAATAAATTATCACTATCTGCAGATGTAGTCATTGAAGGTTGTAAATTAGTCTTTGATGGTCGATATTCACAAGACACACGTCGACCTTGATCGTAGGTACGTGGACTTGTGACAAGTGTGGAAGTACTATCACTAATGGAACAAGTATGATAAAATGTTGAAACTGTTTTATTCCCATTTGAAATAACATCGCTGCTAATACATACACCACATTGAGTAGTAGTTATACACGGTCGACCGCCATTTATACACTCAGAATAATTGAAATAATCGTTGTGTAAATTACTGGAGGCGTCTGGGGAAATCGGATTATATAAAAATAGTTGTGGTCTACTGATATAACAGGAAGAGTTTGTTTCTTGGTGGAACTGTGGTACATTTGGGAGGGCAGGTAAAATAATACGATTGGCAAGATTAGACTCATGAGACTTGCTACGATGAAGCGGAGAAGAAAATCTTAAACGATGTTTGGGTGGCGGAGTCCCTGCCTGACGAGTTCGATGCTCGCGATCTCGAGACGAATGATTGCCTGCTCGACGCCCACCGGGAGAAAGTGAGATTACTTCATTTGGTAGTGTATGACGGCCTGCTTTAAAAAGATTTGAGGGTGTTAAAATGGTCGAGGATAATTTATAAGAAATGGGAGTAGAAGGTACTGAAAGCCCGCCATTATGTAGATCAACTTCTGAAGGAATATTCGAATCAGATATACCCGGGAAGAGATTAAATGTCTTAAAATCAGTTTTGGACAATTTTCCGGAATGAGATTTATTTGTGACATTCTGTGGACTATTTATGGTGATACAACTGGAAGCATGTGGGGAAGTAAACGAACTACAGCCATTGTAGTTGACATCACAACCAGTTTTAAATGTATTAATATTATCGGAATTGGAATGGCTAATAAGATTTCCACAGGATGTATCGTGCTCTAAATGAGAGCAAACAACTACTTTGGTATTTTTATGAGACGAGTTTTGTGCAGACATTTCCTTGTTAATAAAAGGAGAATCTTCAGGGCCAGTAACATATAAGGGAGGTATACGAGGATCCTTTCTTTCTTCGTAAATTTGAGCATTAAGGATATTGTTTACTTCTTCAACTTGAGAATCATCGTCAGACAAACGCATCACCAATTTGATTAAGTTCCTGGTATCATCTTCAAATGCTAAGTCACTTTCAATGAGATCAATATTCCCGCGTATTTTTGCAAGACCAGCAAGTACATGATCAACTTCCTCACCATAATCACCATAATTTTGTAAGATTGTTCTCACTTCACTGTCAGGCATATCTAACAATTGTAGAAAGCCAATACCACGAATACGAAGAAGGCCCTAGAGATACGTATGAAAATCTGAAGACATCCACCACTTACCTGTATAGTGTCATCATTTATACCGAGACATCGAAAGCAAACTTCCGATTTTGGATATTCACGCAGAATGGCATTAGCTGTATCTTCATCAGCATTACAAATAGCTGAAATTTGCTGGGCTAAATATTCAAAAGTTTTATTCTATAACGGAAATTGCACTATATTCACCAAATTACCTCAGCGTCTTGTATCTCAAGTGATAAAATTTCGGAATGTTCATCACTTCTTTTTAACTCTTTGCGCAAAGGTGAAATGATTTGCTCTTCTGTTACAATGATTAGGTTCTGCAAATCTTTACAAAATGCGTATGGGGAAGCAGGTTCACTGAGCATGGTACACAATAGTTTGTGCCCTGCTTTGTGTACTATAACTCAGATGATATCTCCAGAGCTTGTTCATGAAAACTTGTGTGTGTTATTAATTTGTAAATCCTCCAACCGTTCTTAAACTAATATTCTTTTGTTGAGTGAATATCAAGACTTGTTTGTAACAAAACGTGCAAAGATACCTGAAATGGCAAAAGAAGTTTTAAAAAACGTTATTTAAGTCGGTAAGGTAGACAGCATACCCAAACCTTATGATTAAAAAAGGAAAGCATTGTCTATTAGTTGACAGTGTAACCAAGTTGAGAAAAATGATTTTCTAAACAAGAGTGAAAATCATGTGGGTATTCAGAGTGATTTTTAGACAAAATTGCTGAAAACAGAGCAGTATGACACCAGAGTAATATTGATAATATGATGCAATTTAGCAATGTTATAAATTCTCATGTAGCACATGAGTCATATCTGTTTTGAATACGAATGAATCTAACCTGTCTTAGAATGGATTTAGTAATTTAAGTCAACGAACGTTTATAACCACAACGAGTGATTGGACTTGTTCATTTGCATTTACTGTGCATAGAATCCGTTCAACACAACCATAGGCACACATATAGTCAAGAAAACTCTATGCATCTATGAGATATATGTAGCTTTGCAACTACTTGTAAACTCACATATTAAGCATCTAATGCTACCAGAGAAACCATCTCATGGATGGAGAGGAATCTAGGGGAAAGTAAGCGCACATCAACCTCATCTAATACCCCATGAGTATCCATTAAACTGGTGGTTGAATGGTTTCCCAGAACTCTATTCTCACCTTGACAACATTCTTAATGTCACTGAGACAATAAAATGACCCGTCATTTTTACCAAATGACCATTTCAAGTGTAACAAATAAAATTATGAAAATATGCAGACTCAAGCTGGCTTCAAACCGGGTCGTGGCTGCATCGACCACATATTCACCATTCGTCAGATTCTAGAACACGGGCATACTTAACGGCGTTCGACAATGGTGGTCTTTCTCGACTTAAAACCAGCATTTGACTCGGTAGGCTGCGAGATTCTGTGGCAGTGTTTGTCATTGAAAGGCGTACCTCAGAAGTACATGAACCTTGTGAAGGCTCTTCACTCAAACACTACTAGTTGAGTCAGAGCTTATGGCGAACTGTCATCTACTTTTGCAACCTCAAGTGGTGTCCGTCAAGGCTGTTCACTTTCCCCATTTTTGTTTAACTTCATCATGGATCTACTGATGGAAATAACTTTCTCGTCGACTGAGTTCTCGGGTATTGATCTCCATCCAGGAGGTCGACTTATCGACTTAGAACAAGCAAATGACATAGTCCTGTTTGGTGAAGACGCTGACAAAATGCAGTCTTCTGGTAGCACTAAGCAACAATGCCAGAATGTTTGGAATGCGCTTCTCTCCCTCGAAATGCAAGTTGTTGCTTCAGGACTGGTCTGCGTAAACACCTGAACTAAGGATAGGGAGTGAAGTAGTCGAACGCGTTGACAACTTCACTTATCTTGGAAGTCTGATCAGCCCTAATGGGTTGATATCGGACGAAATCTCAGCACGGATTCGAAAGCTTGTTTGGCTTTTACCAACTTACGTCACCTTTGACGAAGGCGAGATATCCGTCTATCAATAAAAGGACGAGTGTACTGCGCGGCAGTCCGTTCTGTTTTACTTTACGGCAGCGAAACATAGCCATTAAGAGTAGAATACACTCGTAAGCTATTAGTATTTGACCACAGATGACTTAGAAATATTGCTGGCGTCTGCTGTGATCACGGGGTAAGTTATAGTGAGGTTAAACGCAGGGTATTAGGGAATAATGGTAAGTCAGTTGATGAGGTTATGAATCTTCATCGACTGAGATGGTTGGGCCACGTGCTACGTATGCCTGAACACCGATTACCACGAAGTGCAATGCTATCCGGTATTGGAGATGGTTGGAAGAAAGTTAGGGGCGGCCAAACCAAAACGTGGCATCAGTGCTTGAAGTCACTAACTTCTAGTCTGAGCCATGTTGGTAGATGCAGACTACTTGGTTGGGGTCCGCGTGACTATCATAACCAATGGTTGGAGACTCTTGGTGACATGGTTCAGAATCGATCACAATGGCGTCGGTGTATACACTCCCTGTCTTTCCTTAAACTAAGAGATTAAAATCACTTCATATCTTTCTTTCTACGAACCAATTCTTTCTTCTTGTAATATATCTCTATATGCAATCTTTCTCTTATATATTACCACCTTTGACCTAACCACTGCTATGAATCCGGTGTTCATCTTGTGCTGATGCGGTATGGCAACCTGGACCGATGCATATATGTGCCTGGTCCTACGTTGTAGCTGACTGACTGACTGACATTCGATTTGTGTAAGGGCTATGATACTGCCTGAGTGCCCAAACCGAAGCAGGTGGTTTTCTTAAGGGACCACACCCGGAACCTTCGACCTAAAGGTGTGATCCACAAGGAAGTGGACCATCTTAAGGAGATGCAGTCCCATGTTATCCAGAGGCCGAAAATTGGTCCATACACCATTTGTTCCGTCAGGATCGTGGAGCCCATGTGCATCAGTCGTTAAAAATCAGGGTTTTCCAACTCCCCTGGGTGGGTTCTCCGTGTCCACCAACCTGATTAAAGCAGAGGACATGTGTTTTTCGTCCTCTCGATTTCGTAAACAACACTCCCGCCACGAGAACTTCCCTGGCAGAGGCTGTATACGCGTGGCCATGTGAGACACTTCGAGAGGAAGAGCTGACTCTCTCCACTGTCAGCAGTACCAGTGCATTTGGTGGCGCTATAGATACCACCACATTGCTTAAACGGTAGTATATAGGATTTGGGTGCAACATATGACCGACTAACAGATGATGTACATAAACCACTGACCCAAAGGTGAGTTGCTGTACATCTTATTAACGTTTTTACCTAGCTGGTCTCGGTCAAAATAAAAAAATTATGATGGAAAGTAAAGTTCAAGCAATGTAGGATTAATATGTTGAAGTTAGGTAACAATAACTTGGGATTACATTGCACAACCACTGTTGTCCGCTTATTAAACACATTCGTTCAATTTCTCGTCCCAGTATAATCCGCATTCAGCCACACGAAAATGTCAGCTAGAATATTAACTTTCACACCATAGTTACAAAAACAAAACTAGCAAAACACGTCAAAACAAAAACAATCTGATCACTGACTCAAACCATTTTTTTTCCTTTTAACAATGCCGAGTCACTGACTTTGAACAGACAATGACCTGATAAAGCCAAGCTTCATCAGACGCATTTGATATAAATAAAACAAAAGTGCACATCTTAATTGGTTTTACTAAAACGGCCGTTATTCAAATGCTTCAAATGGTTGTGGACGGAATAGAAGGATCTTTCGCTTAACGGTCTTCCGTGTCTAGTAGCAGTGAATCACCAATACCTCCAGGCAGGAACCTAGGTACACTAGTGATAATAGAAGAAACAGAATAAATTGGTAAATCATAATAAGCTGTTATCCTTAGACCTTAAGAATAGATCAAGTTTTCTTTTAAAGGACTCCTGGGAAGTCGCCTAGAATGCTCGGTCGGCAGCAAAATCGAGCATTTGACAACTCTTAAGGAGTAGAAAATGCGTTGAGTTCTGAAAAAATTTCCAACTAGATGACCAAGACGAAAGACATTAAAGTGAGCAAATGCTATAAACATATCCACATGTTATTTTTGAGCCTCTTCCACTCCATAACAAAACTAAATACCCAACATATTGATGTATTTAGGGAATGCTTATGCGCTTTATGTATATTGTACCATATGGTAATGACAATAACAAAAATACAAATACTATATAATAGCCATCATAAACTAAAGTTTTGTTTAAGCAAATACTTCAATAACGATTACTAGCCAGACAAGAACACAATTATTAGGTAAGTGACGCACAAGTTGAATAATGAGTTAGCAGAACAAAATACAATAAACAAAAGATTCAATTTCGGCATTGCAAAAAAGAAATAATAATTTATCAGAACCCTGAAATCATGATTCAGATTATAGGATCATGGTTAAGAATGGAACATATTGTTCTACGCTATCTGAACTTTTCAAACTTTTTCAATATTCAGATGCAACAAAAGTAATAATGTTCGTTAAAACAATGTTTTCCGAGCTTTTAGATTAAATTGTTTAGTTTTCTTTTTGAAATCTGTCCAGTTTCATGTTTCTTCGTCGTTTTTTTCGGCTGGCTCCATAGTGCTTACAGTTTTTCATAAAGAAAGTGAATTTTTTATCACAATATGGAAAGGTCTTTATCATTGTCACTTTCGTCATCACAGGTGAAATGTTGCGCATGGGATAGTGCAGACTGTGGCCTAGTGATCAAGCTGAAACTATCTCAGCCACACAGCAGCCAAACACTTGTAGAACATGTCACCCTAACAATATGCATCTCGTCAGAGACTCTTTTCCATCTCCATAATAAAAAGACTGCACTGTGCAGAAACTCACAAAATGGTAGCTGAAATTATCTTAATGTAACCCTTACCAGTTATACGACACAGTTCGGACGAACACCTCTTACATCAAAGTCAACCATCACGTTTGTACTGACGATTTGGAGAACAGTACTTGGCATATATTCTCTCAGGATAGACAATAATATACGGATGAGACCAGGCATGCCGAGTTTGGTGAAAGTCGCCTGAAAGGTTCTCAGAAGAATTTTATTCTCTTAAGCGATTGAAGTGTGCAGGAAATTCCACAAAATCCTGTTCTTCAGGTCGAAGAGTATAATCTTAAGCAGTGGATATCAAGAAAGATGAGATATTAACATCATTGCAGGATTGAACAAACATCCAACTCTGTTTTTCCATATCCTGAACTTTTATAACCCTAATCTTGTCCAGTATGTAGCTGCTCGTTGTTTTGATGAGCATTTCGAGACGTATGTTGGGAAAAATGGTCAATCGAGGTAATTATCTAATAATTTTTATCATG